CACTGTCGACAATCCGGCCTTGGCAGTGATAAGCTCCTGATTGGCTTATTAAGCGATTGGCTGCCAGTTCACCCTGCAGGTTCGCTGCAGCCTCCCTGAGTGACCAACAATGGTTATTTCGTGACAAGTAGAATTCGTTAGAATTAACTCACCATTTACTCTATCTAGCCACTCCAAGGATAGTATCCACAACAGTACATTGCGAATATAGGTAGAATAAAAGTTTTAGAAGAATTAGAAAGACCCATTATTAAGAGAATATTGTACTAGCGATTGATTAGCTAGATAATTACAAAACTAGACCTCCTAGGCATCAACTGCTAGCCAGTCAACTGCTCAGCCCGAATCGAATCTAGCCCTTAGGGGCGAGATCGGAGCCCGCCCCGGGCTATCACTCGGATGTCTAGCAAGGAACATCTTCGACCAGTCCCAACGAGCGCGGTAAGGAACTTAGCATACTACACCTACCTATCAAGTGCAGACCGACCAGGTCCATGACGGGACAACTGTGTGCTTATCAACCCTTTGGGCCGAATTTCACAGTTGCAGCCGTGATAAGGTCGGCTTACAGTAACTACCCCGAGCACCCGTCACTGGCCGGCCCGCGACCGGACGCGTAACCCCACAGCTTGAGCTTGAACCCACTCCGGTACCTACTCCGGTACCTTTCCATCACTACCTCTTCCCCAAGTAAGAAGAATCGCATGTACATATGCGTACATGACCTGATTGCAAGGGCAGATGGATCATGATGTTCCAGACGGCGCCACACAGATAATAACCCTAGCACTTCCAACGCCGAGGGATGCCGATATGCGGACATGCAACAGATATCGCCGACACCAACCCATCGAACAACTCCAAATGGTTTCTATACTTGCATTTGAGCAAAAGACCCCACTATCGCCATGCTGACCTGAAAAGATGAAGGGGAAACTTCACTGGAACCCCCAGGTCGACGAATACCATCCGTACATAAACACTCATGACCTCCGCCATACATCTAAGGTCATCCGCACGAGAGGCGGGTACGACCATCATTAACCAGAACTCACCTCCAACGCCATTCCGTATACGACCCACCCTTGTCCTCTAGAGCTAAGTCCTCATCCCTTGAGGACTGCCACAGGACTCGCATAAAAGGCAGAGAAACAACAGAATGTAGGCAGGCAACTGATGTGTAAAGGCTTGGGTTAGCCCAAACCACGATCAGTATCCATGGCCACCGAGCAACAAAAGTGGCGAGGGAAACACCACGAAGAGAAGAAAAGGAAAAGAACAAAGACCGCCATCCTCATCCATACAGAGCAAGAAACGAGCCAGGGAAGCCATTGCCTAGATATACTATCAAGCATCCTCGTTACGGTAGAGGCCTCTGACCCGCTCGGCCAGACCTGCGCCTAGACCTGAGAAGAGATCGCTGAAACGAGTGTTGTTCGCGACTGGAGGCGATGGAACACCAGCGGCTGCAGTGGGGGTCGCCTGGGCACCAGAGAGCGGACTAGCTGTTAGTACCGGGCTCTTCCTTCTGTTGAGGCAGCTGCAACCCTGCGTTCTGGGCAATCTGCTTCCACGTATCCAGCTCACGGTAAAGCCGTTCGCACTCCTGCTTCAGCTTGTCATTGGATTGGCTGAGCTCGGCAATGGCTTGCTCGGTAAGGAGCTTCTCGAGGGTCCATTTCTCGATGTTCTGTGTTTCGTTTTCCTTCAGCTGCGTGATGAAGGCCACGGCTCGCTGAAGGATGGAGCCTTTGTTCTTTTCGCAGCCAGGGACAATCTTGGCCAGTTCGTTGATGCCTTCATTGATTGTCTCGCGACGGCGACGCTCAACTGCATGGATTGTTAGGGCAGGGCTGAAGCGAATGGCGGAATATTAAGAGACATGCCTTCTTTATGGTTATCTTTGCGCATCTTGTGCCACTCTTCAGAGCCTACTGCAGGCTTTGGATTCGGCGCAGTGCTGTAGCGCTGTGGTTGCTCTTGTTGCTGGACGCCGTTTGCCGGCTGTGGCAGAGGGGTAGGCGATACCATGGGCAAACCGTCTGGCTGGTTCACCCCATGATTGCTGAATGCGCTGTCTTCATGGTGGGTCTCCGGGGTTGCTTGGTTGGCGAATGCCTCCTCTGTGGACTGGGGAACATGAAGCGAGGGATACATGTTCAAGGCCGCGGCAGCTGTGCTGGACGCATTGGTGGTGTCAGCCGCATCGCCGTGGTCTGCGGCGGTAGCCTGCGCGAGCGCACTGAAATCGTCCACATTGACGTGCTCATGAGCGGCCTGCGCAATGCTGACAGTGTTCTCAAGGAAAGATTCGGCATCCGTGTCTTGCACAGTCATGGATGCAGCAGGCGGCCCACGCTTAGTGCGCCGCGAATCAGGCGAAGCCGACTCACTCGCCCTTTTCCGCTTCTGTCCAGGTGTGGTGGCAGCCTCAGAAAGTTCAGGCTGCGGGATGCTGACCGATGCGGCCATCGCGAGTTGCGGGGTTGTCAATCCTGCTGGCCAGATTGTCAGTCGCATCATTTACCTAACGAACACCACTCAGAGCTGTAAAATCCAGCCTGTATAAACATGGCTGTTACGGTCTCGAAATGCAATTCGAGCCTAATCGCGCGTGAAGTCGGGATGGTTTTGGTGATGTGCGGTCGCGACGAGGCCCAATTTCCTGCGAACCCTCGCGACCAGGCACGCCACTCCCAAGTCCCAACAAATGGCGCGTAACGCGCAATCTCTCAAAATGCACTCCGCTCAGGCGTTCGGAAAGGAGACTCTCAAAAGCCCCTTCGAGAAATACTAGGTGCACAGCAGCCTAGCTAGAACCTGTGGTTTCCTCCGCGCGACGCTAGATGATGGCCAATCGCTCTTGTCCAAAGCCTCTTCTTTTGAGTTGAGAAGCTCGTCCACTCAGCGACGAGTTTGATGGCTTCCGCATGGCGCGCGACTTCGCGGCGACCACGGCGATGCTGCGAACGTTTCCATCCGGGCGTGGTCGCTGGATGGGCAGCGGAATTTGATTTGGCTTTTTCTCTTGATGGGGTCGGGTCTTTGACAAATGGATTCCTTACCTCTGTGGTCTGGGCTTTTGATGGGTTTAAGTCGAGGTCATGTGAAGAACGTGCCCGAAAACGTGACGAGTACTGCGGAAGGTCAGCTAAGACCTACGAAAGCAGCGAAAATCGATGCAAATCGCCCTGCATCGATGTTTCGAAAATAGGGGTTCTTTGAGGAATACAGACATACCCAGCTTTGAAGCAAGCAATTTGTGTGCTTGTTTCGCAACAATCCTCGATGGACTTGGTTGATTGAGTTGCAAGAGAGGGAAGATCATGTGAGCTGAGGCTGGAGGTGAATCTAAATCGAGGTTGCGCCAGATGGAGCGCACGGACCAGCACCTTTGCCGAAATAGTCTTTCATAACGACCGCTGCAGTGCATGCGCCAGTGATCAGCATTCCAAGGGATCGATCGCAGCGCGATGGGTCCCCCTCTGGGTACGGTATGCTGACCCTTTTCCCCCTCTTCCCTCGAAACTGGACTTGGGACCAAACCCGGTTGCCAGACCCCTATCCGAGAGACCTGGACGAAGGAGAAAAACAAACACAAATATCTTTCTAAAATCGATTATCCTGCACTCAACGAAAGGTTGAGAAATAGGCTTGACACGGCGCATTTATTGTCGCGGGGTCTTCTGAGAGTTTCCAGGCTGTCCATATGCCCAAGGCACGTGCGTCTGCAGCCGCCCTCCTGCACACCATCTCGCAAGTCGCAACACTTTCACTGCCACTTGATGAGCATGCATACCGAGGTCAAGGTCTTTTTAAATGCATAGCGCGGCCTACAAAGAGGCGCCATCCCACACCTCGCAACAACGCCTTCTGACTGTGGGTGAGCAGTGCAGTGAGACAGACCGGCACATGATCTGACCGTCTGTACTGTGTATGTGCCAGTGGAGCGTGCGAGCCAGGGCTTCCCTCGAGCTGCTTTATTTGAACCAGTTCGCCAATATCCATCATGATGGCAGGTGTTGCGTTGGCGAAAGCATAACGCCCGGGCAGCGGGTGCACAGTACTAACTGTAAGGTACCTTATGTAAGGTAGTTGATACTTGTTGTATCCAATGTGTTTCTTTGACGGTTGGTCAAGTACTTCGTACTTGCAGCTTCAACTTCCCACCGTAATCTGTACGTAAACTTGCGTTTAGACAGTGGCAAATCGGATAGCTGCCATTGCGATCGTGGGTCGGAGTAAGTGGGGAAAGGCGGCCAAAAGGGCGGCCAAAAGGGTCACAGAGTCAACTTCCGCCGATTCCGCGTGGCAGCAGCTGCCGCAAGCTGTTGCAGGTGCATCCTCATACCCAACCTCCCCAACCTGAAGCAGTCCAACGAGCCACACCATCGTCGTATGCTACCCCATACCTACGGCCCTTTGACTATCCGCTAGGTCGATCAAGACAGCGATGCCATCATGGTCGACGAAGCGTCCAAAATCAATCACGATAATCACCTCCTTCTCGTAAGACGACGTCATCGGTCTCTTCCTGCACATGTCCGTCTTGCTCACAGTTTGACCTTCCTCTAGGACCAACCATGCCTCCGTCTGCCGTACGAACTCCTGCGCAAGAATTTCCGGTCCGCGCACTTCCAGTTTGAGAAGGAGTCGACCTTCGTCAAGACCCTTCTCAAAGAGACAGCCAACGGGTCGCTAAACGGAAAGACATCGCCTCAAGATGTGGTCAAGAATCTGGATCAGATGCTGGCCAAGATGCGCGGCCTAAAGCGCAAACTGACTACCTATGCCGAGGAAGAGAACCGCCTCTACCGACAGATCGATGCGCGTGTAGCCCACCTGCACGAGCTGGCCAGCGTCAGCACTGTCGACGACGTCAAGTATGAGGCCTGGTCCCGGCAACGGCTCGACCGGCTGCTGGTCGACTACATGCTTCGCCACGGCTATAACTCATCGGCCATATCATTAGCAGACGATAAGGCGATGCGCGACCTTGTCGATATTGATACGTTTGTGGTCATGAGCAAGATTCGCAAGTCGCTTGAGGGCGGAAGCGTCCAGGAGGCGCTGGCCTGGTGCAGCGAGAACAAGAAGGAGCTGCGGCGGATGCAGGTAAGAGTAACGGCCGTTCATGCTGTACCTGTTTTTCATGCTAAACTTCCACAACCACAGTCGAGCCTTGAATTCATGCTCCGCTCGCAACAATTCATCGAGATGATACGTGCAAACTCTCAACCCGAGATTGAAGCCATCAATTATGCAAGAAAGTTTATTCAACCTTTCCATGACACCTACCCCGAAGAAGTGAAACAGTTGAGCGGACTACTCGCGTACCGGCCGGGTACGGAGCCCGCGACGTACGCCTCGCTCTACAGCGCGTCACGGTGGCAGAAACTGGCCGACAAGTTTGTAGAAGAGTACCTCAAGCTCCTGGGGCTACCCATGGTTCCTCTACTGCACATTGCCCTGTCATCGGGGCTATCCGCGCTCAAGACGCCGGCCTGCCACAGCGCGCGGAGCCAGGGCCAAGGCGGCGTAGCGATCAAGAACAAGTCTTCTTCTGCTGCTGCAGCGGCTCAAAACGGATCCAACGACACAACAACGGAACCATCTTTAAGTTCACAGCCCCGCCAGCACCACGGCACGGCCAGCCTGACGACAAGGGTCTGCCCCATCTGCTCGACCGAGCTCAACGCCCTCGCCCGTAACGTGCGCTACGCCCACCACGGCAAGAGCCGCCTGCTCGAGCACGACCTGATGCTCCTCCCTAACGGCCGCGTCTACGGCAAGGCCCGCCTCGACGAATACGCCGCCAAGTCCGGTCTGGAATCGGGCCGCGTCAAGGACCTCGTCACCGGGGAGGTGTTTGACGCGGCCGAGATGAGGAAGGTGTTTGTTACGTAGGGTTTCTTCTCGCGCAAATGTGAGAGATGATGGAATATACTGTCCAAGGGATGTGTTCAAGGCAAGAGACGGCGTTTGTTTTTGTTTCAGGGATTCAGGGATTCAGGGGAGCAATGGAAATTGGGAATACGGGTCTGGTTTTAGCGGTATGGGACAGGATCGTGGTTGCGGTAACATGGCGGCGCATCGGGGATTCTTCAGATTGAATAGGATTGTGAGCGGAATAGGGGTATGTTCGGTATATACATGTAAGTTCCTGTTTTGGGAAGAGGACAATCCAAAGCGATGATGTGCCAATCACTTCATCTTTCCAGAAATTGCTTCGTGCATTGATGGTGGGCTAGAAAAGTACGTAGTAGGTAAGGTGAGGTTATAACTATACGGAGGTACACATCACATGGGAGCGCACCTAACCCCCTTAAATCAGGACAGGGAACGGTCCGGTGCGAATTGGAATGCAAATTCCTCCCATCAGATCTGGAATTCAATATGAATACTTTGGTCTTTTCGCTCCCCACTCAGTTGTCAGCTCACTTACAAGCAGATGAAAGAGTTACCAGATACCATCCATTCCACAATCCTACAACACTCATACAACCATACCCATCCCACACGACCGGGCCTTTTCGCCACCAAGAAAGACGAGTTCCCTTGCCAGTTATGATACGTACGTTTCGCGGCGGTGTCCGTGAACGAGATGGAAAAGAAGACACGTTAGTTATGCATTCCGGGGTATCGTAAGCCCCCCTCACAACCTCCCAACCACCGTGGCGCAAAGTCCCGGACCATACCATAGTGACAGTAAAAAAAGACATCTGAAACACAAATCGGAGGTACAAACCCACACGAGAAAGGATGATGACAGACCAAAGAAACAAAAACCGTTCGCCCTTTGATCTAAGTTGCCCGGTTTCCGCAGATCCGACAAACCGGTCATCCATCTTATAGACTCCGCCTTATATTTCCCTCGCTACTGCTTGAGCATACACAGGACCAGACCAAACACCTTCATTCCCCCTCTCTGGAGCTATCTACCGGGCATTCCCCCCAAAAGCAAACTGCCCAAACACGCCGCCGCCTCCGCCAGGCGTCATCGGACCCATGGCACCCAATCCACTGCTACCACCACCGCTGCCAACACCACCGCTCATACCATTGGTATTATGGGACGAGGCGGCCGGGGTGCTGACCAAGCCGACGCTGCCGGTGTTTGGAGTACTAGGCGTGCCGTTCTGGCCGCCAGTCGAATTCCCGTTCTGGCCGGCGTGGTAGGGTGGGCTATTCTCCACTTGTCCGCCCCCGGTCCCTTGACCGCCTGAGCCAACGGTGATGCCGCTGACGAGCGAGAAGTCGGGAATACCCAGGCCCCAGACCTTGCCGAGATGGTCGTCCGAAATTTCGCCGTTGAAGATCCGCTTGCGCAGCTCGAAAAAGACGCGGCCCGTCAGCAGGCTGTCGGAGCCGGCCTGGTGGGCGCTCCCGACGCGCTTTAGCTTGAGCGTTTCGGCGATGTGCTCCAGCCCGGATTTTTGCTCGAATTTTTGGAGGATTTCGGCAGAGCTCGGATCGCTGGGTGTCAGCATGCCGCTGTTGTGCAGCTTTATGGCGTGTTTCATGAGGTGTTTGACATCGTACGTGGATGGGAAGTACAGCTTCATGATCTGGTCGAACTCGACCTCGTCCGAGGGCAGGTTCAAGCACACGAGGAGCTTGGTAAGGTAACCAAAGTCGTAGCCGCCATGGAAACTAATCCAGCGGACATCCTCGAAGCAGACCAGACCTGACGGGATCAGGAGCGACGCAAATTCATGCGGATCGATGCCGTCTCGTTCCAGCAGCGCGAAATCGATGCCCGCCTGTTGGAGCGACTCGATCGAGGTCTGGTTGTACATATCGTCCTTGAGTGAGAATTTAAAGTTGAACTGCCATGCATAGGGCAGCGGCGCTTGACTGCCTGTTCTCCGCAGGTCGGCCGAATCGGTAGAACTTGGACGCGCCGGGGGCTGCTCGCCATCCTCATTGAACAGAGCGATGCCGATCTGTATCACCTTCAACATGTCGACGTTGGTCCGGAGACATTGGTAGTGGTAGTCGCTCTTGCCCCGAAAGCCTCCCATTGGCCTCGACACAACGCCCGGAAATTCAGTGTCCTGTCAGGGGAGGATTAGCCTGCTGCCCACCAGATCGGCCCAATTAGGCGTGTGAGGGAATCGCCCGCACCATAGCAATATACGGATACTTGTCAACCAGGTCACGGAGCGTCGCCATCTCCTCATGTAGGTTGTGCTTCCAAACCTCTCTTATCCGCCCTTTGCTCTGCGCTGCCCGTGCCCCGTGCTCGGCTAAACCATGCGGTTGCTGCTGGGCATGTTGGACATGCTGGATCGGCTGGGTATGCTGGACGTGCTGTGGCTGTTGTTGTTGTTGCTGGAGAACCTGTTGCTGTGACTGCTGTTGCTGTTGTTGAAGGCTGCCGGCATGCGCAAAGCCCATGCGCGCCGCATGGCTGCCGAGCCCGGAGTCACCGCCAACACCGAAGCCTGCCGCGGTGCCGAGACCACCGGCTAGCCCGAGTAGGTTGGTGTTCGCTGAGAAGGGATTCACCTGGTTGACCTGGGCGTTAAGATATGCCGGGGTGCCGCCCAATGGTGGTGGATGGCTTGTTGAGTGTTGGGCATGGGTGGGGAATTGTTGATGGTAAGGGGACAAGGTGCTTGGTCCGCTGGGGAACCTATTTGGAGGGAGCGGCATCGCGTTGCGGCGCCCTCGGGGGCCTCGTTGAAATTCTATGTCTCTGCTGCCAGCCTATCGTAAGGGCCGTGGTATCCTGAAAGCCGTGTCCGTGCCTTGTGTCGGATGCACCATTCCCGTCCCTCGTCCGGGGGGATGAATTCAGGCGTCGACAGCTGCGCAAAGGTATCAGATGGAGGGGCCTCGTGATGTTCTACGGCGAGTCGATAACGTGCACGCAGGCGGTCGGGCGCTACAATTGCTGCGACAAAATTATCGACGGTAAATTTCTGCGTCAATAGGGAAAGTCAAAAGCCACGAGAGAAACTTTCGATTTTCGGATTCGCTAGGGCTGGAAAGTCGAATGGAAGTGGCAGTTTCGATCGTGCTTTGCAACAGCAACCAAGATTGGGGATGGCAGAGGCCCAGACACCCCTCGCACAGACCAACCACAATCTGCTTGACTAAGCGGCTTGGCATAGCCTGGCACCCAAGCTCAAACCGCGATTGATTGAATTAATGATGCTCAGTGATTCCAAGTTAGCGATGCGACTTCTCCCTTTTAGCTCCGGAATCTGCTGAGCAACGCCCGAACAGACGAGCTATCGCCAGCGTCACAATGCAGCCCTCCAGGTACAAAACGATTGTTGCGTATTTCTCCATGGCTCACGACTGAGTGAGTTTGACTGATTGACTCTTTCAGACGCTAACCACTCCTCCATGTCCATCATAGAGCATTACGAAACTACAACAATGGCGAGAAGCCGAACATCACGGGCTTCGATATGCGAAAGTTCCTCGCCGCGACAGGGACCCCTCGCTACGACCCATGGGAGAAGAAGTGTGTCTCGCCTCCCCCCCGCCTCCCTTGCTCTTCCGCATTCCCCCAACATACATCATTGAATGTCTAACCCGAGATGTCCAGCGAGGCATGGCGGTACACAGGCCGGTTCAGCCGCTTGAATCGGTTTAGGAACGCGCTCCCCGGCTTTGGGATTGCGACGGTAGCGTTTGCGGGCTACTGCCTCTACGAGCACTTTTTCATGCAGGACGACCACCACCACGGCGGCGGGCACGGCATCAGTAAATAAAGGGCTGGTTGAGCTGGGGGCGGGCATGGCAACTCCGTGGCAGGATAATGGCTGTACATATGGCTCGCGAGGATGGGCCGGGAAACTCGATGCGGACGGGAATGGTACGAGTCTGACTGGGCTCGAGGCACAGGGGCAGAAAACACAGGAGGCAGATGCATCATGCGGGTTGGGAGAATACCATTGTACTTCTACTGCAGTTCCTTCTGTCGAAAGGCTACCATTGGCGTTGCGCAGAGCCTCAGGACGGGCGAGAGCAGACCGATGACGCTCAAGACCGGCCATGGCAGGTCACAACTGCAATGGAGAAGTCAAATACAGGCGCATGCCAAACCGCTCATCGACATGAACCCACTGTTTGCGGATGAGCAGGGAAGCCGGCTGTGGCTGGCTTCGCTTTGGCGACGAGCCAAACAAGCTCCTAGGTTGCGGCCATTTCGTCCCCTCGTCCACTCCCAATCACTAGAAGCATCTCAGCAAAACCCCTTCATTCTATGAACTCAGCGAATTCTAGTGACTTGTAATACCGGAGTATGCCTTCTTAGTCCCGCAGCGAGCAGTCTTTGCCCACGAATGCTTTACCATGCAAGTACCCGTCTAAAGCAACGCAAACAAACCACGCCAAACCAGTCTATATGGCTGAGGCATGCATGCACAGATGTACTACACCACCCAAGCCATGAAAACGCCAACAACTCCCTGGCCGACACCAACCGAGCAGAGAATTGTCACAACCCAATGCCATTGACCAGGTCCAAGGCGCCCTCAACAGCGACTTCCAGCTCCCCGACCCTGCCTTTCAAATGCTTGTTCTCATCCCTCAGCAAGCTCACCGTATTCCACGCGACACTGGCATCCTGCCCCTGGCAGTTGGCACATCCATTGACTCCCGCATTCTCCTCCGTATCGCCCGAGAGGCCTTTAATGATCTTCTGAAATGCACTCATCTGCTGGCCGGACTTTTGCTTAGGCGCCGTGTTGACACCCCTAGGCCGAGGAGCCGCCGTCCTGGTAGGCCCGTCTATCGGCGTCAACGGCTGGGGCGGCTGGGGCGGCGGCAGTGTCCCCGTTGTGAGCGCGGGACTGCGGCACCTGGAAAAGACGCTTTCGCTCTCGGCGCTCTCGTTTTCGTCACTGTCATCAAAATCGTCGTCTTCGCAGCAAGTCGCGCCGCTGGCGCCGCTCTTCCAGCTCTGCCGATGACTCCTGTCGCCGCGCCGCGGCCTCCTTTTCCGGTCCTCATCAACCCCCAAATCCTCAGATACCATCGACCCGCCTTCGCCGCCGCCACCACCACCTCCCCTGTCAACGGGGGAGAGCATGGCCGCGGCCGCGGCTGCTGCACCTCTCCTCTCCTCCTCCCTGGCACGCCTCTCGGCCGCTAACTCCTCCACCAGCGCCTTCATCGCCCGCTCGTTCTCCTGCGCCTTGCGCGCCATGCCCTCGAGCTGCATCTTGAGGTGCGCTGCGCGCGTCTCGGCCTCCTCCAGCTCGTCTCGCTGCGCCGAGCGCTCGGCCTGGATTTCGTTGAGGGCAACGACCCTTTCCCTGTAGGCCGTCTGGAACTTCCTGAGCAGGCCCGCGGCGTTCATGTGCAGGTTTTTGAACGCTGCCGGGGAGAAGGGGTCCCGGTCCGAGGAACGGGTTCCCTGGGGGAATAGGGCGGCTTCAATGTCCAAGTTGAAGAGTTCGTCGTCGATGGGGGCGTCGGCGATGGTTGGTTTGGTTGGGATGGTCGTCGGGGTGAAGCGGGAGGAGAGGGCCGACATGAAGCGGGAGGCGGCGGTTGTGGTGTTGCTGCTTTTTGGGGTCGACAGCTCGGAGGCGGTCCCTCGCCTGAGCTTGGGCGGCGTGGCATCGGATGGCGTGGCCCCGTTGCCGCTCAGCCAGCCGACCAGCCCTCCCGCGCCGCCCCGCAGACTGTTGTCCCCTGCCCATGCCCTCCCGTTGCTCCTTCCGTCGCCGGTGAAGGGCATCTGCTCTGAAGGATAGCGCTGGTGCGTCTTTCTTGTTGGCGAAGGAGTTCGGCTCCTGAGGGCTAGAGGTAAAAGGTTCGGAAAAGAGTTCTGGCGGAGGTGGTTGGCCCGGGGAAAAGGCGAGGTAGATGGAGAGGGAGCTCCGAGGTCGTCATCGGTATAGCCGCTGTGGTACTCTGACAAAGGAGACAGTGACGGGTGCGGTGCGTTCAGGCCATGCTGTTGCGTTTGCTGTTGCTGTTGCCGTTGCTGCTGCCGTGAAGGCGGCTGGAATGACGAATCCGGTGTTACCGCGCACCTCTCGGACTGCTGGCGTGGAGAGACGTATCCATAATCCGGAATTGCCGCTTCGGATGGCGATGTTTGCAGACGGGCGGGCACAGGGCACGACTCCAACTGCGGGGAGGCGCGGCTGTCGCTTAGCATGATGGATAATGTTTCGGAGTCTCGTTTGGACAACCCTGGATTTCCCGGAATCCAATTGCGGATGCCGCTGTCCTGATCTGATCTGTTTCGTTTGGCGGGGCTTTGCCCTCGATTATTCGCCCGTGACAGCTGGATATGCAAAAGCGTGAGAGATGAAAGTCTCGATGGTGGTCTAGGCGTCTGATGAATCTCCACGTTGTCCTAGCTGGCTTTCATATGGTACACCAACCCTGAAATCTTCCCATAGCGTTGAAGTATCAGCTCATAATCCCGAGATTTCTCAACAAAAGGTAAGAGGCAGAGGGCAAGTGGTCGTTGCGGCAATGATTTACGTGTCAGGTAGCCCGAGGATTCAAAGTTGCGAATGCTGTGAGGGGGTGAACTTGATTCTCACTACAAATGAGGATGTGCAGCGGACATGTAGGTATAAGTGAAAGGACACTTTCATTCCTGAGTTCCCCTTGGAAGGTGTTAAGGGAGGGGATTAGCGACGCGACAAAGCTACCCAGTTGAGCAAAGACATGGTGCAACTGATGAGAAGAGCGGTGTTTACGTTTGTACGAGACGGGCAAAGCAGCGTTGGTTTACTTTCTCGGTTGACGTCCACGCGGCATGGCTCCACCGTGCCAAGGCAGATTGAGATCCGCCGAACGGTTGCGGCTTGACGTCGAAACGTTGTCACAACTTCTAGGCAAAGGAATCCCCATTCAAAGTTAGCGGCAGTTTTCCATTCGGCTGTTCCACGCCAATCCAAGGCTTATACGTGGACAAGACCGGAAGCATGCGGTTGATTGGCATGTTACTTCTATAACGCGGTCTCGTCTCTTATGTTAACCAGATCCGTCTTATCTGATAAGTAGACGTCGCCTCCCAGATCCGGATCCAATCTACGTACTGGAACAACCTGTTGTCCGGCAATAACTGGTGAAGGTGGACCAACGAGCTCCGGGAACATGACATATCTTGTCACTTGATGAGGCGGACTTTGTGGGCAGTGGCAAGCTATTCCGTGATGCACGCAAGGAGGATTCCAGCACATAACCCTAACCTCTGGATATAAATGTCCATACAGAACGGCACGCGAGCTCTCTCCCACACAAGACAGACATCAAAGATTTCAAGCGTGAAGGGTACCGGGTATCTATCACATTTAGATATGCTACTGATAGCCCCATACCCAACCGCCAAGCCGACCGTCGGCTCAGTAGAACGACTCCACCATCGTCTCCTTCATGCTAGTATTAATCGCCCCCGGCGCCGCGCCTTCGCCTAGGCGGAACACACTCTCAATGACACTAAGCTCGGGCGCCGTCGTGTCCAGCCCCGTAACCGCCATCCAGTCGTTGACCACCATGCCACCTCCAATGACATTGCTGCCGCGGTTCACGCTCCCGGCCACGAGGGGCACCTGCAGCAGACTGCTCAGCTCGTCCTGGTCCTGGATGCTCGTTTTTGGGTGCACCAGGCCGCCCCGGTTGCTCAGCGCCATGTAGCTCCCCACCAGCACATTGTCCGCCACCGTCTGCCGGAACACCTCGACGCCCAGCACGTCGGCAATAATCTCCTCCGTCTCGCGCTCCAGGTCCGGGTGGATCAGCGCCGTGTGGTCGTTGGTCACGATGACGTTGCCCAACGCCGACAGCCGCTCCTCGATGCGCTGAATCCGGATCTCGTCCGGCAAGCTGTTGCGCAGGTGTTGGAGCTCCTGGTCGGTTGTGGTTGTCGGCACGAGGAGGCCCTTGCGGTTTCTGCGGACTCAAGTATTAGAATCTGCTTGTGTATCTTTTTGCCTGGTCCGTGAAACGGAGAACCTCGAAAAAAACGTACCCAGCTGTTAACCGCCCAATGATCCGCGTGCCAGCAATTGTTGTCCTGCAGATGGGAATGACGTCCTGTAGCTCGGCCTCGAACACACTGTAAAAGTTCTCGCTCGCACCAACCGCCACCAGGGCGTATGAATTTGTTAATGTTGAGAAAACGCCAACCCTGTGCAGTTGTAAAGTCAGCTATAGCAATTCCACTGGAACTCAAGCCTGCCTCTTCCAGCACAACAATTGCATATCCCAAAGCTATCCATCGCCGGATTGCTCCGTCGCGGGGTCATTTTGAAGAGGCGAATGGTGGGGCGGGGCAATGTGCTTACTCGTTGGAGTTTTCAAATTGTGCTCGAACAGCCATGGCTTGGGCGTCTGGTGGTTGTTCACTTCCTGTAATCGAAGTACGGTAGAGAGAAGCCCTGTGTTAAGTAAGGGGAGAATAAATCGCCAGGTGCTGCGTTGTTGCCTCTTTGCTTGCGGATGATGATGATGGGGGAAGAAAATGGCAGATGGATGGTTTATATGCGACTTTGCCCCAGCGAGTTCAGGTGGGGCTTTCAAGCTAAGGTTCTGCTTAGCAAACTGCGCCTCGAAGAGTCGAAAGTCGAGACTTCAGATAACGTTTGTGTAAGTAAGAGTGGTCGCCCCTTTGAATTCGAGTTTCGTTCAACTGAGCCTGCCGATATTGGGTTCCTGTTTCCAATCTCAAGTCACCCAAGGCAAGGGTGCTAACAGCTGATGCTCCTATGACACCATAGCTTAGTGAACTCCAGTCATAACTGAAAGCAGTCGACTCCCCTAGGTGGTCGGGGATCCAAGCTACATGTTTATAGGTACAGTACAATGGACATATCTAAACATCCTAAGATCTAGATGCACCGTTATCTCCATGCTCACATCACTTGTCTAGGTATTTGCAGATGCTCAAACGACAAGCTCAAAAGAAACTGATCTTCAGCCCCTGGCATTGCAGGACCTCCGGTGACTCAACTGGACCTTCTAACCTAGGATACAGTGTAAGGTACCAGTAACTTTTTCTGCCGATGGGCGAACCAATCAATCGGAAGTGAGTCACCTGCGGTATACCCAGGACTGCATTGCGCTGGCGTTTGATTGATCAATTCATGATGATTCATCAGGAATCATTTGGCCCTACCGGATGAGTTTTTCAAGTGCCGCCTCACTCTGGCGAGGAGGAAATTTCAATCTCGACAGCCACAACAAAAGAATTGCAGAGTGCAAAACCAGCTTCATCTCTCGTCGGGGCTTAGGACGGCGCATGTGACCACCAATTCCCGAGAGCCCGTTTATCTACCCTAGGTCGAAATCTAACGCCGCAGAGCATCACAGAAATCAAACCCTCGGTGCTGTATGTACGGTATGTACAATATACCGACCGTACCATGCGAAACACCCAGACCTGACCAGTAAGTACCACTCAAATTGGTTTTCGTGAACTCCGTGTATGAACCCCAAACCAACTGCCAGTACGCCCCAGCCCAGCCTCCTGTATATGCACTCTGAATCATGCCAGTGTGGACGTTGAATGATCGTATCCCATCAGATGCCCCTTCCCAGACGAGACCAAACCCAAACACCTCTAAACCAGCCATGATTGCCCTAAAACTCCGCAGTGATCCGTTCAATATAGACGCACGGCTTTCTCAGGCCAGCTCAACAGCAGGAAAGTACCTCGGCCCTGCGAACCCCTTGGCCACCACCGCCTGAATGTCAATATTCTTGGGCCCGCCCCGGGGGTTGTGATATGGGCTCCACATTTTGAGGAGGATGTAGCGTCCGGTCACAGGCGGGTCAAATCTGATTGTGCACTTGGTCTTGTCCTTCTCGATGAAGAAATGCGCCAGCGGCGCCATGAGCTCGCCGCCGACGGCCCGCACCGCCTCTTGGGTCGCAATCTGCGACGCCTCCTGTGCTTCCTCAAGCGTCATGTCGCTAGCCGCCCCGACGCCTCTACTACCGCTGCCACCGCTTCGGTCACCACTGCCGCCGCGCTGGCGGGACATCATCCAGGCGAGCAGACCGCTTTCTGCTCGGCGATTCTCTCGTATTCGTGATCCCCACATGCTTTCCTCGGCGCCCAGACCATCGTCAGGATCTTCGTCGCTGCTCCCGCTCTCAAACGGCAGCGCCCCGATCCTATTCGGGGTCCGTCTCCGCATAGTCCGGCGATGTAGCTCGCAGTCCGTGTCACTCTCGTCGTCGCTGCACTCCGTAGTGATGTTGAAAGGCGGCGGCGAGACGGTAAACTCGGGCGGGATCTGGGCTGTCCTGTAGTTGTCGTCATCATCATCGTCATCATCATCGTCGTCTTCATCATCACGCCCATATAGATATTCTCGTTGTGACATCCGGGGCTGGAGGCGGGTGACGGAACTCCCGTCTTCCTCTTGGCGAAAAATAACAGTAGCACCGCGCCTCTGGCTACGCAAAGGGAGGTGCTGAATCTGATACTGCGCTGTGCGCGTCAGCAGCGCGTCCGACTCCATCGCCACAAACACCATTCCTTCACGGACTCTGTCAACGGCAGTCAGTAGATGACTTTGTAATGAGACAGGTAGTGTAACGTACGGGCAAGAGTAGTCGGATCCAGGGGCCTTGATGATCAGCTCATTGAGACTGAACACTGTCCCTCCCTGATGTTTCAGGATGATGTTACAGCGGTTCCCCTTGGTGCAATATACCGAAGAATCATTTTTGAGGATATTCTCGGGAGGGTGCGATTTCTCATCCAAGAAAAGCCCGCCATCGCAGCTTACAATCTCCATGGTCAGCTGTCCGGGCTCAACCTGGCCGTAAATGCCGTAACTGAAGCCTTGGAAGGTCGACAGGTTTCTATCCGAATCTAGCTTTCGACGCTTTATACGGCGGTTCTCCTCAGCTATATCGCCGGACTGCACCGGTGCGGTGGTCATGCGCCTCGGTGGGTTCAGAGCACTATTGGAGTCCAGCAAGGCTCGGAGCTGGGAGTTGGAATCCTCTAGAGCCCGATCCGGCTCAACGTAACTCGCGGGAGTGCGGAGGCTGGAGCGCTGCCTCTCCATTGGACGGTCGGCCGAACGATAGCGGCTCGATCGTAGGCCCGAGGCGGCAGATGATGAAACAAGGGCCGACCGTGCTCTCGCGCTGAGTGCCCGTAGAGGCGGGAGGGAAGATGGGATGGGCGGAATGATTGAGTTGGCGGTGTCGGTTGGCGGATGCGGGTCTCGATTAAACCGTCGTCTCAGGTCCCGGTCCGAGCCGGAGGCCATGCTGTTCTCCGGGTCGGCGCGGATACCAAGACGCTGGATGCGTTCAAAATCTCGCTGCAAGTCCTCTACAACTCTGTACAGCCTCTCGTAAGCCGTGTCGGCGGGCCTGTCATGGAGCAAGCGGTCGATGGTCCTGATGGCCCCTTCTACGGCTCGCAATGATTCGAGACCAAACGGAGGGCTTGGCGGGCCGTCGTGGGACTGGAAAAAGGTTAGCATCAGAGAGAGCAAGCGAAAACGGGTTCGGCCAGCGTGAAGCAAGGACGGGCAGCCGTTCAATTAGGCGGGCCGAGAGCAGGTCCAGCATGGCCATCAAGGCGGAACTCACCATGAAGCGACAGACCCGCAGTGCCTGGGGCGAAGATGCTCGGGCGGAAGAGCGAGTCTAGCCGGAAAGTGAAAGAGGGTTTGAATGCGATATGCCAACTATACGTCTGGTGAGGCAGCTTAGGGAAGCAACCAAGTTTTGATTGTTGTTGAGCGTTGAGTGGTGAGGGAAATCGAGGGGCGATTCGACTGTTGCTGTGTCGCTGAGGAGTTGGGGTTCGGGGAGGTAGCCTAGCCTAGCAGGGTTAGTGGGGGGACGTTATCTGTACAATTACAGTATTTACATACACACAGTACAGACTGCTTCCGGAGTAACTTCCAAGACATCAACTTTTGTATGTAAGGTTTGTACAAAAGGTATGTAATGGAAGTCACGGCACAATTAGCGTACGAGGAATGTATGCACAATACGGATACTCACTGCAAGGTGTCGACCTCAAAGTTGTTCGTCGGCGCTTTCCAGTCGCGTGAAGGAATATCGTTTTAGGTGACGTGACTTAACGTTAAGATAATTTGTTAGCAGGTTCCTGAGGGCGGCATGTTACATCTGCTTTGTGTTTTGTAGTTCTTAAACGCGTCATGCCAAGCCCTGCCACTCAGAGCTCACTCAAGGAACCACCACCACCTAGCTCACATCTTGTTAGATACCTCAAGGAACTTGAAGTCGTTGAGCAGGATCAAGTGTGGCATTTCTCAACACAACCAGATTGCATCCTGGAGCTATTGGATTCGAAAATTCTTCTGCATACACCTCTGGCAGGTCGATCGCGCTCCATAATTGACAGCAATCATCCAGGCTCCTTGCTACAGTTCATCACAGCGCTCGAGCTGCAGCTAAGCGACCCAACAACACACCATTTGCAGTCGAACACCTTCTTTCGTTTGCGAAAACGGCTTCCTGAGTTCCTACTAATGTGCGGCTAGGTCCGTGGGAGGACCCCGTTTGCGCGACCTTCTTTCCTCGTTCTCGATTCTACCTTTGCCTGGCGCTTCTCCAGAGTCCTGTTACTCTGCAACCCCCTCGAGGATCACCTTGCTTGCTTCCTCGACCCTCTTTGCCGTCGTTCTCAGATGGAGCAACCGTCTCACATACCAGTCCTTGCTGTAAATCCTGGCACGGGTAATGGGACGGTTCCAATTATGGAACCCAATGCCAATGGCTCGAACTCGGCACCGTCCAACGGCATCAGCGCTGGTGGGTGACTTTACTTCGTCGAAATCATCGACACATCTAACCCGCATGCCAGATGAGATTGCCCTCTACGACCGGCAGATTCGGCTCTGGGGGATGAAAGCACAGGAGAAGATCCGCAATGCCAACATTCTCCTCATCACCATGAAAGCCCTGGCCAACGAGATAGCCAAGAATCTTGTCCTCGCCGGCATCGGTTCCCTCACCATCTTAGATCCGGAGCCCGTGGCAGAAGTCGACTTCGGCGCCCAATTCTTCCTCTCCGCCGAAGAGACGCCCATCGGCACGAACCGCGCCGCCGCCGCCAGCGTCGCCATACAGCGCCTCAACCCCCGCGTGCGCGTCAGCGTCGACACGGCCGACATCCGCACCAAGCACCCCTCCTTCTACGCTCCTTTCGACATAATCATCGCCACCGATCTGGACTCGCCCACTCTGAACCTCATCAACACCGCCACCCGGCTCAACGACCGCCCCTTTTACGCCGCAGGCTGTCACGGCATGTACGGCTTCATCTTCGCCGACCTGATCGAGCACGACTTTGTGATTGAGCGGCAGCACTCCAACATGCCGACCGCCATAGGGCCCGAAACCAAAACCCGCTCCGTGCTCTCCGTCTCGCCCAAGCCCGGCGCAGAGCAAACCACCGAGGTCATCACCAAGCGCGAGCTGTACTCGACCTGGCTACTAGCTTCAGGCGCGTCCAGCCTGCCCCGGGAGATCCTGCGCTCGCCCCGCCGTAAAAAGGTCGTAACCCCCCTATTATCCTGCTTGCGCGCCCTGTGGGAGTTTTGCACGGCCAACCCGCCTTTACACCTCCCCCCCAACCCGGCCAACCACGCCGACCTGGCCGCCTTCACGCGGCTGTGCGGCGAGCAGCACAAGGCGCTGGGCTTGCCGGCCGAGACTCTGCGCAGCAACGTGCTGCGGTCGTTTTTGCAGAATGTCAACGCCGAGATCGCCCCCGTCGCCGCGGTTCTCGGCGGTCAGCTCGCCCAGGACGTCATCAATGTTCTTGGCCAACAGCAGCAGCCCGTGCAGAATTTTGTTGTTTTTGATGGTGGCTCCATGGAGGCCAGTGTCTACCCGCTTCATCCGGAAGGCGAGCTCGGGAGGGGCCTGTTGCCGCTTTCCAATGGGCCGGCTGGGTTCGCGGTTGTGGGGGATGCTGTTGTGCCGCCGCCCGCTGGGGTTGGTGGTGATGTCCTCGCGGTTGCGGGGGGCTTGGGGCAGCAGCCTGTTGGAAATAGCGATGCTGCTGCTGCTGCTGCCGCTGCTGGAGTTGGAGTTGGAGTTGGGCCTGGGCCGGTGATGCGGAACCCGGGAATGGCGTGAGATGTGTATCTCGGCTCGCTTGATCTCCTCAAGGGACGAAGCGTTCATTGCATGGTCCAGCGTTGAAGTGGCTATTTGTCTCAGCCATGTTACCTTCTCGATGGAATATAATCGGAGTTGAAACGGTGTACTTGTACATTAGATGGGATTTAGGTGGGAGCGAACAAAAGGGACATGGAGTGTGCAAGTGTTCATTAGCTTGTCCGAGTATCGGTTGTCGATTTGGTGTTTTCCCCATCTGAGCATCAGAGGTCGAGGGGTGGTTTGGCCGTATTGGCGCTCTGGATCTGGAACTGGTGTAAGACGAAGCGCCGCGAGCCATAGATGGGTAGATGAATACCGCAAGATACCGTTCTCCTGCGAGAAAACATGGAAGCGAAGAATCAGGATCTCATGTTCACTGCGGCACAGGATGCCTCGAAGCCGTTGTTTTCAAGCAATAGTCTGTGGTGAATAGATACTCCCTAAGTGCTATGCACTACAGTGTTCCTAATCGTACTCTTCCTTCCGCTCGCCAGTCTTAAATTAAGCCAGATGCGAATAGCAACCTCAGTCACAAGCTTGACCCGGTCTGGCTGTATCTGTTGCCAGCCAGGGAGAGAAAATATCCGTACCCTCCCACGCTCCAGTCCATATCTTGTCCTCTGTTTACTCATAAACCCCTAGGATATGTTTTTTCACCAGAGTAGATGAATTCAGACACGAGAGAGGGAAGGGAGCGATCCGCTGTGTGATTTCAAGACATCAACCTCATCAAGTATCATTTGCTGAGAGAGCAATGCTGACAGTAAAGCTACAGTAAAAATGTAAGTTGATATTAATGTACCCGCTGATACCAACCAGTGGCTTATGTCACATGTTCATCCATATTTTCTCTGCCGCTTCTCCATTCTGGTTGTATGAACTATGTCCTATGAATGATATACCAGTCGAGCGCTAAAAGGCTGGCATCGGCGACGGAGACATGGATCAGTCACCAGAGTACCAGGAATACATGTCCCTCTCGCAGAGTCACTGATGGCGAGGGAGACATCACCGCCGGAGAAGCTCATCTACTGGTGGGCCCACTTCCTGTGTCGAAAGATTCAGGACAGAGACGTAAAGCTCGCTCGACCTTCGATAACACTTGAGGAGCTTGCGTTCCGCCGTCTGGATCGATGGGGACTCCCGGCCTTAACATGGATGGGCAACAGACTGCCGGCGTCCTTGTGGAAGGACCAAGACTTGGCGTTTGTTTGCCAGGACGACGAGGAGGAGAATCAGCCTCTGTTCGTGACTGAGGGCAACGGAGCATTTCTAGATGAGGCGGCAGTGGTTGCTGACCGCGCTTTGGCCTTCTTCTTGGCCTTCGGGAGTGCCTCGTCCTCCTCTTCTTCTCTTGCACGCTTGGCACGCTCCTCACCAGCATTGACAGGTTGAGGATTGACGGGTTGAGCATCGACTGGTCCGGTCTCAACGGCTGATTCGAACTGCAAGCTTTTGGGTCTTCTGGCATTGCTGGCCTAGATCTTTGCCACTCTACCATACTGCCCAGGGGGGGTGAAAGTAGGAACGTTGACTTTACTTATCAACCCATCCAGCTGCGCAGAAGGTGAGCAGGGATGTATAGCTACTGACCATGTGATGTTGAAAAGTACGCTCGTTGCTTTACGTTGTTGGGACGACATCTCAAATGTGCGATATGTACAGTACCTTATGTGTATGTACGCAAAGCAGAAGTCCATTCAGGGATTGATTACCTATCATACAGACATCCCAAGGACCACCTAGCCAACCAGTGGCCTAATTCATAGCGCATCCATAATCTATACCGTTTTTGCCAGTCCGGATTCATCAACCATGCCCGTCCCATCCGTAAGCTCCCAATCCGAGTCGTGACCCATCCGTGGGCTCCCAATCCGAGCCGTCACCGCGGCAGTACCATGACGCTGAATGCGTCTCCAAAATGAAATAAACGAACATGTCCTGTATGGGCGTGCCTCCTCGTTCCCGGGTCTCTCAGTTCCCAGGCGCATCACCGGACGTGTCGGGGTTGTTCCGCCGACGACGTAAGTTATATGGGCTCCGCCAAGGCGGCGGAGCATTTCTAGTTGCGGCAGTGGTTGTTGGCCGCGCTTTGGCCTTCTTGGCCTTCGGGCGTTCTTCCTCCTCCTCCTCCTCCTCTTCTTCTTCTCTAGCACGCTTTTTGATACCCGCTTGACGAGCTTGGACTGCACCCAACTCGCCATTGCGGACGGCATCAGCCTGCCCAGCATCGACTAAATCCGCCTCACGAGCTTCGACAGAACCAGCGCCACCAGCATGGATGGGTCCGGCCTCAGCGGCATCGCCAGCGCCAGCATCGGGAGCACCGACTGCACCCGTCTCAGGAGCAGCCACGGCAGCGGCCGTCTCACCAGCACCAACTTCGACGTTACCCGTCTCCTAAGCGGGCTCGTTCGAGTTTGCGTTTCCATTCGCTTCGCCTCTGGCAGAAGAAGAAGACGACGATATGCGCTGCTGTCTTCGGAGATTGTTATGTGTCCAGCCGCGGATCTGGGTGGGGCCGTGGCGCGGAGGTGCCTCAACGGGCGTGTAGTCCTTTATGTGCTCACGGTAGTCAAATTGTACCGTCTTCAGCTCGGTTCCGCTGCCAGGGTACGAGAGCCGGTGAGGCGGGGTGGGTGCCGGCTCGAGCTTGCGGTACTTGGCTGATGGTGGCGGCGGCGGATTTCCTGCTGCTGCGGACGGGGCGGAAGAGCTGCCTGGGCGGGAACGCGGGGTCGGCATAACAGTAGCGCCTGGTGGTAGGACGGCTGTTTGTGCGCCCTGTGGGAGGATTGGTACTGGTGCTGTGGCCTGCACCGGTGCCGGTGCCGATGCAAGCGGCAGGGCAAGGGTTTGGTGATACGGTGGGGGTGACACCGAGTAGGGGCTCATCTGCCGCTGAGGTCCCGACGCTAGAGGCTGGCCAGCCATGGGCGGAGCTTGAAGGGGAGTTGTAATAGGATGTGGAGGCATGACCTGTTGCATCGGCGGCACAGGCTCCTGAATGGAGTATCCGTTGTGAAAGGCACGACCAGGGGCGGGCGGATAATAGGCACCGCTGTTTGAGACCACCATGTTCCCAGGAAGCAGAGCCGCATTGTTTTGCGGCTCGGGGAGAGGGTCGTTCATGAGGCTGCGCATCGGTCGCAGTGCGGGAAGGCCTTTGGCCAGGCCCGTGCTGGAAAATGGTGTTCTACTAGTGATTGGCTGCGACAAGTGAGTTGTCGCGGGGGGTGTTGGCATCGGTACCTGCGCCGGTGCAGACACAGCCCCTATGTACTCCTGTATTGACGGCCTAGGAGGAGGATGGTAGGTGGGTGGCTGAGGATTCAGCGTAGTTCGTAAGAACTCGTTGGGTTGGATGATGTTAGCGGCCGGCGGCGCATCACTAAGTGCCGTATCGGCAAGGAATGAAAGGGCTCCTGTATCGACAGGAACCGGAACACGTGCATCCTGCACAGCAGGCGGAGATGCTTGTCGGGTAGGTGGGCTGTCGGTAAAGACATCCCGGATCGCATCATAGGGTCGGGAGGGCTGGGATCGTTTAGCGGCGGCCGTGCGGGTTGCCTCGTCCTCCGCTTCTGCGGCGGCTGCTGCATTGAGAATTTCCTCGACAGACTGGGCGAAACCTGCAACGTCTTCTTGGGTAGGTTCGGGCGCTGCGGGCGCGGGAGCGGGCGCGGGCGACGGCTCGGGCGGGATGACCGCGGCAGGGGCGATACCTCGGGCTGCGAGCATCTTTTCCCGGTTCCTGTCCAGAAGAGCTTGGTCGGGAGCAATCTCTTCTTCTGAGATGCCTAATTCCTCACAAAATCTTCGCAGATTATTGGCAACCTGCAACTTCGCCTCAACTTTCTGGGTCTCTCGCTCCATTCGGGCGGCTTCTATAGTGCGTGAGGCATGTATCATGTCTCCGTTGGGGGCAACGAGGACGACGGGCTTCCAGCCGTTCACCAAGGGTTCGGGAGGTTCTTGCTCGTTTGTGGAATTGGGTAGGAAAATTCCGAGATTGGGGTGAAGGCTGTGCTTCTTCACCAGCTCCTCGTCAAGCTCGCCGGCAGCCAGAGTCGAGTCCCATATGCCAACTCTGCGGTCGATAAACATGTAGTTTGAGCCAGCCTTGCCCAGGTACTTGCCCCGGCGTTGCTTTGTGGCTCCTTTCTGAGCACAGTTGGTTGAGTCGCGGAAGCCTATGTCGAGGTCGTCCCAATCGAAAATGTTGGGCACCATGATACGGTTATTTGGAACGTCCATGCGAGTGGGCCGCCTGGAGATGAGACGGACACCGTACTCGTCAGGCGATGAGGCACCGCGGGGAAGGGGTAGGTCGGGACCGTCGGCGGCACTTGGCTCGCCGCTACTGCGAAGCTGGTCTAAGGGTCCGACGGCGGCATCTTCAGCCGGGTCGATCGGCGGGCTTGGCGCATTGGAGGCAGAATCTGGAGTATTATCACCGGTCGGCTCGAGGGCCTCGACGGCTCCAAGCATGGCAGCGGTATGGCGCGGCATTTGGGGCACAGAATCCTCGTCTTTGGCAGTCGCTGCGATCTTGGCGGCTGGCTGGCCGGCAGGTTGTCCATCTGCTTTTCGCTTGGTCGCCTCCAGAGGGAGTGTCTGCGGCTTGGTCATCAACTTGGAAATGCTGTCCCCGGAGAAGGGGACCTCGACGCCGTCGCGGGTCTGGTAGAAAACCCCTTGGTTGTCTGCCTCTTCTTGCGACACTTCTTTGAAGGTATAGCTGTCATCGGGCAAGGCGGGCGACTTTGGAAGAAATGTTAGCAGAGAAGGCAAGGGTAGGAGAGTTAGAAGCTGGACTCACATCAACAGGCAGGTTATTATCATAGACATACTCGAGGAGCTCCAGCTGTTGGAGAAGCTGCCCGTATCTCTCGTCGCACAAATCAGAAACGCGGGACTGTTTGGCTTGATTAGCTGGATGACCTTTTGAACGGAACGAAACAAGCACTTACGTTGTACGACTGGTGCTCGGCCTCGCACTGGGCGTGGTAAACCTTCTCGGCCATCTTGAGGCCAGTCTCCAGGCGGGCGTCGCATAGCCTGAGGGTGTCCTCATGCCGCTCACGCAAGAAGTCCTGGGCAGCAGAAAACTCGGGCACCTTCTCGTAGGCGGTGGGATCCTCGAGAAGCTCGTTGATGGCGCGGTCGCCGATCTCCTGGACGGCCGGCTTGACGACTTTGATGAGAGTCGAGAAAGCCTGCTTGAGCTCCAAGGACCGCTCATGAGCGGCCTGGGCTTTGGCCGAGTCGTAGACTTTTTGGCGGCGTCCACGGCCGCTTGCAGCCTTTGGCTGCGCTGGTTTGGCGATTTTGGGCTTTGCCCGGGACCAGCGGCCGCGGCCCCTACCTCTGCCACCGCCAGCGGTGGTAGTGGTAGTGGCCCTGGCTGGGCTGGCCCGCTGGGCAAGCGGTGCGTCCTCTGACGCGGCATCGTCGACCTCGGGGAGGTCGACAGCCAGAAAACTTTGCTGGCTCATCCTTGCTGTTTCTGCCGTTGTTGTTGTTGTTGCTGCTGCTGCTGCTGTTGTAAATTTTGTGCCTGTTGGTGGTGGGCGTGTTAGCGTTGGTGGTTTTGTTGCTGAAATCGACCTCCGTCCAAAGCAGTGGGCGAGGGGTGAGCCTGTGAGATGAGAGAGGCAGAAACACTTGTTTGACCCGGGCCTGGTGTAAGTAGCAAGGGCAGACTCTAGCAGTAGAGCATTTCTGGCTACACATCCATAAAAATCCATTCACCGATGCACCTACAAATGGGTATTGTGATGGCGGGTATGAGGGAAAACCAGAAAACAAAAGGCTGCTCTGTTCTTTGGCACGGGTCGATAAGACCGGGTAGCCGAAATTCCTGGGTCCGGGCTCTCCCACGGCGTGGCCAGGATGCGGACAATAAGACTGGGGAGGAAAAACGACAGGCTGCAATCGAGAGACGCGCCGTCTACTGGGACAGACAAGAAGAATTCAAAATGTACATACCTCGCGAGGCCGGTGTTGGCGGTAGGAGGCGAGTGTGTGAAAGAGACGGGGATTCGCACACTTCCGGGTTCGCATGCACAGTGGAAGAAGTAAGAGTGAGAGAGAGAGCGACGACCCAGAAGAAAAATATATCCCCCAAAATTACAGGTTGAAGAAGCTTATACAGACAATAGGTAGCTATTGTATGATTCAGACCGCAGCTCCTATTATCTGTGCACCTTATTCAACCTATTGTGCGGTGCGAATGGGACTGACAATAGCTTGAATTGTGTAGTAGCCCCAGGCTGCGTGCTGCTTTTCGACACCCATCGCCAGCACCCGCCAGCTGGGCCTGTTGCCCATTCCCGTCGCACCCCAAAACCCATGCAGTGCCAGCCTTGGCTCCACCAAGGCTTTACCGAGTAAGCCGGCCAATCAGAGCTTCCCGACTCTTTCCCAAACGGGAACGGCCGGGGGTAAGTTGGGTGACTAAGCCTGTCGTCCTTTTTTCCCTATTGTTTAGGGGTTATTTTCACATCAAAGCTTTAACGTGGTCGGATGAAATGCCTTGCAGGGCCGATCAATTGTTCCTTTTATTCTCTTCTCAAGTCAGGGCACTTCTGTAGGCAGCAGGAGGCAATCTATCTTGGACGATTGAGCATTCGATCATGCTGCGGCATGCATCGAAATGGTGTTTGTGGGAAGGCCAAGTAAGCATCAGCGCTTTGTATTCTCAGTGCTGTCACTACCGTTTCTACTCCCGCCTAGCTGCCAGAACATGGAGTAGCCACCTGTAGTTTAGTTACAGATTATGCTCGCGATTCTCCAATGGTTGCATGGACCTATAGCTATTGTGTAAAATGCTCGTGCCATCATGTCATCGGGATAGGTGGATGTATTAAGTTGACACTATTAACAGTGTTGACGGGTTGGCGGCGGTATGGCCCTGACCCAGTTCTACTCTACTCCGTACCATGCGCTGATTCTAGAGCTCCGTGTCACTCAATTTTGGGCCCGGCGTTGCTATCTTCGCATCTTGCTGCTGGTGCTCTTGGAGCGCTTGTCGCTGGATCGCCCTCCGCGGGTAATCTCGAAGGCATGTTTGTTCCTGCTGGGCCCTGTGGACCTGCTTCCGCATTGCCAGTTTTTGGGTCCGGTGGGAGTCTTGCCATCTGTCCAGGAGTCGGCTTCTAGACTGCCTGCAGCTAGATCTAACTTGTGCTTCCACATTCCGAAAATTTTGAATCTCATGGCTGACGTGATGTCTTCGCCCTTTCCTCGCATCGCTAAATTCAAGTAAAAGTCAGCGGAGGGTCAAAACAGCTTGAAAACACTATGTACTTTGCAAACACCTATAATGACAATAAACTGAAAAGAGATAGAAAAGGCAAGAGAATAAATCCAGAGCATCCGGAATCGAATTGTCTTGCCGTCAGCCGTCAGTGACGACCCTGTCCGCCCGGAGCCCAAACAGGCAAGCTCGAAAAAAGCTCCGGAGGCCGGCTTGGCACAATACCCCCACTGTTGTGCCCCAGAGTGGATCCACATGCCTGGCGGCTGGAACCGAACAAGCGGGAACTAAAGTTTTTGGCCCGTCGTGATTTTTCCCGGCCGCCCGGAGAAGCCCAAATGGGCCCGTTCACCGAGACCTGACCATCAACCAAATGCCAGGCTCGTTGCCGTCGCTCGCTTCCCGACGCCGGGTCTCCTCCGACCTCACTGCCCGGCTCCATTTCCACCTGGTCCCCGGCCTGAGCACTTGAAGGTGACACAAAACTCGCAAAGAGACATCGAACAATATTGATCGGGGTTTCAATTTCAATTTATTTTCTGCCTTCTTTTCTTTGCTTTACCATGGCGAAAAAGCGAGGCCTGCTGCTGCACGCCGCCAAAGCAGTCAAGCAGCAACAAAAAGCCGCCGCCGGGCAGAAACCCAACAAGGCCGCTCCTTCCGGCAGAGGTTCCGGTAGCCAGCCAGCAGGAAAGAAGCAAAAGATTGACAGCAGCAATGCCACCACCAAGACTCTTCCCTCCGCACATGCACGACAGCAAAACCAAAAGCCCACCATCCCCTTCTATTCCTCCGACACGATCCTGCTCGTGGGCGAAGCTGATCTGTCCTTCGCCGCCTCGCTCATAACCCACCACAAGTGCACCAACGTGACCGCCACCGTCCTCGAAAAGGACGCCGCCGAGCTCTCCTCCAAATACCCACATGTCTCAGCCAACATATCACTCTTCGAATCCCCCGAGCACCCAGGCTGCCGGCTTCTGTACGGCATCGATGCGCGAAAAATGGGCCCCTTTACCACCACTAGCAGCAGCACGCCCCGCACGGGGGGTACAAGTAGTCGTCCCGCACAGGGCGGCGGCGGCGGCGCCATGAAGCGCATCATGTTCAACTTCCCGCACGTCGGGGGCAAGTCGACCGACGTCAACCGGCAGGTGCGGTACAACCAGGAGCTTCTGGTCGACTTTTTCCGGCGCGCGCAGCTGTCGCTTTCTCCCGACCGCGGGTCTTCCATCATCGTGACCCTGTTCGAAGGCGAGCCCTACACGCTGTGGAACGTCCGAGACCTGGCGCGCCACGCGGGGCTCGAGGTCGCCACCAGCTTCCGTTTCAGCGCCGACGCCTACCCGGGCTACGCCCATGCCCGTACCTTGGGAGTGGTTAGGAACCGGAAAGGTGAAGTGGCCAAGGCTGCCTGGAAGGGCGAGCACAGGCCTGCGAGGAGCTACGTCTTTGTGCGAAAGGGCGAGGCGGAGGATGCGTTGCGTGAGTTGAGGCCGGGGATGGTGGAGGGAGGGAAGAGGAAGAGGAAACGCGGGAGGGGTGGGGAGGGGACGGGCAGTTCTAGTAGTAGTGAGGACGAGAGTGGGCAGGAGGAGTACGAAGAGCAGGCGGTGGGCGATGATCTTGAGGAAGGCTGGAGTGATGAGGATGGGGATGGGGATGAGATCAAGGCGGAGGAAGCTGGCAGCGGCAGTGAGGATGAGCTTAACGACGGCAAACATCGGTCCAGTGATGCGGACTGAAGGCCCAGCTCGGCCAACATCTACACCTTATTTCGCTCACCAACCTTCAGACACACTCCCCTTTCGACCGATGGCAGTTTCCGCGCTTACCGGCTTCATGGCAGAACTCATCAGATATTTCCGCCCATGGGAGAGGGCGCCAGGACGACCCATCTGCGCAGTTCTGGAGCAGCAGAGCAGTGGGTTCCCTCGAGATCTGGATCTCGGTTCCTTGTCCTTCGTGTTCCGGCAACTTTGGCGGCCAAGCCTCTGCTTGGAGATACCACACCCATGATGAGCACGCTGCGACCAATCCGAACCCTGATTTTGAGGTCGACGAATCCCCAGATTGTGCTTGCAATCAAACCACTCACAGCGCGTGCCGCTTGATTAGGCCACCGGACTAGCAAGAGCCAACCATCACCGCCTAGATGCCCACCGTTGTCAGTCGCAGTCTGAGTGGGTATCGTAGCATCGGTGGCCGCCCAAGGGGCCTTGGCAGAGCTTAACGGCCGTGATCGATCAAACACATGAGCCAGAATGGAAGACCTGGTGCGCTTGGCAATTCTTCAGGCCCGCGAAGCTTGTTTTTGCTGCCACAACCAGCTGGACCTGTTACGAGACGCTATCAGGGTGGACATCTGACCACTGGAACCCCGCTGTCTCCATACGAGCGTAGGACTTAGTTCACGGTCAGGGTCTCGTCTTTCATCGGGAAGGTCGTTCTGGGATATCGGAGCCGCGAGTGGAAAACGGATTTGCCACGCTTGTTGTTGTGGTCTTGCCTTGCGTTTCCATCCTCACCGTTTTCAGGATACAGCCTCGCTACCTCGAGTACCTCGCCAGGAGAAGAGAGGTTCCCCTGTCACACTGTGTATGCACGCCAGGGCTTAGTTCCCAAAGCTACTAGTACCGACATCTCATGCAAACACCCGCATCCACTATCCCTGTCTGGCGCCACTTGGAATTTCCACACCTCCCCAGCTGCCCATAGCCAGGAGGACAAGTTTTGCGCCCCTCATCGCCCTGTCAGACCACAACCGGCGCCACCTTCCAGCCTAAGAGCCAGGCGCGGTTTGCTTCACATGCTCCCGATGCAGAGAAAGCCAAAGCGGGCCGATGTTGAATTTTCCCGGCCCTGAATATTCGAGAACCACCTCATGCGGTGGCTCCCGGCCGCTGGACTTAGTTTGGCCGAAGATGCCGTGACTGGCAGGACAGAGCCGCAAACAACATGCTCGCAGTCCCTCGGAGCTCCCGAACAAAACCCATGCCATATGCAACATACTCCTGGAGATGACGAAGTCACGAAGACGTGTAAACGCCACCTTGGTTCCTTCACATCGACACTACAGTACACTACCACCAACCCAACCCAGGCCTGCGGCGTGCCGTGCCTTAAACGGAGGCTACCCGGCCTCCACAACAGCCACACGGTCTTCACATTCCTGAAAGGGGGGCCTGCTACACAAACCAACGGACACTTTATCCTCGGACCGAGAGAGATTGCTTGAGAGACCTGCCCGAGTGTTACAACCTCGGGATGGCGAGAAAACAATCATTGCCAAGGAGAAAAATGTAGTAAAATAAAATAATCAATAAATGTTAACAGAAAGACAAGTACCGGTAACGTTCACGATGACAAGCAACGAGCAGCCAACAAAAGCGAAACCGAGCCCTTCTTCAAATTCTCGTTCAACCACCACCCAGCCCCAATCAAGAAATCACCTCCGGCCTCTCATTCATTCACTCGAACCTGAATGAAAATACGACTGTGCCTTGCATCTCCTGGGCTCACCAGGACGCCATCCTGCAAAGTGACACGAGCCAGGAAACAAAGAGACGACCCTTTCCCCCTCCGAGTCATGGCTGAGGAAATAAACCGCGGGGAAATGAGCAACCCCAGTGGAAGGCGAGAGAATAGTACAACACATACATTAAGTAGAAAGCAGTACAGGCCGTGGAGATCCAGATCAAAGGTTTATCAATTGCAGGCGCAATGCCTGGAAAAGTCAAAAAGTCAACAGGAAGGCAAACCAAATAAATACTAATACGGTACTGGTGGTTGAGGGTGCGAACCTACAAGTACCTGAGTCTCAGCATACCTTACTGAAGGCACCTTTACTTCCCCACAGCATATCAAATGGATACCGGTAAAGGGATCGGGAACCACAAAACGCCTCAGTCAATGTTCCTGCGCCAGGGCACACCGAGATGAAATAGATCCATGCAAATTGCTTGCTCACTTGGTTTCCAAAGCTAGACTGAAGCCATAGTCTCCAGTCAAAAGAAGAAGTACTGTCCGGGCTAAATCACCCCCTTTCCGAGCGGTTACCTCAACTGTTCCTGTCACTGTTCACTAACATCATGCTGGGTTCAGACTGGTAGAGGTGAACATAGAGACTGCCACCGCCCTCCTGGGTTGATTCACATAGCAGCCCAAAGTAGTAGGAAACCAATGTAGAGATCTCGTGTTTTCTACTGACTGCAGCTTCTTGTTGAGCATACAAGTGTGTACCTGTCTGTACAGCGTACATAGGACGAACGATCCTGGTATCAACCCAGCAGAGTTCATTTCCATGATATTGCGTAAGGATCATAGTAAAATATAAGAATGCCAAGAGGGATGTAGGGGAAACACCGCAAACAAAAGGAAGTTGCATCTTAACGAGCAGCTTGAGATAGCCAAGTCCAAGAACACCACCTATTCTCCCAGGATCCAATCTTCAATAGCCAATGGTATTCTTATCCAAAGCAACCTGGCAAAGTTGTTAGAGTTTATCCCTCCAACATATGGAGAGATATAAGCAAAAGTATCGTAAGTGTCGCTTGGAGTGTCAATTGCAGGCAATGAGCGTTTGATGCGACAAAAGAGCCATCCAGATGTGGCGGGGAGAGCAGAAAGATGTGAAATGGAAACAGTTTTCAAGTAAACGTTAGCCACCACGCAGCTGAATCAGTCGGCCACCAGTCCCAAGTCTCCCAATTATTGCTTGTCCGGTTGCTTTAAAAACTGCCTCGGCCAAAAAGATCAAGACCCATGGGTATATCGCTTTTGTCTTTCCTTCTCCCCTGCCTGCAAGAGCAAGGCCAAGTTGCCGCCCTAGACGCAGTTATCAGAGCGTGAGGAAACCGCAGGAAATAGATATGCAATAAAATCGATACAGAGAAAGGAGAGATGCCCATTTAAACTCCTACAGCGCATCCGGGTCTCATAGCACTATTTCAGTGTCACTCATTTGGTGAACTGGGGGCTGGGCCGGAAACACATTACTCGACACGCCTCATCAATATGACATGCAGACATCCCGGCTTTGTGACATCCCGCTGCCTCTAAAAAGATCATGTTGAGAGTGAGGTAATGGATCAAATCCTTGGGGCCCATACTGTTGTTCCTGCTGCTGCAATGGGGGGAGGGGAAGGGGCGTTTGAGCATGATGTGCCGCTTGCGCAGTCACGGCGTACATGGCCGAGGGGGGCGGTGCGGTCGACGCGCTCTGAGGCTGCTGTGGCTGCCAACCAACGTTGGCAGGATACATGCCAGATGGGGAGAGGCTGGAAAAGTCGGAAGGCGTGTTGAGAATGGATGACCGACGGCCGGGTTCCTGCGGGCCGGATAGCACGTCATGCATGTGCAGAGCGGTAGCGTGAGCTTGCAGCGAGGTTGCCTGTCCGCCGTTCGTCATGTTTCCGCCGTCGGCATATTGATAATGGTCTGGTGGCATCATGGCGGTCGTGCCGTACTGGCTATCGCGGATTGAGAGAGTCCCCATGTATGATGCAGCCTGAAGAGTAGTAGGATTCAGAGCATGACTGCTGTTTAGTGATGGGAGCAGGTTGTGAGGGGTGGCGGTGTTTGTAGGCGGCACACTGGAGGTATCAGAGCCAGAGCTCTTTCGTTCGCTCTCTGCTTTCAGTCGGGCGGGGAAGCCGACGTTGTCATCATCATCTTCGTCGTCAGAGGGACAGTAGTTCTGCACCATATCGTCCGCCATGACATAGATTATGGTATTTGCATCTATGGCAATCGATTAGCACGTGCAAGAAGGAGAATGCGAGTGAAGAAGTGGGCGTGAGAAAGGTAGCGAACCTAGCTCGTCCCTCTTGTACTTTTCTTCCATCTTGGCAACTTTGAAGACTTCCTGGAGGATTGGCTTTTTTCTTGCGTTGTTGGTGTTCTTGTCGGCAAACCAAGTGGAGAGTTGCTCCATCGTAATGCATTCCAGTTTAGCAACATTGATGTCTGCCTTCTGGATATCCGGATGCTGCAACTCGAGAGGCTCGACTACTAACTTCAGGATGTGGACAAGGAGATGAATTCGCTCTATTTCTGGATGTTAGCAGATTCTTTCTCGTAGCTGGCGGATCGATTGCCAACCTGGCTTCAAGAGGTGGTCTGGCTCGATGTGCCGGACCCTGTCCTTCTCGCCGGGACCCCAAGGCTTCGGCCACCAACCGGGAGCAGTAGCATCGCCTCTGGTGTAAGGGTTGTTGGCCTGCTTCCTCGGCGCGATTGCCTTCACAAATGCTTTGCCGATATGCTTGCAAGTTGTTTGCTGAATGCACCTGAAGCGGTGGTCGTAAAAGTTCCATAGCGCTTCTGAATCTCCGATCCTGAGAGGCACCTTAGGCGCAGCGACAACGGGCGGCCTATCGTCATCCAATTCCCGTCGCAACGCGCTTCCTCTTTGCCGCCTTCTACGTCTGGAGGTTGGCACCCAGTGGTCCTCGAGTCGACCGTCACCATAGCCCTCGGAATACCCCCCACGGGCAGTTTCATTGAAGACACCGTCGTCCCCTGCCTGTAGTCAGAACTACGCTTGATAAGAATAGCTAGGTTCTCGAAGCTTACTTGGCATTATTCCGTGCTGGTACTGAAGAAATCGATCCCTCCGAAACATGCCGCGGATCTGTTCATCCGTCAGGGGATCGGGGCCGGAGAAACAGGCAACTTGGCCGTTCTTCAGAGTCACGGCAAGGAAGAAGCCTTCGTAGTCGATATGACACTGCTCTCGTAAAGCCCTGGCGACGGTCTGGTTCACAATTAGCATTCGAGCTTGTACGACAAGAACAGACGGCCAGACCAGGGCGGTATCGCCTACTGATGGAGGAGAGTCTCTTGCAGGTTCCGCAGTCAAGGGACTGTTATCGATCGGAGATTGGTCGGTGACAGGTCTGTTCCCTTCCCATTGCGGGCTCTGATACAAGGAGCGACAACTGGCACCCCAGACGTTCACCATGGCTCCGGCTGGCTAGAGGCTGGTGATATATATACTGGTATACAGACGGGTCTAGGCGTGTGCTGTATGAAGCCAGAAAGCAATCTAGTAGGGCTGAAGGAGAGATAAGCTGTAGAGTGCCCTCGTAAAATGATCTTTGGGTTCTCGGAAGACGTGTGTCAACACACAAGTGGGGAACTGGAGACGATATCCTAGTGTGATGGCTACCGGCGAGCACCAGCTCAGAGTTGGGGTGGGTCGGAACGTTTGAGCGAGCCAGACGCGGAGGGACGGGATTCCAGTCAGATCGACTCCGGACGTTGAGGATACTTATCTATGTGGACTGAGGGAGCCAAGGTATAGATGGCTGTCTCCTAGACGGCGGGGCGAGATGGAAGCTGGTGCTTGGGTGAACAAGCACAAGGTTGAGCTTACACAAGTCAAGGGTCCAGGAAACGGCTGAGAGACTGGACAGTGTGCAAGGGGCCTCAACAAAGAGGGCTGAGCTTGTTCCTGGGGCTGGGCAAGCCAGAGGCGTTGGGCGGCGTGTTGCGCGGTGTGGAGGTGGACGATTTTACGATTATGGCTTCAACCCTTATATCAGCTCACGGGTGTGGCTTGCTGGGTCCGACAGGCGGCGGTCAGTCGTCTTTGTCTGCAGCGTAGACATGAGACATCAGGGTCCAGAAACTGACTAGTTGAGCGCGGCGATCTTTGCTGAGATATTTCCACAGCTCTCTCGGCTGGATGACGGTGGCGGTACTCTAGAGTGTTGCGTCCAGTTCGAAGATGTCCTGGCGGGCGCCCCCTGCCTTTCGAAGGAGCCAAAGCACCTGGGCCGTCCTGGGCCGTCTGGTTCAATGGCCAAGAATCCTTGGGCGCAAGGACCCCACAGAGATGGAATGGTATGAAACCAGCAAGCGAGGGGAGTTGGTTATCGCTTTACTGTGTAGGAGACCTTGGTGAGTGGGGTCGACGATCGATGATCTTCCCGAGCCTGGGGACAATATCGAGCTAAGAAGTATCAGTCGAGACCTGGAACGGCCACGGCCCTAGTATAGGCTGAGAAGGCGTGGGGTCTTTGCTGGTCTGGCAGCGAGAGAGCGCTACACCAGGAATTTGGAGGGAGTGTTGAAGAAGGATAGGCCCTCGCAACCAGGAGCAGTGAGACTGGGAGCCGAGATATAAACGAACAGACGACAGAGAGACTTCTAGCAGCGGACACAGTCGCACTACCCAGGGTCAAATGAGACATGCTCGTGTAGACGTCCACCTAAACTGGGGCTGGAGCAAAGATGAACACTCTTGGGAAGCATGGGAGGATACACAGGGGGCCGACGCCACCCAAGGATGGGTTACTTCCCCGGTGGTTAACAGCCTGGGAGAGACTTGCAGAAAGGCTATCAGGCAGGTGCTACCGCACTGTGCCCTTGTAACTTCCCAGTGGTACCTGGTAGTCCTGAGTTCAACACTTGCATTCCATTCTTGCCCAACTTAACTTACCGTTTCGCCGCGTCTCTGTAACGGACTGCTAGGTACTGTACGTACCTTAGGTAGTCGCAGCCCAGCATATTGCACCTCAGGTACTTCGCACCTGCCCGCCTTGTCTGGTAGCATCACGGTCATACGCTGGACAGGATTACCCGATAAGGAATCGACAGCACTTGTCTGGAGGCAGCGATATCGAAGCCATATGGCGGAACTGTGCTGTAAGAGGTGCAAACCTGGGTAATGAGTGTCAATGGTGGTGTACGAAAGTGTATCTGTATGTGGATCAGTACTTCACCCCGACGTACCTTATATGGCACCCTCATGCACGCGTCAGCGTCGTCAGCGAGGTAATTCGGCAGTTTCCGTGCATAGGTTGCCAGTGAAGGCATGGCTGATAGATTATACCTTTCTCCGTAGATGCCGGGAATCAGGTACCGACCAGACAGTTGGAAACTCAAACTCATAACCAGCTCTCTGGCCGTCCTGTCTCCTGGTTATTTGTCTTTGCTTGATGAATTCCTCGAGGGCTCTCTAATATCGATGAGGCCCTGGACGAGGCGTCGAAAACGGACCTGCAAGATAGCGCCGCCATACACACCAAGGGTCGAGGTGCCCACCTCACCTGTCACAACATTGACATTATTACTACTGTTTTCCAGATTAGCCAATGGCGCTTAGTTAGAAGAGCAGAAGAAAAACATCTGCCCAATAGGTTACCCTCCGCGCGCGTCTCTCGGCGAGATTCTGCACTCGCTAGAAACACCACTAGATGGAGAAAAAGAAACCCCAAGAGAGTTCGACTGGAGTAATGAAACCGCGGTTTATATTAAGTGTAAGGACCTTGATCCTTGTCTCGGCCGTTATAGTGTATGATATTAGTGTAATAGCGTTGCAGACCCCCGCAGCTTGCGCCGGGGTGCCTGAAAGCCCCAAGGCTGCATGTGTCGGACCAGCACAAATCAGATCTCGATCAAGCTGTTAGCGATGGCATTAGCGTTACACACGAGGCTGCAGATCCTTGTTTTGAGGTTTCCGTTTCGGTGGGACCACAGGAGAGGCTTTACCTAGAAGACTTTTTCGTACATCGCAGAAAGTAACCTCAAAGAGGTATTCAAAGGCTGTCTTGTGAATATCCAGCCAGCAATACCTCAGGCAATTAAGTCAGCTGCAATGAATAGCTGGCGATGTCTGGGCCCTGCTGCGTTCGCCCTCATAGGCTTACCCAGGATCCGTTCTGCTGAGAAAATGCCACAGCATCCAACCCTTCATTTGCCTCCTGGTGTGTCGAGAACGGGTTGGATGCTATGGAGGTTTCGTTGCTTTTGTTCTGTGTAATTTGGCTCAGGCACCAAGCATCGGCTACCTAGGTCATTTAGCAATTCGTCGACGGTTCGCTTTGCGCGTCATGTCCAAATCAAGGCAACCTCCGATAGCCACACTTCAATTGAGCGGCCGATGAGAACCTGACACGGCTTTGGAAGTCGTTCGAATGGCTGCGATGGCGCCGGCTTGGAGCCCAGGTTAGTGTACACATAAGGCTCCTTTACCTGGTATGGCTGTTCCGTGGTTTCCTTGAGCCACACTGAGCCGGATGTGCCCAGCGCACAGTACCTAACGTTTTGAGAAATCTATCCCTGCGTCACACAGGAGCGCCGTGGCGATGGCGGTCGGCGACGCTTCCCTCCAAGCCATTGAGAATGCAGACGATGATTGGTCGATAGCGCAATTCGCTTCGTTTGTCACCAAGCGGCACCCTGCGAGACTAACGTCCGCCAACCTATCACCCCGTTGCTGCAGAAGCGGCGACGCGGGTGTTCCTCCGATTGACGCTTCGCTGCGGAGAAAAGAAATCTAGAAGCATCAAGATCGAAAGGGAAATTGAATGTGAGCCGAGTGCATTTCATGCATCTCGAAGAGCTAAGGGGGACATTTGGCAATGATGTTGGGCTTCAGTTAATGCGACGACAGCGGCCGAAAACAAGTGACTGTAACGCTCAGGTACCGTACCCGGAGAGATTGGGTGGGAGAGCTGCGAGCCCAATGGAACCCGCCAGAGCAGCCAGGAAATACCTTGGGCTAGCTAGCAGCTACCCTATGGCTTCGCCTCAACCTGCCCAATTTTGCATATCCTTTGAGGAAGCCAGTCTGGAACTGCCCAGGTGTCTCGGGCAGAAACACCTGATTGTCAGTCGGTTTGATGGTGGTGACACAAAAAGGCCCGGAGATGCTGCTGTCTCCACCACCGCAAGCCTCAGCGTCTTGTCCAATCCAAACTTACTCGATGCCACCAGTTGGAGCCCGAGCTGGCACCGTTCTTCGCACTGAGGCGGTAGTTAGTCAAAGAGTCTAACGCTGAAGTCGATTAGGCGTCGGCCAAAATGTCTGTTTTGAGGTGGTAGACGCATCTCCCCGTGAAAGGAAACTACGCCCTGTGTATAAGTGTAAGGAGGTAGCTCTGTACCTTATGTAATTACCTCCGTAGTGTACCGGTATATCAACCGATCCCCGAAGGCAGTTCGATTCAGTCCCAAGATGACGTTCCCGACCCTCGAAGCGTTTGACATGCTGCCTACCTTAGCGAGCTTAGGCACCCGAATTTCCTCCCCCTACAGCCGCTCACTTCTCACAGCTTGACGACGGAGATAGCGGGACAGTGCCGTACCAGATTGTCGGGCCGGTCCTTCCACTCCACATCTACGCGCACGCACCAAGCCAAGATCCGTTTTCGTTGATTTACCAGATTTAACGTATTTTGGTGTACTGTACAATACAATACTCCGTAATCACTGCACTGCTCTTTCCAGTTCAAGAGAGCAAAGTTGGACAGTTGAGTCACACAACAACTGAAAAGCAGCAGGATTCTGGAATTGCAGTAGGCGTCATGCAGCTTGTTCACACCCTGGGATGCCACTCCCGCAGTCGGTTGGCCCCACCCCACATCAACTTCATACCTACCCTTCAATTTGCTCTGTCGCCGGATTGGGCGGCCGACTGTGAATAACGTGTTTCGTATCGGCAAACCTATTTGTCGGACACCTAGACACCTTTTATAGTAAGTTTGATATTTATACCACCCAGCGGGGTAGCATTGCTGAAGATGTCCATGCTAACGAGCCTATCTGAACTGCACTGTGCAACAACAGCATGCCATCAATAATGCAACTAAGGAGACGTTATCGAGCTTAGTGAGCTCTGTTGAGCTCTGTCGCGCTGCGTGGCGTGCTCCCAGCCACCGATACCTTCCGATTTCCAACAATTCTCTGGATAGTGTGCATACAGCCGATTAGAGGTTGCCAGTTGACTGTCACTACTTCATAGGGGAGTGTTAGCTGGTTCGACGACATCCATCATGGTGCATTATTCCGGTACACTGGCAAAATGTCAGCCTGGAGCTGGTGTTACACGACAGCTTCCTCTTCCTAGCTCGAGCGCCGGTCCTAACCGCTTCAAGTGCCCTATGCAACTCCGTCACTTTCGATCGGTCCGTCACCTCAGTCGTTACCAGCTCAACGGTACTGTATGTGCCTGGCCCAGGTGATCCCTGTCCCTGAGCGAAGGGCCCAGAAGGGGCAGTGCCGAGCGAGAGGACCATCCAGGAAAGCTCGAGCAATAACGTTATACACGGCGTCTCTCCGGAGCCAAAACACAATACATCTGCGACCGGCTGGGCCATTAAATGTCCGACGCGTCCGACAATTCGAACAACACTTGTCCTGCCGGCTGTGCCGCTGGCCTGCCCTATCCGATTACATCGGCTTATCTTTGGCGAAACTCCGCTTCGTCTTGACGTCGGCCGTTCCACACATCTCGTCAGCCACATCTCGTAGGGTAGTGCTGACGCTCGGAGCTTCCTATGTATGTACCTGCAACCCATGCTTTGACCCCCACGACTCGTTTATAGAATCGCCTGTTTGCCCTTATCACCCAATTCATCCCAAGTCGAGACTCGAGCGTCCGAGGCTAATAACGACCTAGTCCCTAGGTGCCATCCAGCATGGCTAGAGTGACGGTTTCAATGATGAACAACCACCCCTCGTTCTCCTGGTCATAGGTCCCATCTCGGTCAGTCACTCAATGCTGCTACTAAAGCCTTATGGGTGAGTTTGAAGCTGTCATTGGGCTTAACAGATACATAGGTACAGTACAAGCACCTTGGTTGGATCATTATGCGCGCTCGTGTAACAATCCCCGAGAGCTCAACGGCAGAGCCCCTGGCATTCATGCATCTGTCCTTGGGCCGACCACACATCTCAAGAGACTGGTAACGTCCTCCTGTCCAACTCTGCAGCTGTTGTTCCCCCATCTAATTCTGCATGGCTCTTTACCGGCGAATCTCGAAGTTGTGTTGGATTCCTAACCATTTACTCCGTAATGCAGTCAGCACCGCATGCCGTATGAATACGGCAATAATATCAACCCATGTTACGCGGCTTCCCGCTTCGCACTTCGCGCTAAAGGCTAAAGCTGCGCCAATGAGGCGCTCACGATAGGTAAACACATGACAGATCCCTGGGGGAAACGTACCCAGGACATTGTTACACAAAGACTCAAGTCGTTGAGGGGAACAGGAGCTGTTTCCCAGCACTTAGCCGCTTGTGTTACTTTTACCTTCCCCGCAAAGTTCTCAGATAAGACTTCCCGCTCTACACTACGGATACATACAGTACCTATCCACAGGACGCTTGTGCTTCCCTATCACAGACAATCGCACCGAGCGGCGCGCCAACATACGCCGTCTAAAGCACACACTAGCCGAGAAACGAGGTATGATGCTGAAGTGGACGGCAAAGGTTCAATTTTGACCCCCACCTTTGTCTCCGGCCCCGAATTTAGAGGAAACAGGAAGGGGTAGGGTAGTTACTAGTGTAGGGGGCCAACGCTCACCTCGCTTAGGTAGCTTTGCCCGAGCCTCGCACTTACATACATACATACATACATACATACATACATCCGTACATCTATCTGAACCCATCCAACCAACCTACCTGCCCGCATACAACAAGCACCATGCATACACCACATCCAGCTGGCCAAGGTCAGGATGGGGGGGATACACGGCAGGACGGACCGGTCACGAGATTACTCACGACTACCTTACTGCCAACGTTGGTATGTAGGCATGTCTCGGACTTGATTTCTGCCGCTTGCTTACATACCTTGCTGGACACGACCTTGCCTTGCAGGACCACGTCGATGGCAAGCCCATTGCCCTCTCCCCGTACTTGCACCATTGTGGCCTATCTGTGTCCTCCGTCCCCGGTAACAGGCGTTAACTATGTCCTCAGTTCATCCCTTTAACTGTGGAATGAGCCATTTTCTTGGCGCCCCTTAAATACTTGGTGAGACTAAGCAGGTCTCGCGTGCTCGCGTGTCTGTGCTGAGAAAACCAATTAAACTTCTTGCTGGTAATGTATCGGTTTGTAGAGATTTGCGTCTTGGCGGCCGGAACAAAGTTCAATTGGTCAGTTTTGCGTTTTGTCGAAGAAAATGGCTCATTCCACAGTTAAAGGGATACTCACTCCTCCGGCTCCTCGGGAGGTTGGGACACCTTAAAGACGGTAGGTCTCTTCCAGGATGGCATGAAGAACTTGCCCAGTGATATCGTACATAGGTAATGTACATACATACCGTACCCATTTCTCCCGCTCACCAGCTCACCTCACCTTCGGGTGTTTCTCGGAAGCAGACAAGCTCCATGTGCCTCCACGTATGGGGGATGGGACAGCTGCCCTGTGGCAACCTGTTGGGTCTGTCCCCTTCAGCCCCTTGCATCTCAGCCGTCTACACTGCACAGTAGGCATTCGGACTTAGGCCTTATGGTGAATCAAAGACATCAATTTTTGTTAACCTCACCGCCCTTGTTGTTGGAGTGTTGTCAACCGTTCTACTACTTACACTTACAAGTAGAGTATTTACTGTACATACATCTATTTATGTCGCGTCGGACGGGCTACATAAGACCGAATTTGGGTTACATCTATCTCCATGGATTTTGGTCCCAACCTACATCAGCGCCCGCGTCAACTGTATGTATGAATCCCCAGATGAGGAAAAAGAAGAACAGATTGTCCGCTTATTCCTTACGTACGTACATACATACATTTTATTCTACATAGGATTTGTTTTTCTGGACTATTTGGCTTCTACCTATCGTTTTCCAAGTCCTTCCCACGCCAAGCCGAAAACTCACTTTACTTCACACCTTCCCAGCTTCATCCGCTCCCTCCCGCAAGCCAACCATCATCTGTATCCAATCCGGCCTCCTTCACGAGGCCATAAAACACACCCCTCTTCTTGAGCAGCTCCTTGGGCGTATCAAACTCGACTACCTCGCCCTTCTCAAGTACCACGACGCGGTCGCTGTCCATGATGGTGTTGATCCTGTGCGCGACCGTGATGATGGTGCGGTTGGCAAACAGCGGGCTGCGCAGCGTGGCCTGGAGCATGGCGTCTGTCTGTACGTCGACGGCTGCTGTGGCCTCGTCGAGAACCAGAATGTTGGACGGGGTGAGCATTGCGCGCGCAAGCGACACCAGCTGCCTCTGACCCTGGGACAGATTGGATCCTAATTGTTGCCCCCATGTCAGTAAGAATAAGAAATCAATTGGTTGTCTTTAGTAAAACAGGGCGTTGCAGTATTGCTCCCTTGGCATGCTTGGGCCTGAGTGTCACTGTGTTGAAGTGAAGTGAAGTGCTTGCGCTAACTGTGCATGCTGTGTCGTGATAGTGACGGGAACGGAATTGTGGGGGACGGAGAACGGGGTCCACCACAGCAAGCCATCTCGATCCTGCACCCCGGCGGAAAATTGAGAAGTGACGGGGCTGGGGTCCGTGGTAGGAATGGATTGGCGTTGCCTGCTGCTGGAGAGCTTGGCGCGGCAGGCCTGTGAACCATAACCATGGGCATGGATGGTAGGGCCGTAGGGGAATTGAAATTGCCAAGAGACGATTTTCAGACAACGGAGGAGACCTGATGGAGCGAGGGGAGGGGGAATAGCAGTCCCTCTCGGAATCCGGCTCGCCTGCTGGCTGGTGGCCCCCGACGTGGTATGCACTGCGCCGGAGGTTGCGCAGGAGACGGAGCTTGTGTAGACACCATCTGCGCGGACGACGGAGAGAGAACAAAGATGCAATGATACACAAGATGCGCGGGGGAAGGATGACAGCCAACGGTGGGTAGGTCCGCCGAGGTCTGCCTCCAGCCGCCCTCAGTTGCTTGTGAAAGAGGGGCAGGTGTGGTGGTATGTCTGCTCAACCCACCCCACGTTGCGGAATGTGGTTGTTGTAGGGGGCCGAGACCCATAGCCCTGCAATATCAAGGCTATAGAGAGCTTTGGGTCTCCCGGACGTGGTGGGCAATATGTCGCTATCCGTGTCGCGAGGATGAACTCGCAACCGAACATGCCAAAGAGCGGACACGGGAAAGGAACTCGCAAAAGCCGACAGAAAGCGCGAAACAGGAGCAGACAACACCTAATACCACATAAGGAATATGCACAGCTTACCTCCTTCGTTTATCTTGGCCTCCAAACCGCCTTCCATGCTGGCGACATGGTCCTTTAGCCGGGCGTGTTCTATGCAGCCAGATTAGTCTTGTGTAGCCGGTAAGAGCACGAGGCCATGTGAACACTGTTGTGGAGGGCAAGGCTTATTGCTGGTGTAACACCGAATACGTACCAAGAACGCTCCAGAGTTCCGTGTCATCATGGACATGTCCCGGGTCGAGGTTATCCCGGATTGTCCCCTCGAAGAGAGCGGCGTCCTGTGGTATGATGGCAAGACGCCGCCGAAGATCCAGCAGGCCGATGGTAGAGGTGTTGAGACCGTCAAGGCTGATGTTGCCTGTGGCCGGCTCGATAATCCTAAACAATGCCAAGGTCAACGAAGATTTGCCAGCCCCTGTGCGTCCCACGACGCCAATCTTCTCGTGCGGCTTGATATCCAGATTGACGTTCTTGAGCACGAGGTCAAGGCCCTCACGGTACCGTGCGCTGTAATTGATGAACTCGACCTCACCGCGCGACGGCCAGCTCACGGGCGGCCTGTTGCGGTGAATGATCTCGGGAGCCTCGCTTGGCAGGCGAGCGTACTCAAGGACGCGTTCCACAGACACGATGTTGGTCTCGACCTCTACTGTCTGACGGACAATCCAGTTGAGTGATGTCGTGATCTGCAGGGCATAAGACATGGCAAGGCCGACCATGCCTGAGGTCAGACCGCTGTGGCCGGCGACCGAAATGACTGAGAATCCAGCGGCACCCAGGATAACTACAGCGCCAAGAAACTCGAGCCTCACCGCCAGCCATCGGTTGGCGCTGATGGACGGGAAATAGGCCCGAAGGTTGGCATCGACTCGCCACTCATTCTCGAGCTCAAATCTATCCTGCTGGCGATACGCACGAATGGAAGAGACACCGCCCAGGGACTCCTGGAAGTGAGCGTAGATTGGGCTGCGGCTCACACTGTCCAGCCTCTTCAGCTCTCTCGATGTCCGCAAGTAGTACCGCTGGACCCAGAGGTACATGGCGCTCAGGGGAATGATCAGGGCGATGAATGCGGGCGTTGAAACGGACACGACCACAAGCGTGAAGCCTGATTTGGCGAGATTGTTGAACAGCATGTTGAACGTCCGTGCAAGAACCTCGTCAACACGATAGATGTCACTGTCCGTAGATGGAACGAGTCAGCATCCCGCGAGTATCCGACGCCGCCCATGTTGCTCGGGCTTGTGAGCGAGATGTATGTTACATGACATGAGGCACGACATAGGTGGCGTTGGAACCTCCCGTACTGTTGGTGCACACTCGGCCAGGCCCCCTCGCACGACAGTACGCTCGTCCTACCTCGTGACAACAGGGAGGGAAAGGGGAGAGGCGGGGAATGCGGAGAAACCAAGAAACCCACCTTGAGAACCTATTCAGGATACGGCCGGCTGGTGTTACGTCGAAGAATGACATGGGAGACCTGAAAATCGCCGTGGCCATCCTCTCATGTAGCTTCCTCGATGCCTGCGCGAATCATGTGTGAGCGTTGCACTTATTCCGCATCCTTGATTCCCACACACCTCGATGGAACAGAAAATCCACAGGATCAATGTTTGCACCACCGTCAGGGCTGCAGCACCAACTCCGAATACGAAGTAGATTCCAAGAAATTTGCCAACGTCGGGGTTTCCTCCGGCCTTGGTGTTTGTTTCGGTCCAGTGCTTGAGCCAGACGCTGCCACCTGTGTGGAGTTAGCGAGATTGTGTGTAACTGACAATATCGAACAAGAAGACAAGATCTCAACTTACCAATCTGCGCTGTCTGGGCGGCGACAAGGGTAATCAGATAGATGGCAACGGCGACTAGGTTGCTTGTTTTGGCGTATTCGGCGTAGACTATTCTGGTCTTAGCACAGCGAATGATACCGCTCATGTAAAGTCACGTACCTGACCACTTCACTTTGCCTTGCTCGGAGTGCTCTTTGGCTTGCTTTGTCCTGCTACTCGGGTTCTCCTCGTCGTGAAGTTTCCCCCTGGGGCCCCTGAAGCTGGCAGCGCTCGCCCGTCTCAGGGTAGCCATACTTCCTGTCCGCGGCTTTCGTCCCTCGAGCGAGGAGCTGCCAGGCCCTGGCCTGATGGCCTGAAGAGTCCCCAGTCCTTCCTGGGCTTCTTCGAGTTCACCCTTTTCTTGGCTGCTGCTCGCGGCTTCGATGACTGTAGAAGTCTCGCTGTCGCTGCCACTACCACTAGGGGTTCCCACCAGCGAATTCTGGCCTGACTCGTTCTGGCCTGCTGTTTTGATCAAATCAGACACCAAGCCTTTCATGGCCATGAGCTGTCGATATGTTCCCTTCTCAGCGATTTCGCCGTCTTTGAGTAGGCAAATGTAGTCTGACTCTACGAGGACAGGAATCGAGTTGGTAGCCAGGATCCTGGTTTTGGAAGCGAGCAGTCCCTTGGGGCCAAGAACATTATCGATAATGTGACGCCCGACGTGGGAATCGACAGCAGAGAGACAGTCGTCCAGCAGGTAGATATCCGCTCTCGCATACACTGCCCTCGCCAGGGCAACTCTAGCCTTCTGGCCGCCGCTGAGCGAGATGCCTCGCTCTCCGACAACGGTCTCGTCGCCGTCAGGGAGCTGGGCGAAATCATCGAGGAGAGCGCAAGCCTTCACCGTCTTTTCGTAGAAATTCGAGTCGTAGCGGTAACCGAAGACGATGTTTTCCCGGACCGTAGCGTTCATGATCCAGGGTGACTGGCTCACATACGCCGTCATCCCGTGGACCTCGACCTCGCCCTTGATCTTCCACAAGTCCCCGAGAATGCTTTGCAGAAAAGAGCTCTTGCCTGCCCCGACCATACCGACGATGCATGACAGTTCACCCTTAGTCGCGCTAAAGTTGATGTCCCTCAAAACGGTCTTATTCTCATGACGGTTCCAAGAGAAGCTAGCATCGCGGATAAGGACTGTCTCCTCTCCTACGCTCTGAACCGGTGGCTTCACAACAATGGCATCGGGCTGAATCTCCTCAGCTGTCAGGTACGAGGTAAGCCGACCAACGGCAACACTTGCCTCGATAATCGAGGTGATAACCATGGGAAGAACCGCCAGTGGGAAGGTAAGAAGATTAAATAATGCTGCAGACACACGCGTCAGTGTGGGCACCGAATCATTGGGAGAAGGGCCGCTTACCGAGGGCCGGGAAGACAATGTCAGTCGACAAAGGACGATCGTTAGTAAACACGAACACAGCAAACGTTGAGCATGACACCAGGAACGGGGTGGTTGACCATGTAAAGTTGGCAAAGGCCTGGCCAGCGCCAATTTTGCGAAGATTTTTCAGCTCCTGGTCATTTCTTATGTAGTTGAGCTTGTTCATGAAGGCTGCACCCCAGGCATACAGCTTTATGCTTTTCATGTTGTTGACGATCTCGGCAATCAGACGGCTCCTCGCATCCTTGTTTTTCATCTGCTGCTTTTGCAGGTTCTTCATGAACCGTGCAATCATGCCGTTGATTGGGATCATGATGATCATGACGGCAATGCCTGCCAGCATTGACCATCCAACCAGCTGGTAGAGCGATAGCATGCAAATGATGATCTGGAAAGGGGCAGACCACAGTTGCTGAGCAAACTGAGTGAGGTCCTGGAGCCGCTGGGCATCGACCGCCATGTAGTTCACGATATCTCCGGTGGTCTTGGAGGATCGGCCTTCGTTTGAGAGTTTTAACGCCTTCTTGTAGATGGCAGAAGTCAGGCCACCCTTTATTCTCATACCAGTGACAAAGGCAAGCTGGAAGTATTGATGGATCATTGTCGTCTGGAAAACAGCGATACCGAACATAGCCAGAGCGATGGCGGCACCTTTGATCACCGGCTCCGGCTCCTGCCCATCCCTGTACGAGTCGACAAAAGAGATGAGGTATCTCAGGAGCTGCGGCTGGGTGAACTGGGAGATATCGTTGCCAACTTTGAAGATGGCCGCAAGCACGTACGGGGCACCGTAAGCACCAAAGAGGGCGCGCCAGAGGGAGGGGTGCTTGCGGTGGTCGAGCTCATGTTTCCAGGCCTTGTCAAACGCCTCGCCCGTGGACTTGGTAGCGTCCTTCTTTGACAGACCCCAGAGATCATCCTCGGTAAGGAAGGTGGAGTAGCCATACTTCATCAGGGGCGTCATCCACGAGAAGGTTAGGATGGAGAAGACAGTGGCGTATTCCACCGGACATTCGTCGGGGTCGACAAGTGCCTCGTACGCCGAGTTTCTTTTGGGCCAGAGCCACTCAAAGAAAAAGACAACAAACGAGAGGCCAAAGCCTACACAGTATGTGACAAAGTAGGGCAGGTTTTTGGCGATGACTTGCTGCGAGATGAGGGAGCGGAGCTTGACGGACAGGGCGATCAGGAGGAAGAGCCAGTAGAAGAGGACGACACCATTGGCGTTGCGCAGACGCGAATGCTCAAGCCATTGAATTGTGAAGATGACGAATAGCGAGAGTATCGTAGCCGCCGTGGTGTAGACCCTGAAGTCGCCGTACCAAATATCCCGATAGCTGATGATTTGGAAACCCAGCTGCACTGTCACATCGGCGATCATGAGGCCGAGAAGAGTCTATATGTCTAGGCGTCAGTTCTCGGGTGCCGGCGTCTGGCAGTCGCACAACCATACGCAATACAACGACGCACCTGCTTGGTCCAAAAATGCCAATCCTTTGATACGGGGCTCGGCTGCTTCCTCTTCAGCAACCACCACACGGCCATGGCGCCCACAACAATGCCAAACGCCGCCACCGATGCCACCCATACGTCGATAAAGCACGGCGTGAAGTCATATCGAAACGGACTTAAAGGACCCCAACCCTCTTCGTTGCCGCAGAAGGGCTGCTTCGACGTACGTGTGGCGCTGAGATAGCCGCTCCCTAGCTCGAATACGACGGGACGATAGCCGGAGAAGGAGCCTGTCCCTAGTATCCTCTGCTGCTGCGAGGCCGCGAGGCCGTCGCTAAAGTCGGCGGGCCCCATTGGCACGGTTATGATGAGGCTGAAAGGGACAAAAAGCACGTCATAGCAAAAAGACGCGAAGGATGCAACGAGGTCGAGACGCCTTTTGTGTGAGTGGCGGATATCCCGGTTCTCTTCACTGTGGGTCCGAATCGTCCCGGGTCAGAATTGAGGTGAAATCCGAATCTAGACCTGATTATTTGCAGCTCTTCTTCGTTGGACCACAATCGGCGCTCCAGCGGTTCACGTTCGGGCGCTGCTAACTTTGGTTAAGCATATACATGCATACGCCAATAGGGAATCGACTGAAGCAGTGTACTTTAAAACCAGTGAACTGAGTGGAAAGCTGGAGACGCGAAGAGAAAAAAAAGATGGGTCGGTGACTCGACGCGGCGTTGCAATTGTCAGCAGGCGGGAATCGATCCGAAGTGCAGCACCCTAGCTGCATGCAGCTCTGTAGCAGAATGGGTCGGGAGAGCTGAACGCTAGATAATGAGAGACATGAGTCTTTGCGGTAGAAATAACGGAATCAAAAGTATCTATGTAATTGCTGGGATTAGTAATTGACCATGGGCTGGTGGATCAGGAACCTCCGTCCCTCCAATCCCCACCCGACCTCGGAGCTCAAAAGCACCAACCCCACAGCCTTGGCGAAGCCGAAGTGTCGACGACAGCAATGTCTGCCTTGCTTCCAGTTCCCGCTGTCATTGCTGTGGTGGAGTGTATGCCAGGTACCCAATTGGCTTTTCCAAATGTTCTGTATGTAGAGCGTAATGTAGACACAGCAACCTTACTGAATACTGACAGGATTCCGCAGAGCCAGCTACCACGAGAGCTGTCCGTTTATTCAACTACGTCGAATCGATTGCAGGAGCTTCCCTACCTGGACCCAACAGCCCACCAGTTGCGGACAATTGGATATGATGAGTTGACTGCATGTGTAGCGCCGGCTGAGCTCCATTACAGCATTCGTAGAAGTTACGGATCCATGGATGTGGGTACCTTCCCACCGGGTAAGTTACCCCACGAAGCTTTACCAATGACGTTTTAGCCCCTCCAACTTCAACCATCCATCCACCGTAGCATGCCTCGTAGTGATACGAAAACCTCTAACGCAACGACGACGGCAACAACCCTCCTGATCCTCCTCCTCCTGCTAGTATCCTTCTTTCCAAGTCTATTCCACTTTCTCTGGACGCTGCCCTTCCACGCGCTGTTCTTCTACTCCTCCGATTCCACTCCCTATTCCCCACCTTGTTCTCCCTCACCAACACCGTCGCCGTCGCAGCCCCAAACAATGTGGTTCCAGAAACAGTTCACCCTGCCGGCCCGTGCCCGGGGTTCTTACCTGATCACCGACACGGTGCTTAAGGAGGTGCCCGAGATTGGGTCGTACAAGGTCGGCTTGCTTAACCTGTTTATTCAGCACACCAGCTGTGCGCTGAGCCTGAACGAGAACTGGGATCCGGTCTGTATCCCCGGCCCAACCCCCTCCGCCGTGGCTAGGTGGGAATGAGGATAATCAGGGCTGACCGCGGGCTGTTGTTGTTTTTGTTAACTGCAGGACGTCAGAGCAGATATGAGTGATACGTTGGACAGGATTGTGCCCGAGGCTGGGCCCAAGGGAGAAGCGCTATATCGGCACGATGCGGAAGGTATGCAGGCTTTCAATGGGAGAGTTCTTAAAACTAGAGGAAGGGGAGTGGTACTGATGAGTGCTGCCTGGCGGTGGACAGGACCTGATGATCTCCCCGCGCATGTGAAATCAGCATTGATCGGGGCAAGTGTGACGATTCCCATCAAGGATGGCAAGCTGGTAAGTTGGAATGCCGCCTGGCAGGAGAGCTTGAATGGTCGTGCTGACAGTACGTTCAGTGCACTGGGACATGGCAAGGCATCTGGTACCTCGAGTTCAGAGCGGCAAAGCACTCGCGCAGAATAGTGGCGACCATTCAAGGTGAGAAGGCGTGATTTACAAGTACGGGAATTTCTAGAATGGAATCTTCGAATGCGATTTTGTCATTCAAGCATGGCGACGGGAACAGCTCTGTTCCACCTCGCTCTGGTATTCTCGCCGAAAAGTACACCATACCGGGCACCCGACGCCAAACGCCTCTACCAATCAATGACCCTGTAGCTGACCGAATGTCGTGTACTGTGCTTCGATCTCCATCCACCGAGAATCGTGTTCAGTGTGTTCCGTTCTCCGTCTTCATGTCCACGTCGTCACCGCCAGCCAAAACCTTGGTCTTGGGCACGTCTCCATCGGTTGGGGCGGCGCCAGGGGTGACGGCAACCACCTCGCCGTTTTCGTCGACAAACTCAAAGTTGTAACGGCTGAGGAGGTGGGGGATGGCGGACAGTTGGGGGCCATATCTCGCAGTATTATCGTAGAGCTCAAAGAGTGGAACCGCCAGCAGCTTCATGTTCTTGGGAACGCTCAGGACCTCTGCGGGAGCTAGGTCAGCCTGTGGGATCTTTGGGATGTGGCAATGCTCAAAACATACTTGACTTTGGCAGCTGGATGAAATAGAGCTTCTTGCACTCCTTCGGGCGCGTGATGTGGGCGGGCACGAAGGGGTACATGAAGGTCTCAAAGTTGGGCCTCCACCACTGCGCAAGACAGTCTCCGACCTGCCAGTCGCCCGCCTTCTTGCCCTCGCCAAGGCTGCCAACCGGGGCTAGTCGTTCGTCGAGGCGCGCCTTGAAGCCCTCAATCTCGTCATCCTCGGGGCGCAGGTAGTCGCCGGGCAGCTTGAAGAAGGCGTTGGCAATCTGCAGCATGAGAATGTGGGGGTGGTTGTGCTCGTGGCAGACAAGGATGCCCTCGCAGGTGCGGCGCATGCCGTGCGCCTGGTAGTGCTCCTCGAGGCGCTTCAGCCGCGCCAGCACGCTCGGGTCCTCTTCTGGTTGCGTCTCCTTGACGCCAAAGGTGTAGTTTGACAACGGGTACAGCCGGATCGTCTCGGGCTGGTTTGCATTGAAGGGCAGCGGAATAATGGGCGGCTGCGAGCTTTGCAGAGCCGTCGGCGTAATCGTCGACATTGTTGCGGGATGTGAGGCTGGGAAGGAGACGGGAATGTGTAGGTGGCTGTAGACCGAAGGAAACCACAGTGATGCGCACTATGTCAGGTTGCTTGGCGAAGGCCGATTTGCGGCGGAGATGATGTACCTTGGTTTGTTTTCTGGATTACCGTGGATGATGCTGATTCTTTACATGCTTTACCTCCGTATGTACACGGGTGGAACGAAGTTCGGCAACCCTGACTCCTGAGGAAGCTGCGGTGGCAGAATGTGGACCAGACTAAACGGCGAAGGGAAGGCGGTCAAGATTTCGCACTGTGAATCCAAACCCATGGACCCAATCTCCAGCCGATGCATTGCTTGAGCCGCAACAACTTACACCAACGTCGTTTCTCCAGTCCAAATGTCAACATGGCACACAATGGAGATTGACTGACAGGCGCACCTTCCTGTGTAGTGCATATATAGACATTGGTTCCTGGGGCACTAATCCTTACAAAGCTGAAAGCAATAGTTCTGCGATCAAACACGATGCTGCCTGATTCCGATTCAAGATTCAGCGACCATTGCCTTCGGATTCCATATACTCATGAGGCAGACACCCCTTACATAGGTAGTCCTTACGAGTTTGTGCCTGGTCGATCGCATGAATTCCTTCCCAGGGGAGATTTCAATAACCTCTGATTTCTCTCCTCTCCTTCTTTGACTTTCTTCCCTCTCCAAACCCCCCGCCTACTTCATTTCTCCTGACTCACACATCCACAACCAATTCCACCTCAATCCGCTGCACCAGAGCGACTCTCAACTCTTCTCTTTTTTCCAACTTGGCAGTCTGCCACCAAGTTGAGTCTTGTTTCTTTTCAGCCTTTCACAGTCACACCAACTTTGTCCAAGACTGCTCGATCTTAAACGAGTTGGGCTACTAGGTTTTGCTCCCTCACAAATCCGCACTTCCCAAAGGTTTCTGTTTCTTCCCCCACAAACTTTTCGGGATTTCCTCTTCTACTACGGTTCAAGCGACCAAACTGGATCTGAGTCATCAACTTCCTGCCTTCCACTTGGCGCCAACTTCTCAGCTCCCCGTCGTTCTCCATTCAGCGCTCTTGTACCGATTTCTGCGCAGCTTCCGGATGCAGTAGATCGACATTCGGTCTTTACTCTCAGAAAGGGTTGATCGGATGCCATCAGGTAAGTCGCTTTCGACCGACATCTGTTTACAAAATGGCTGCTGTCTGCGCAAAACCTGGGTGTTGCTACCCTTACCGACCCATCGTTATGATTTAGAATGGCGATGCGCTTCGCTGTCACTAGCGTGTCTGAAATTAATTATTTATTCATCAATCTTCTGCTTACATTGGAAACCACCTAAAATTGTGTAGCTGACATCTCCCAGCACATCATGGATGAGTCCAGGGATTTCATGGGCCTCGACTCGCTCCAGGCGCTGATCTCGGACGGCTCGGCGTCGAAACTCGAGCAAGGAGTTGAAGTTGGCCTCAAAATCCTCGGTGACGTGAAGGCGGCCTTCGCAAATGCGAAAGGTGTCGCTGAGATTGCTCAGTGGATCAAATCGAGTGATAGGCTCCGCTCCCAGGTCGGATATGAGCGGACTGTAGTTGGAGTTGTTGGGAGCACTGGAGCCGGGAAGAGCTCAGTCATCAACGCGGTTCTGGATGAGGAGGGTCCCGTCCCGACAAACTGCATGCGAGCTTGCACTGCAGTTATCACCGAGCTTGCCTACAACTCTTCAGACCAACAAGAGGAGAGGTATCGTGCGGAAATTCATTTCATCACCGCCAATGAGTGGGCCAACGAGCTTCGCATTGTGCTCGAAGACATCAAAACCAGCCCGGATGTGTTCAGCACCGACTCCGCAAGCGCTGATAGCGAGACCAGCATTGCATACGATAAGATACGCTCGGTGTACCCATTTTTGAAGAGCGACGAAATCAAAAAGGGCAAGTCTGTGCTCGAGGAATTGATTCAACACCCCTCGGTCAAGGGGCTTCTCGGCACGGTCACTCGGATTGCAAGTCCCAGCTCTGAGAAATTTCATTCTCATCTCAAGCAATTCATTGACTCCAAGGAGAAGACTCGGGGCAGGAAGAAGGAGCCGGAAGTTATGGAGTATTGGCCACTCGTAAAGGTCGTCAAGCTCTTTGTGCGGTCTCCCATTCTCAAGACAGGCCTTGTCCTGGTCGACCTGGTAAGCCACAAGCCTCGTCTTCGACTACAAACTGAAACCCTAACAAGCTGTATAGCCAGGTATCCACGACTCCAATGCTGCTCGGTCTGCAATTGCGTCTAGATACATCAAAGAATGCTCTGGACTTATGGGTTGTTGCGCCCATTACCCGTGCGGTCGATGACAAGGTTTCCCAAACCCTGCTCGGAGATTCGTTCAGACGTCAACTGCAGTTTGACGGCACATATTCCAAAGTCACCGTCATATGCTCGAAGGCAGATGACATATCTGTCACGGAAGCGTTAAAGGCGATGCGTGAGGAGGAACCGGCACACGGACTTCATAATCGGGCCAAGTTTCTCGAATGTGAACGAGAAAAGCTCCAGGAGCCATCCAGAAACCTGAAAGAGGTGATTGACGAACTCAGCCACGTTATGGATGAAAATCAAACCGAAATTGGTGGTCTCAAATCGGCCATCCGGGGTCCAGATGATGAGGATGGCCTCGTCCTTGTTTCATCGCCGGGCTCCCGCAAGAGGACAACACGGCAAGCGGCGTTAGAAGCTCGCAAGCGTTTGCGGCGTCAGCCCGATAGCGACTCAGACACTGAATAGGATGAGGGGTCAGTTGCTTCGGAAACCGAGACCGAACAGGAGCGTATTGCCAGAGAGGCCGCACAGGAGCGCCTGGAACAGATCGAAAACCAGCAGACCAAGATGCATGCTGAGCGCAAAAAGTTGAAACAAGAGCTCCGGCCTATTCAACGGAGACTGAAAGAGGTCAAAAAGGAGCTAAAATCGCTCAACAATCAGGTCAAGCTTGCCTGCGTCAAATACCGAAATGACTACGTCCGTCCAGAGATCCAGGCACAGTTTGCTAATGGTATCAGAGAGTGAGTTACTATTCTTGTAACATGCCCAGCGATCACTCCTGATTGAGCCTTAGGATTGATCTCGACAATGCTGCCATGACAAGAACTTCGACGAGACTCAGTTCAAATGCGACTACGAAGCCATTGCAAAAAAGCTTCCAGTATATTGCGTATCCAGCAAAGCGTACCAGAAAATATCTGGCAGACTGGACAAGGATGACGTGGTTGCAGGTTTCCTCAGCCTCGAAGATACCGAAATTCCGGCTCTGCAGAGGCATGCGTTGGGAATTGTCCAAGAGACACGGGCGTCGACATGCCGCCGCTTCCTAAGCGACCTCAGCCAATTCATGAGTTCCCTCCATCTCCAGGTTGTTCTCTCAGACCAACCGCTAAAACTAGCGGATGGTTTGAGGAACAAAGAGATCCAGGTTCTCGATCAAATGGTGGCTGACCTCCGAAAGGTATGAGTCACTTGATAAACAGCATATAGTCGTGAGCATTCATAGCTGAGCTAACTCACATCCTCCGTTAAGGATCTATGTTCTACCGTTGATCAGGCATTCGCTCAAATCGGGGAGATAATGGACCTGAACATTTTTCTCAAGTTTGCGTCGGCAGCTAGCCTCGCATCCGACACAGCACCCTCAACGGTGAATTCCTGGTTCTGTCGCAGGGATGAAGGCGGACTCAGCTTTATGACTTTCCGTGCCACTTGTGTCCGAGAGTAGGTTACAACATCACCCTGAAGATATACTGGGATTCCTTACTGACACCTTCTCCAGTGGTGCATTCAAAGGTGCGAAGGGGCCGATGGATTTCAATAAAGGTGAGCTACGCTTTTCCTCGAACACTCCTCGCACTAGACTGTCAGGCTTCGTTCTGACCCGCCTCAGCTCTTGCGGAACCCATGATGAAGTACATGGCTCGGTCATGGGAGTATGTTTATTCCAACTACTTCCCTGACCAACTCAATGTACTTGGCGGAGACTTAGGAGGACATCTGATGGCTTTCCGGACACGGATGGCTCTGCGCCCGCAGCTGAAGAAGGGCGCGTCCTTTGGCCTTGTGTCGCGTCAGGTCAAAATACTGGAGGACACACTCAAAGACTCTGACGAGCTATTGGCGCTGCTTGGAACTGGACAGAAAGAAGCCAACCGGCTTCTCATTCCGCACGTCGCTGAAGCGATGAAAAGCGCTTATGCAGATATCCTTCAGGAGAAAGGTGAGGAACTCCCGAGGCCCATCTCGTATATAATTTCTCACAATCTCTCAGGCCCTGGTTGCTACGATCGAATGAAAGATATCATGAGCAGCCACATCTCGATGTGGCGAGACACCATGTTTAAAGGCGCCCTTCAAAAGGTTGAGAATGCTCTCAGAGACACTCTTGCCAACCTCCGGTCCCGAGTCGACAACAAGGTCGAAGACATTTTGTCCATCATCAGCAAGAACTACAGCGCGCTGTTGGCTGACCAAAACATATTCAAGGCTCTGGCTACTTCTCGGGAGGCGATCCGGCTGGTGCTGGGCGAAGTTGATGAGCAGTTCCAGCACGTCTTGCTCGCCCCATCCCACCAAACTGCCAGTGTCCCGGACAAGATTGCTGAGGCGGACGCAGCCACTGTGACTGTCAAGGAAGAGGAGCTCTCTGACGATGGATTAGGAGCACCAACTGGCGCCAATGTGGGAGCCGAAAAGTCCGCAATCCCGGATCGGGATGGCGGTGTTCATATGAGCAACGCTTGAGACCATTCATTTCTCGACACGGTGATTGAAGCTTGGTTCTCCTGCGGGTTCTAAGCTCGAGCTGTCCCGAAACCGTCTTCAGGTTTGCCGTTTCTTCAACTAATGCCTGAGGACTGTCACATTTGGCCAAGTGTGGTCGTATTAGGTCACCGGATGTTTCTTCCCCTCAACTGTTTCATTTCCTCTCTCTATCTGTCTGTCCTTCATCTAACTCGGTTTGTCCCTCCTTTCCGTGAGTGACGCCAGGCTTAGGCGTGCCCGGGACGCTTCCTAGCCTGGGGTTGAGGATCATGTCAGTCGTCGACATTGTCACAGTCTGATATGGTATGGAAGCGTATCTGTGGGGGCTATTTGAAGAAGGAATCCAGACCGCGTCCAAGGACGGATGTTCGTGTTCAAGTCGAGTCTCATCGTCCCAACCCTCAAGGGCTCAGATCTATTCTGTATTACCAGGAGGATTGAGAAACCATGTCTACTGTGTAGTGGGATGGTTCAGCTATGGGAACAGCTTGTGACAGGGCGTGAGCGCTTATCAGTCCGGGCGAAGGAACGATATGGACAGAGTCTGGCCTTATCCTGATGATGGATTCACACTTGTTCTGGGCTTATGCTCAAATAGGTACCTAGGTACCTTAGCTTAGCTACTACACTAAGTTACATTCGCAACCGGTTACCAATCGCAGTATAAAGTTCCCAACTGTCTGCATTCTCGTAGCTGCAGTTAATTCATCCATGATAGTTCTGGTGAGCGGTTGGCCAGGATGTTGTAGTTGCCGTCATTGCGTAGTGCCAATTACGTATAAGAGGCTGCTCTCGAACACGCTGGTCCCTCTTTAAAATTGATTGCGTGCATACGAACTGCACGAGCGCTGTCGGAATGCTGGATCGCCAATGGATGCCACCCATATCCAGCACGCTGGCGCTGTGACCCCACCACCACCCCGCCCGCGAATAAGCGGCCACCCCGTCGAAATGACAAGCCACGCCCGACGCCCAACCCGGCGCGCCAAGAATCAACCGCTGAGTCGAGGCCTGAGCCGGTAACTTGCCGGCTTCTGGAACCGCTAAACCTTGCAGTCACAGTGGAGTGGAGGCTCATCGTTGACGTTTGCTGGCGGTCTACCTCACAACCAGCGTAAACCAACGTTCCTCTACAAACTCAAAATCTTTCCCTTGTTTGCAACCACTTTCGCGCCTTTGTGGGTTCTGTAACGTGGCCGCGACCCCGAATCGCGAGTTGCCTGACGACGACAGAGGTCCGGACCATGATTTGCAGACTGCCAATCACGAGTCAATCAGGTCACGCGCAGCACTGGTCTGCCTAGGTTCCGGGCTCCGGCATCGCCCCGCAACAAGAATGGACGACGCCGCGAGGCTCGTGTCTGAGCTACAAAGCAAGCTCGCCCAACTCGACGGCAAAGTCGCGGCTTACCAGCATGATATGCTGGCCGAATTTCAAAGACACATGGATGACTGCTTGAAGGACTACCCGGACCACGTCTCCAACGAGGTGTCGAGAATCATCGCCCAGTCCATGTCCAGATATCCGGCGTTATGTCCCAGGTTTGGCGATGCACCGGACTCACCCGCAATTGACCGGAATGCGTGGAACGGCAACAAGTCGCCGCCGCCCATTCTCCGCCATACTTCAGGCATTCCTAAGGAAAGCGCACGGAGCGCACATGCGCGAGAGAGGGAGTTCCACGGTCTGTTTACGCCGACATACCTGCCACTTCTCGAGAGCAATAACCACATCCGCCGCTCGTCTGAAGCATCACAACCCGCATCCCCTAGACAGACAACCCTTCCATTGTCGCTTGAAAATGTGGAAAAGGTGGAGAAGTCCAGCCAACCAGTTCCTACCTCACCCAAGCTCAGGCCAGCTCCGATTAGACGTCTGACTGACCGGTCCTCGTCGTCGGTCGAGTCCTCGGGGAGTGACGCAAAAGTACGACGGAGTGCACTGCGCCGGTCATCTAGCTCAAATAAGGGCAGTCCGCGTCGGGTTCGTTTTGAGTTCCAGGGCGAGGAGGTTTTCCCGGCATCTCCTGTGCACCAGGCATCAACCATTACCCCAGCCCCGGTAGGCGAGGCGCAGCCTCAGAGCGAGGCTGACACGTCAGCCATCGCCACCAAGGAGGATGAGTCAGTCTCGTACCTTGGGACGTCGCTTCTCGATGTCGAAGGCGAGGAAGATTCATTTCCCAAACCAAAGAAAGTATCATCCACGCAGGCACTCCAGGCGCTCACTCGGAGTCCGTTAGAGGAGGGAACAGTCTGGACAGTTGTCAACCCGGATCCCGGAGAGCCCGTCATTATGAGAGGCGGGAAACCGACCGAGGATGCGCGGTACTCATGCCCTCCCAAAGTCGACTCGCAGGCGACTATCCGGCCGACGAGTGTTGCAGAAGACGAGACACCTGCAGGCGGCCTTCTTGGCTCACCCATCGAAGACATAGGGAAGTACGATGAAGACGAGAACGCCTCTGAGGACGACTTTCTCTCGATAAGACCGACGAGGAAGACCCCTTCCCCGGCTGCGACCCGCCCACTCGCCGGTCCACCTGCTCACTCCCCTTCTACTGCTCCGGATACGGCAACGACGCCTGTGCCCACCAGCAACAAGGATGTAGACGAAGAGGATTCCCTCTTTGACTTTGAGGAGGGAGGAGAATCTTCATCTCAGCCCCAGAGCAAACCACAAAAGTACCTTCCAGAGCCCGAGGACGATGAGGACGAGCCAATCCCTGAGCCTCGCGTGAAAGGTCTGGAGAAGGTTGAACAAGAAGAGCAGGACGACGAAAACGGTAAACTGCCAGCTGTATCACCCTCGGCGGCCCTGTTTGGGCACAGTATTGGGTCGTACAAGGGTCACCGGCTGAGCATCAACCCGATCACCAACCCGAAGCTGTACGACGAGATTGCCAACATGGAGGACGTGCACTTCCTTGTCGGCAGCATCGATGGCCGCTCTGGGGTGGATAATGTGGACCCCAGCAGCTATCGGGCGGCGATCCTAGCTCAGAACCGTGGTGGCACGCCGCGCAGCTTGACGGAGAGGCTGGCACTGGAGGAGGCCATGGAACGACGCAAGGCGGCCAAGAACATGGAGGATAGAGACTAGAGGCATCTACATGCATTGTGAGCCCGTGATTGCGGCTCTGGGACGAGCCGCGGGTGCATGGGGTGGCGTGGTTGGCTATCCGGGGTGCATTTTAAGCAAACAGCATTCGGGGCTTCCTGGGTCATGGACGAGGGTCGGGATGAGGCTGGGCGGCGACGACATTACATCGGTTTACTTGTATTATACTATAGCTGCATCGTGATACCATCGATAGGCCGGCTGGGGGTTAAGGGCGGATGGAACAGGGCGACAGAGTTGCAGAAGCGAAACTGCTTGCAACGGATATTAGCGAGAATCCAGATTTTATCGTTGTCTTGAGAATGGTTGCCCGAGAGCATGAGGTCCAACGCTCGACTCCACTCCGGGTCTGAACCGTGAGGCTTCGTTGCGTGATGACTTCCGAGAACACCGGCAGATACCCAAACTGGATCCCTAAATACTCCATCGCAGCGGCGGCGAGCATTTCATTTTCGGATCTTGGCCGGCCCAAACGGGCCGAGGATGAGGTGCATTGAAGTAACACACCAAGCTGACCAATCAGGGTAAAAAGCGACCGTGTCAAAGAACAGACCGCGCATCTCTCTAGGAGGCTTGTGCTGTGCTTGACTTCACAATGAAACACCACGATGGTCGCCATGAATTGCTGACCGACAACCTTCTTTTATCCTTTCATGGCCTCGAAGTCGCCAATCCTTCAAATACAACACAGGTCTGTCCCGTAGACAGCACAAATGCAGCCCAGTTCCACTTTCAATTTACGCCGTCGCAACACGTTACAGAGCATGACCTCTGCACCGGCCATCTAGCTGTCTAGGTCTCGACCGTCTCGAGCGCCGAGCGCCGCCTCCTACCCGACGACGAAAGGCCTTTGGTCGAACACACGAACGGCCCGGATAAGCGGACTAAGACAGACAAGCCCTACTTCTCGAGCAGTTCTGACCCTTCCCACCACACCAAAAACACCACAATGCGTCTCTCCGCCCTCCCGTTCCTCACCCTCGCCCTCTCCCCACTCACCGCAGCCTACACCCCGCTCTCAGACGACGCCCTCCGGTCCCTACCAACCCCATCCCAGGAGGACTTCGACCCCTCCCACCCAGGCCCCTCCGGAAAGGGCCTCCTCGCACCCTTACTAATCCCACGGGTACCGGGAACACCAGGCCAGCAGGCGGCCCAGCAACATTTCATCTCCTTTTTCCGCTCACAATTACCCGAATGGCGCGTGTCATGGCAGAACTCGACGGGTACCACCCCGCGGACGGGCGACCGGCAGATCCCCTTCCAAAACATCATCCTGCGCCGCGAGCCCCCCTGGATCCCGCCCGACAGGCCCGGGACTGCTGCATTACTCACTCTGGTTGCGCACTACGACAGCAAGATTGAGCCTGAGGGGTTTCTGGGCGCAACAGACAGTGCGGCGCCTTGCGCGGTGCTGATGTTTGTGGCGCGGGAGATTGAGAAGGCGTTGGTCAGGATGTGGTCGGCGTCGTCGTCGTCGGCGGCGGGTGGGAAGAAACAGGGCGAGGGGGATGTGGGCGTGCAGATACTCTTGTTGGATGGGGAGGAGGCGTTTGTGAGCTGGACGGATACGGATTCGTTGTATGGTGCTAGGTCCCTCGCAGACGAGTGGGAGGCTACGCCATACCCGGCCATGTCCACCTTCAAGAACCCACTACGGCAGATCAGCCTGTTTGTGCTCCTCGACCTGCTCGGCGCAGCCAATCCCGAGATTCCGTCGTACTTTCAGAGCACGCACTGGGCGTACCAGAAGATGGCGACGCTCGAGGGCAGGCTACGCAGCTTGGGAGTGATGGAGACTAAGCCGAGCAAGCCGTTCCTGCCGCAGGGCGGCAAGGCGGCGAGCGAGTTTCATGGCAGAGCATTCGCCGTGGGCGACGACCATGTGCCGTTCATGGCCAGGGGCGCGCCGGTACTACACCTCATCCCCTCGCCATTCCCGAGGGTGTGGCACACGATGGAGGACGATGGGGACCATCTAGATATGCCTACCGTGAGGGACTGGGCACGACTTGTCACGGCCTTTACGTTGGAGTGGATGGACGTGCAAAACGGGGAGTCGAAGGGGTGAATAGGCCACCGTGGGAACAACCGAGATGGACACAATCTTGGTGCTTGAAAATGTTTATACAGTTTCACGAGTGTGGCGTCCACTGGATCCCCTGAGAGACCCTGCCTACTGCAAGAGCGGTGATGCCAGCTTGCGCGATTCCGCGCTTAACTTATGCCGACGGGAGGAAGCCCGGCTTAAGCTTAAGAGTAACTTCTCTGGAAGACAGGTATGCTTGGTTGCGAGCAGAGGAAAGGGAGGCATGCTGCAGCAAAACAAGCGTGCGGGTGAGGACTCTGGATTGGATAAATACACAAACCTGGAAAGGATCTGGCTGTTGAGTCTAACGTTAAGGCTGTTCCTTGGATCAAAAATATACCCAGCCGGACTTTGACTCTGGCTTCTCATGAGCAATGGGCCAATAATTTGGGTTGTTGGAACCTGGCCTGGCCTACAGAAGCCCATGGAGGCGAAGATTGGAGTTACACAGTTGACCAATATCATCCATCTTAGGGAACCATACCTGTCACAGGGTAATGTACGTTACAGTACTTGGTGGTAACTTACAGTACCAATAACGGTTAAGTGCAATAATTAGTTAGGCGCCGCAATGGGTCAGCGGCCTGTCCGGTAACCTGACCACCTCATCCTAATGCAGCGTGTTTCGGTTGGGTTTGAAACATTCCATTTTTAAGTGAGTGGGAAGCAAAGCAAAAGGACTATATTTTCCTCTGCCCAGAAACTGTTGCGCTGTGCTGCCCGTCTTTCTCGCGTGTCGGACATCCCTCGGTACTCACCGGCCGCCACCGACAACACCATCTGCATTGTCGGCGGGGTACCTACTTATTACCTTATATACGCGGGTCTGCGCCCAGCCTCCCTCAACACTAGCAAAACTCCCGTGACAGTCAATAGTTGCGCCACCCATCATTTGTCTTGCTGCAGAGACGCATCAGGCATCTCTGCTCTGCAAATACGGCTTCTCACGGATCTCAGGTCTCAACGCACGCCGCAGCAGGTGCTACTCCCGTTCGCAAGGTTGTAACTGTTGGCAGTGTCCTGTTTGACCCCCGCTACACCTCTATTCCGCAACCTCCTCCAACCGCCCACTTCGCCATCTTTGAGGGTCACCAACGTCCCTCTGCCTCCTCGTCGTCCATCGAAAACTCGATTTCTAACTGGCGCGCCCAAACCATGGACGGTAAAAGGCATCCGAACTCGTTCCAGCAGCTGGAGAAGCTGGGCGAGGGAACCTACGCTACAGTGAGTCATTACGGCATTTTGCTTGGTTCCTCGTTTGGCACTTGACTGATCTGGCTTGTTTAGGTCTTCAAAGGCCGCAACCGTCAGACGGGCGACCTTGTTGCTCTCAAGGAGATTCACTTGGATTCCGAGGAAGGCACACCTAGCACGGCCATCCGCGAGATTTCCCTGATGAAAGAGCTGAAGCACGAAAACATAGTGGCGCTCCACGATGTCATCCACACCGAGAACAAACTGATGCTTGTCTTCGAGTACATGGACGGTGACCTGAAGAAGTACATGGATACGCATGGTGACAGGGGCGCCCTGAAGCCCATAGTCATCAAGTCCTTCATGTACCAGCTGCTGAAAGGGATTGATTTCTGCCACAAGAATCGGGTTCTTCATCGCGATCTGAAACCGCAGAACCTGCTGATCAACAGCAAGGGTCAGCTCAAACTCGGCGACTTCGGTCTCGCTCGCGCCTTCGGCATTCCCGTCAACACCTTTTCGAACGAGGTTGTGACACTCTGGTACCGTGCACCTGACGTCTTGCTCGGCAGCAGGACTTATAACACGAGCATTGACATCTGGTCGGCCGGCTGCATTATGGCCGAGATGTTTTCCGGGAGACCGCTATTCCCAGGGACTACCAATGAGGATCAGATCATCCGCATCTTCCGCATTATGGGGACGCCAACGGAAAGAACCTGGCCAGGGCTTTCGCAGTTCCCCGAATACAAGACGACCTGGCAGATGTATGCGACGCAACCTCTGAGCACCATCCTGCCCCAGATCGATCCCTTAGGTATCGACCTGCTCCAGCGCATGCTGCAGTTGCGGCCAGAGCTTCGCATCACCGCGGCCGATGCCCTGAACCATCAGTGGTTCCATGACATCATTGCGGCACAAAAGCACCACCCCCAACACCACCAAGTGCCACAGCCAATGATGCATCCTCATGGAGGCTATCAGCAGCCGGTTCCAAGCCAAGGAAACTACGGCGGCTACTAGATGGAGCCGCCGACGATGGCGCAGAACAGTCAGCTATAGGGAACCTCGACGACAGCTGCAGGCCAGTCCTTGGATTTGGGGCTTCCGTTGGACTTCTCAGGCCATATTTGGACGCACCCACAAAACCCAGCATATCCCTTTCATGGCGTTGACTGGACGTGTCAGAACACAATATCGACGAACCCTGCTCGAAACCAAGGCTGGACGTATCCGAATATGGTTCCGGCGTATCCATCTCAAGCCGCCAATCCAGTATTTTATAACGGGGCACCATCCTACTACGCTTCACATGACTTGAATCCGGTATACCCCGAAACGGGACCCTCGAATCTTCCTTCCTCACTCAATCAGGTGTATTTGGACCCAGGATCAGCGAACTTTCCTGAAAGCGTTGATCAACAGTTTACAGGAACGGAAACATGCAGTCTTCCTGGAGACGTCCCTGAATTTTGCAGCTATGAGGAAGCAACGAATTCTCGCAGATCCACCGACTAGCCTTGCGGCTCCAGTCTATATTTCTATCGAGTGATCCGATGTGAGCGTGGGACCAGGAGTTTTTATTTGATACCTCGGATGGCAAGGTCTTGTTTTTCCAACATGCTCAGCTTTGCCGCCGTGTCCATGTGCTCGTGTCTTGGCCGCGAGGACACCCCCTGAATGATGCAGTCTTATGGCGAACTGCCTAAGCCTGCTGCCACCTTTGCAGACAGGATCCATCACTTGCCTATGGGAAGTTGGATGGATAGGGAACACTGTTTGAGATTATGAAGTGGTTTTTTCTGTTCTTAGGACGCTACGGTGTATGGCAATGCACGTTAGACGGAGGATTGGGTGGGTAGTGAGGGTGGGAAAAGGATGGGTGTTGATACCTTGTCACAGGCGAGGAAGCGAGGCGGTAGGAATGTTTTCGTTTTCGTTCTCATCGAGGAGCGGGAATACGGGAAAGGCGGCGGACAGCAGAAGGGAGTCGGGACGGGCCAGAGAACTCTCCTTATTGTGCATAAGCGGCATTGGGCGGTCAGGTAGTGTTTCCATTAATCAATGGTTTGCTGCCGGTAATGACTAGATCATCACCCTTTCAAGGTCGTGATGCTATACGAAGCAGGGAAGCATCAAGGCGAGACTGCCTTCAGAGATAGTCAGGGGCGAGCACCAGGCTGAGCTAACATGGAAAGCCTGGCAGCCGTAAAAATGGTAAAATTTCACTAAAGGCGCGAATTACCGGTAATAAGGAGGTAACATTGCGGATATTCTTATCGCAAGGCTAAACCAACTCCACATCTCTCATCCGGCGATACCCTTGGCACATTGCTTGCCTGCTCTTGAATTCTCCGTTCAATGAGATACACAAAGAGAGGCATATCGACTTCAGGCACACGGAGAGAAAATTAAACCTTCGCCTCATGATTTTACTTTACCAACGTTCTTTTCAATTGCCTCATTGATATTGCGACTTCCGCCGCGATACGCCGATCGCGATGGACTCTCGGAGAGGTTCCCCACCCCGTATAAGCGCTCCCTCCCCTCGCGGCCAGAAGCTAACCGACGTTCTCTGTGGCACCAGATGAGGAGGCTACCATCAAGGTCGCCTCGGCTAAGAACTCAGTTCCTCCCTCCAAGCCGCAGTCGTGGGGGAAAATCAAGCTCAAGAAGGCCTTGCCAAAGCAGGCCAAACCGGGCAGTTGGAAGGAAGCCAACATCCTTGATGGTTCGCGTCGCTGCGTTTCCTTTCCCGTGAAGCAATAGCAGGCTGACCCAACTCTTTTACTAGAAGATAGGAAGAAATCCAAAGATGGTGCCATCACCGCCGCCTCCCCGAGCCCCGTCATCAACCAACTGGACGACTTGAGCCGCGACACATTCAGCAGCGGCCGCCCCGTCGAAGATATTCCGGAACTTTACCAATGCAAACTCTGCAAGAAAGGCATTACACGGACCGCGGCCAAGGACCACATTGCGAACTGCCTGAAAATAAAAAAGGAAAAGGCCCAGCGTAAGAAGGAGGCCCGCGAAGCGCGCGAGCGGTTGAAGGAGGCTGCGCGGGAGGAGGAGTTGCGCAAGCTGGAGGAGGAAAACGGAGGGCGGGCTGGCGGCGACGACGACAGCGACGATGACGACGAGGACAAAGCCGGCAAGGCGACCAAGAAACTGGCGGGCAAGAATACCAGTGTCGCCGGCAAGAAGAGGAAGGCCGAGGGCGAGCTCGACAAGGGGAAAGCCAAGAAGAAGAAGGAAGAGCCCAAGCCCAAGGTGGCCAAACCCAAGGGTCCCGTCGACGTTGAGCGGCAATGCGGCGTCCTGCTACCAAACGGACAACCGTGCGCCCGCTCACTAACCTGCAAGAGCCACAGCATGAGCGCCAAGCGCAGCGTGCCCGGCCGCTCGCTGCCCTACGACATGCTGCTGATGGCGTACCAGAAGAAGAACCAGGCCAAGCAGCAAAAGGCCGCCATCGACGCCAACGCGCCGCTCGAGGACGAGGACGACGCCAACGCGGGCGCCGTCGACAGCGACGAGGAGACGGCCGCCGTCATGACCGCCCTGGCGAGCTGGAACCCGCGGCCCGTAGTACCCCAGCCCGTGTTTGCCCCCGTCAAGCGCCAGTACCAGCTTGCGCGCCTCCACGAGCAGCTCCAGGCCGCCACCAACGGCGGGCGGGTCAATATTTTCAAAGTTGTCGGGTTCGGCGCCCAACGGCTGCCGGACGGGCATCCGGCCCTGTACGATTTTGATGACGCGCCGGGCGAGCCCGACACGGCTGTTATCGGTGGCGGCGGTGACTTCTCGCGGCGGTCGTCTAGCTTCAGCCTCGCGGGCCCACCGCAGCGCCGGCCGTCTGTGACGGGGCGAGCTTAGTCTGCTTAGCATGGGGGAAGTCTCTTTTTGCACAACTAAACTGGCGAAGCACTGGGAACTGGGAGAGCTTTTCTGGGCGTTTTGTGATTAGGTACAGGGATAGCGGACGGACGGAGCAGCGGTTGGGAACATCAGGAACGGAACAGCGGCATTCATCTTTTCGGGGGCCTTTGGGAGTGACTAGGACGGGTACAGCGGGCATCTGACATGGGTTGGGTCTTTGGGTATTGCTTTTGTTTTTCTGGTTTCTATCTTTCGTTCATCCCCTGGCTTCTTAGCTTTGATGATCGAGATGCGGTGGTGTATTTGGATTGTCGACTGTTATATACCCCTAGCCAATACATACGAGAACTGGTTCTACAACAGGCTGATTGCCGAGCTGAATGGAAGTACAGTCTCATTGCTAGAATAGATAAGCTCAGGATTAATGGCATGGCCAGTGATTTAAAGGCGATTCCTCAGATCTGAGTACAGTATCCTGCTCAGCGCATAGCCGAGAGGGATAGGTGGTTTGCCGTGTGTGTGTCCGGGATCCGATCTGCGGAGGGTAAGGGTACCTGGGTACCAAACCCGTAATGACGTCGTTGGTATCGCGCATGCACCTTTGACCTCGGCTCATATGCACCAGTCGCAAAGACACTACACATGAACTCTTACAAGTGATTCAATGGCATTACCGTGATGCCCAGGGAACAAATATATCCAATTGACCCCCCTCAAGCAAGCTGTTTGCGCTAACATCACCACGTCCTGCTTAAGACCACGAGGCCTGTCCTAACCCTCAGCCTTAACCCTTATCCATAGCTCTTCCTCAACACCCTCACCCAAGAAAGCGGTAAATGCCCCGCGCATCCAAACTGCTGCCCTCGATAGGGCACGCCGCCTCGGGCGCGTGCGGCACCGTCGTCTCGACGCTGGCAACCTACCCCCTGGACCTGGTCAACACGCGGCTCAAGGTGCAGCGACAGCTGCGCGCCGACGGGAGCATCCGGGCCGAGGACGCCTACAGCGGCATCCTCGACGCCTTTGCGAGCATCTATGCCAAGGAAGGCGGGCTGTCGGCCTTTACGGCCGGGCTCGGTGCTGATCTGGCCAAGTCGGCGGCTGACTCGTTTTTGTTCTTCTTGTTCTACACGGTGAGTCCCCCCACCGCGATTACCATGTCGTTCGGGCGTGGGATTGAGGGTGAGAGGCTGATGGGTGTACAACAGTGGTTCCGGGCGCGGCGACTCGGAAACCGCAAGGACACCAGCACACCGTACCTCCGCGCCGTCGAAGAGCTCGCCGTGGGCGCCGCGGCGGGGGCATGCGCCAAGCTGTTCACGACGCCCGCGAGCAGCGTCGTGACGCGGAGGCAGACGGCTAGCTTACTCGACGCAAGCTCAGGGGCGGGCGGGGGCATGAACGGGGACACCGCCGCCCACCAGCAGCAGCGGGACATGACGTTTGGCGAGATCGTCTCGGCCATCAGGCGGGAGCGCGGCCTGCTCGGCTTGTGGGCGGGGTACTCGGCCAGCCTGGTGCTGACGCTCAATCCGAGCGCGACGTTTTTCCTGCAGCAGATCCTCAAGCGTGCGCTGGTGCCGCGGGAGAAATGGGACGTGCCCGGCGCGTGGGTCACTTTTCTCCTGGCGGCGCTGAGCAAGGTCGCTGCGACGGCCATGATGTATCCGTTTCAGATCGCCAAGGCGAGGATGCAGGTGTCGGGAACGCCTGAGAAAAGAGATGGGGAGAAGAAGACAAGACGGGGCGGTCGAGGGCTAGCCAAGGAGACCATCTTCGCGACGGTGGTGAGGATAGCGAGAAGTGAAGGTCCAACGGCGTTGTATGATGGCATTGGTGGTGAGCTGCTGAAGGGGTTCTTCAGTCACGGCACGACCATGCTGTCCAAGGATATCATTCACCGGTTCATTGTGCAGCTCTATTTCACCATTTTGGCCATCCTGAAGGGGTATCCCCAGCTCAGATTGCGGTTCTTCGAGAGGATGCGAAACACCAGGGAAGAGGTCCGCAGAAGATATCTCCAGGCTTCGTCCGCTGGAGCAAAAGACATCCGTGGAGGAGCTCGCCATGTCAAGGAATTATTCGACCGCACGATCAAGGTCTCCCTTAGTCTATGGAGCGGCAGTTAGGAGGCTAGGCAAAGAAAATCTTGATAGCCCAATTGAATCAGCTGATAGCTGCCGGCTCAACCTCAACATCGAAATGTCACTGCGTCTTTCTTAACTTGATTGTTGCCGCCGGCCGAGAAACCCGTGCCTTCGCGCCGCAGCTCAACCAACCCAGGCCGGATTTTCTCTTTTTCGGCCTTCCCCTCCCTCTCGGCAGAGTCCGAGTTCCCTGTAAGGTCAGCATCACAGACGTAGCAGCGAATCGAACGCGATTCTTTCGGCCTCATAAACTGGTCCACACAGCTCTTGCAGAGAACATGGCCGCAAGGCTTCGCCAGCGTAGCCCTGGACGAGTTTGTAAGCGCCTTCTTGCAGGATGGGCAAACCCTCTGCGTTTTTTTAATTTCGGAGTCCATCTCCTCGGTGAATTTGACAGAAATAAGAGTGTGTAGCGAGTAGTAGTGTTGCTGGTCCTCGGGGGATGCTGGACATGTCGGCTGGGTCTTGACCTTCTTTTTCACCTCATGTAAAACATTGTTGGCGTTGGACGTGGGCGTAACCGATGGAGACCAAAACGATGGCAGTTTGGGTTTTGAGGCCTGCGTAACATGGTCAATGGACCAGTTCGTTCATGGGTGACTGTTGCCTGGGTTACCTTTTCGTCATCAATAGCCTTCCGCGCCTTCGCGCGCTCTTCAGTGGCAATGCGGGCAACTTCGTCCGGGTCAAATGAAAACTTGCGCTTCTCACCCCTTTTTGCGCCGTTCTCGGTCCCGTTTTCCAAACGTTCTGTCTCCCGAGCAACTGGCTCTGGCTTTTCTCTGCCGGAACTGTTTGCGCTTTCACTCCTCTTTATGCTGAGCCCCGCCTGGGTGAGCTCAAATTCGCGAATTGCTCGCTCCTGGGCTTCTGCGTCGCGGCGGGCCTTCTCTTCCTGCGCTTCCCGCTCCTCTTGCTCGCGGGCTTTCTCGGCACGCTTGATCTCCTTTTTCTGGGCCAGAATGTTGCTGAGGGCGCACTCGCGGCAGAATATGTCCCCATTGGCGCAGGCTACTGGGTCTATCGCGGGCTCGTAGCAGAGCCAGCAGGAGGCAAAGGGCAGAAACGAGTCCCGCGAGAGGCGCGCCGTCGAAGTGCCCCAGGCTGCCCGAGCCATGGCCCGCTCGTGCGATGTGAAGATGGGCCTGCTGGTGTTTCTTTTGCCTGGAAGATCAGAATGGGTTTTCAACTGGTCGGAGAGTGCGCTGGGAGCCTACTGTGTGCCATTTTGGGCTAATTGAGGTTGCGGCAGAGTTGCTCTTGAAAATGCTGAATATCCGTAGTTGCTGCAGTTCCCGTCTCGATGTGTCAAATGTGCAGACCGTTGCTCTGAGAGATTACCCTGTATGTAGTTCACTGTTGTGCCTTGTTAGTTCAAGTTGTTACGTGATGTCTTGCGCAGCGGTTTGTGGGGAACTGCCCCCCTGTCTCGGCTAAGTTATGCGCCGAATTACAGGGGGTCGCGTCCGCGAGTGAGTTCTTCACCTTCACTTTGAGAAGTTGGATTCTTGAATTTCTAGATTGCCATCTTCAGTTGCTCAGGTGGTGGAATCCGCCGTCCGGGCCATCGGTCGGAAGAGTGAGGGAATTCCTGCCGAAAGCCTCGAACGCTCATACATTCAATTGTTCTCGCTCAGTGACGACAGAGTCTCTTCTCTTCTATCTCTGCATCTGCATCCGCGCCTGTCTCCCAATCCCAATATTCAGATCGAGGACAATGGAACAACGTAGCGCATGACACACACATGCCTTTCACCTTCTCATTTATTGAATATTTACCTTCCGGCCCTTCACGGCCGGTTCTGGCTACTACACTTGAGCTCAGCGTCTTCAGTCCGACATGTCGAGTCCACTGTCGGTACCTGCACCACCGGCCCAGAGGCCCAGCCTGTCATGGCGCCTGAGATCAGCCATGATCATGGGTATGACGGGCGTCATATCGCGAGTCTTCTTGTACGGATTCAACACGGTCGAAGTGACGGGTCTCTCCAATTTTCTTCACTTGCTGGATAGCCGTAGGGATTCAGCAAACCGGCAGCGTGGCCTTCTCACTGGTGCGGACATGCCCTAGTCTTGATCAACTCACCTCCGAACTCATACTGACTGGTCGTAGTTTCCAACCACATCAGTGTGTGAGTGCCAACCACAGTCCACATTTCGCACCACCGCCGCCGCGAGCACTCAACTCATGCCCTGGTGAACAGAGTCGACGACCCTGTAGTCTGGGGTCTCCTCCCACTAAAATACGCCTTTGACCCTTCCAACCTTCGCTGGGGCCTCGGCGCCCACGACATTTGCTTCTCAAACAGGTACACCATCACCTTGTGTACCCAGCCAGTAACTTTTCCTTTTCAAACTAACCCCACTTGCAGACTCTTCTCCAGCTTCTTCAGCCACGGCCAAGTCTTACCGTGTCACCGCTTCAAGCACTCGCCTTACGGGGGACCCTTCCAACCGTCCATAGCCCAAGCGATCCGGCTGCTCTCAACACCCCCCTCTTCATCCTCATCCTCATCACCACACAACACCCCACAGCTGCCACCCCCAGCGTGGTACACCACCACGGGGACCGACCTGATCCACTCGCCGCTCGCCTACCCAGCCTACCGCCGATACTCATGGGTGCACGTGTTCCCGGAGGGCATGGTACACCAGCACGCGACGAGCGACCTGCGGTACTTCAAGTGGGGGGTGGCGCGGCTGATCCTCGAGTCCGACCCGGCCCCGGACGTGCTGCCCATCTTCATCGACGGCACGCAGCGCGTCATGCCCGAGGACCGCGGGTTTCCACGCTTCCTGCCCCGTGTCGGCAAAAGGTTGCGTGTGGGATTTGGTGAGGTGCTCGATTACGAGGCCACCTTTGGGGATCTGCGCCGCCGGTGGGAGGCGCTGGTGCGGAGGGAGAATGGGAGGGTTGTTGCTGATGATGGCGCGGCCGGTAAGGAGATGATGGCGGTGAAGAAAGAGGCTTCTTCGTTGCCCGGTGAATTGGCAACAGAGGAGCTCAAGTATGGAAAAGAGGCACAGGAGATTAGGATAGAGGTCGCACGACGGTTGAGGGAGGAGATTCTAAAGGTTCGGCAGTCGCTGGGCGGCTACCCGGAGCCGGATCCGTCGTTCGCCTTTGCTGAGACTTGGCGGCTGGACGGGGGCATCGGGGCAAAGAAGTACAAGAGCCGGGTGGACGGCAGCAACATTAATCAGGACTAGATCATGCTGCAGGATGTATTTTAGAGGCGATAATAGGTCAAATCAAGGGTGGATGCATGGGCAGGCGTGCATAGTCCTGCGCTTAGGAAGCTCATAGAGGCGCATGCGGTCGACGGTATGAGCTACGGAGTAAACGGACGGCCTAAACAGTACCACAGACGCGGTTGCAGAGTCCACCATCGTCAACCTATCAGGGGATTTTTGGTCATGCTTTGTACAGATAATACAGCTCCGCGGCCGTTACTCCTAAGGTATCATTGCACGAACTCACTACTTATACTGGCTTGGGAAACATAACACACAAGGACGGGACCAAATTAGGGTCATCACATCTGTGACCTAACACTAGTCCACAGCACAGGGACATCAACATGATGGGCCATCGCGTCCCCCGGCATACAACGAGTCCAATGTTCAGGGCCCTTCGGCGGCCCCTGTTGACGACTGCTGCGCTAGTTGCCGACTCTCGACGAGTCTTGCTCAATCTTTTTCCGCACGAGATCGGCCAGCATTTTCGCTTGAAACATGCCGGTATCACACCAGACCGTCTCGAGAATCCGCAGGCCCCACATTCGGTACTGGTGCGGGACTCCCGGGGCACAGCTGGCGACTTTGATTCCGAACAGCAAGGAAGGGATGCCTGCTATTCCGATATGGGCGCCGCCTTTGCCCTCGTCAAAGAATTTGTAGTGCTCCAGCTTTAGATTGGGATGCCGGTAGTGAGTCGGAATGGAGACCAAGATATCCCGCGCCAGGCGTTTGATGTGGGTATAAGAGCGTTTCTGGTGAGCGGCAGGGACCAGCTGCGAGCTGCTTAAAGGCAGCATAGCAACGCTCTCTAGGAGCATCTGGCTCACCATGACGCGGGCCCAACGGAGGTGACTCCACACCCGGGCTGTGTGCATGTTGGAATACACATGATAACAATCCTCGAAGACTGACCCGGCAGGAAAGAAGCCTTCATTGGCGTGTTCCTCGGTGACGGTCCAAATGCCTTCTTGTCGGTTCTCCCAGGAATCCAACTCTGCATCAAGCTCCAGCGCCTGGCGAATCACGTTGGCCGTTCCAGGTTGCCCGTCCACGAGCGGGCGGTAGCGTACAAGTACGGAGAGTTGGACAAGGCGTACGATCATGCTGATAAGTTCAGCTGCTGGCCGATCGGGAGGTGGTGCTCTTGTGGCACTCATCGAGATCCAGTCAAAGAAAGATGATGGCAGCGTTCCCCCACCCGCACCGGAGTCTGCTCGAGTGGGCAAGACGACATTTGGCTCCGACGACGACGACTGCAGGGAGTTTTGAATCGCCGCTAATATGGAGAAACATATCTGCAAGAGGCCGCGGAGTGCCTCAATCGGCGACGTGGAAATGGGAAGGACAGTGGTCAGAATTGCAGCGCCGCCCATGATATGGGTTCTGGGAGCCGAATTGACGGGCTCATCTTTACGACGGACAACCTAGCGAGGAGGAGGGGAAGTTTCAGTCAACCGTCTTGCACCGTTTGGTAGAAGGAGAAACTCACCTCGAACATTGCCATCATTACCACGGCGCGGAGAACTATCTCGAGATCGAGCCCCGCAACATCCCGGAGAGACGATGCAATGTTCTGCAGGGCGAGCCCGTACTGCTGTCTCGCCAGCACGCTCATGTCTCGGTCACCGGTGAGGTTCGACAAGCCCGCCAACCCCACGGCCGCCATGATATCCCGGGTCGCACGTGAATGAATCCATCGCAACCCCTGAAGCTCCTGAGCAACCCTCGGCTCGTCCGGCAGTCCAATCACGTAGTGCTCAAGATAGAATTGAATGCCCTTCTCCACAGTGGTGACGCTTACTTCTTTCGGCAGTGTCTGTTCAGGTGGGCTTCTACGCTCTCTTGTTGCTAGATATCTTGAACGAGCTATGGCTGCATCGGTGCCGGAGAATTGATCTCGGGTTGAATAAGGAGAGATTGATTGGAGGGAGGAGCCGGATGGCTCTCCCAAATCAGATGGGTCCGTCACGCCCCATTGGGCGTGAGCTTTCTGTATTACTTTGGAACTCTCGTCTCGAAACAGTAACGCTAGCTGGTCTCGGTAGCCGGGGCAGGTCTTGCCGATACGGATGCATTGTGTGCACTGAGGACGAACTTTGTCGCACTAGCCGTCGTCAGCGCTTTGTATTCTCTAACACAAAGATTGGGTATCACTAAGAGACAGCGAGGCCTTATGGGGATTGGTGCACTAGGGGATATGGCCCAAGTTTTGTTTTTGGCTCCGGCTAGGCGGACGGGGCGAGAGCATCTGGGCATGATCTCACCTTGATTCGTCTTATTCGACAGCCTTGGCAGCCCTGTGATGCCTTGCCGCAATAGACCATGGTTGGATTCTCAGTCTCGCGGGATAGAATTGAGGCCGGAATAGGTATTCAGCTCGTCCCTTTCTTCCCTTTCGTTCCACCCTTGTACGTTGTTGGCAATGTTGGAATGGCTAATGGGTGGTGGAGGTCTTGAGGAGTTAACCAAGTAAGGGAACCAAATCGCCGGCAATGGATCTGCCAACTAGTCCAGGCCTGCATGTCAAGCATGTCGCATCCGCTCCTCATGTAGAGTTGGGGTTGCACTTTGTGTAAAACGGCCCCATCAACCACCCAGTGAGAGAATACCAAGCATGTGTGGCAGTGGCGTCGAACCCAGCGACTGAAGGAGGAGGTTCAACCTTAACGTGACCACACCGCCCTGGACAGCCACAAAAGTTGTAGTTGTTCAGACCGCCAACTGTTGACCGTCGCGTTTGACTGGGCTTCTCGTGCCCAGTATCCTACGCCACAAGATTGTCTCGTCTGGGTATAACATTGCCGAAGAGTGAAGAAGATCCTGCGAGAGCAGCTAAACCTGGAATCAGGGTCTCATTTAGACCCTCCTCAAGCTTGTAGCTGGAGGCTGGAGCAGTTCCGCGTTTGCGAAGTTCGTTGCATTTCAAAGTCCAGCAGACACCGGCGTTCCTATCACCACTCCATACATTGGTGCGAATACTCGGCTGGCTTAACAGATGCAGCCTTGGCGTGGGCCAGCCTGTTGATCTTGGGGCGGGTGGTGAGCCCGGTCCCTGACGTGAATTGGTGGTTCTGGATTGGTCTTGCGAAAGGGGCTTTTAGATCTGCTTGAGCTCATTCGTCTTTTGGGGAGCTTGGATCCGAACCATGTGCAGCCTCGTGTGCGGTTGTTGATAGGGGCAAACTCTAGGGGAGCTACCAACATGGCGTTGGAATTTGGATGTGAGATCTATGTCTCGATCCTCAATCAGGCGGGCCGACAACGAACAATCGAGTCATGGTTTAAAGCCCTGATCTTCCCACTTGCTAGTTTCTGACAAAGAGGCCAGAGAATGATTGGTTACAGGTGTGTGCATACCGGTATGGCCAGTGTGTAAGGCACCTGCAATGTTAGGAGCTGGAAGTGGCGACCGTTGACCGTTGTGAACTACTACTGTAAGAGCTTAGCTCAGCAAAAGCCCGGACCAGGGCCGGGGTTGCCAAGGCAAGTTCCGTGCTGTGGGCCGGCCCGAACTTACGCAAATCAATTTTCTGCTGAGCGAACCAGTTTCGCGACTCCAAGGAAGCCACCAAGCAACGAGCTGTTCCTTCTTCTCCTCTTCCTCTACCCCACTCACGAAAATCATCCAAGAGACCCGCAACAAGCTCTGCCGACCCATTATCTCTTTCTCTCTGCACTTCCCTTTAACGAGCCTTACCTGCCTGCGGTGCGTCTTGCGCTCCTGGTATCGCCGCCAACTTGGACCCGGTGCCTTCAGCTTCAGATCGTGTTAGGTGCTCGCAGTTCAGCACCGGCTTAACCAGTACGACTCTCCTACTTTATATCCTCGTCCATTGGGCTTGTGCTGAGCTTGCTTTGCCTCTTGGTCGCATAGATACCTCTCTGCCCGCTCCGTCTCGGCGCCCCCTCTCCCCACGCGCTGGGCTTTGACAGCACCCTCTTTCGACTGCCGCCCTTCCCTCTATCGCCATAACCTCGAGCAATCATGGCGACAAACGGTAATGTTAATCACCATGATCAGTATCCTGCTCCAGCCCAGACATCAGAGACCACGGCCAATGCCGATAGCTCGACCAGAGATCTTCCAAAGGATGAGGTCGGCTGGTACTTCGTTGAGCAGTATTACACAACTTTGAGCAAGTCGCCTGAGAGGCTGCATGTAAGTTCAGCGCCACATAAAGCGGCGCATTGAAAGGACACTGACCAGGTTGTTAGCTTTTCTATGGCAAGAAGTCCCAATTCGTTTCCGGTCTCGAGGCCGCGATCGTTCCGGTTTCAGTCGGTCGCCAGGTAAGTGGCAAAGCTCCTAACGCGTCTGCCTTCGATTGTTGACTCCCATTATCTCTACACAGGCTATCCAGGAGCGCATCAAGGAGATGGATTTTCAGGACTCCAAGGTCCGCATCTCTAACGTCGACTCGCAAGGCTCAGAGCAAAACATCGTTATTCAAGTCATCGGTGAGATTGCGAACAAGGGCGAGGAGTCCAAGAAATTTGTGCAGACATTTGTGCTCGCGCAACAACCGTCTGGCTATTTCGTCCTCAACGATATCCTGAGATATATCGACGAGGATCAGGAGGAGGTGGCTGAGCCGGCCGCAGAGGCCGCAGAGGAACCCACCGCTCCCGCCGAAGTTCCGGCCGCCGACGAAGCTGAAGCTGAGCCGGAGGTCACTGCTGATGAGCAAGCTGCCCCAGAGCAGGAACCCGCTCAACTGGACACCACCGTTGTTACGCAGAAGCTGGAGGAGGCTGCCGTCGAGGCACCTGTTGCTGCCGAAGAGCCCGCTGTTGAGCCTGCTGTTGAGGCCCCGGAGCCGGCCCATACGGAGCAAGCGCAGACGCAACCCGACGTAGAGAAGACGGTTGAGGAAATCGCCGAGGAGGAGGTCAAGAAGCCTGAGGAACCCAAGGACCCCAGCCCCACTCCCGCAGTCGCACCCGCTACCCGCGTTGCGGCCCCCGCTCCCGCACAACCCGAAAAGCCCAAGGAGCCCCCGAAGCCGATGTCCTGGGCCAGCCGGGTGGCTGCAGCTGCTGGCACGGCCCGGCCTGTTGCCCCGATTCCGAAGGCTGCTACGCCTCCTGCTGCTGCACAGCCACGCGCTCCGGTCCCTGCGCCCGCCCAGCAGCCTGCGCCCGCCGCACAGCAAGCGCAGCCGGCCGAGAGCTCCGCGGCCGCCCCCACCCCAAAGGACCAAGGCAATGAATGGCAAACCGCAGAGACCAAGCGGCAGAGTCGTACTCAGCCGGTGTCTGCCGCCCCGGCTGAAAAGGAGGGTACCATGGCCTACATTAAGTATGTCACCGCAAAGGTGAGAGATGAGGACCTGAAAGCCGCGCTCTCCGCCTTTGGTGAGCTGGCCTATTTCGACATCAATCGCACAAAGGTATGGACTTTTACTGAGGAAGGGGATGTCTCGCCATATCCGCTAACCTTCTTTATAGAATTGCGCCTTTGTGGAGTTCAAGACTCAGGCTGGGTACAATGCTGCGGTCGCCGCCAATCCCCACACTGTGAACGGCGAGAACATTGTGGTCGAGCAACGCCGCCCGAAGGCCAACGCGTACGGTGGCACCAACTATAACGCTTCGCGCGGAGGTGCCGGCGCCCGTGGCAGTCGTGGCGGCTACGAGCTTAGTCGTTCTGGTAGCCAGGGCGGCCGTGGTGGTTTCACCGGCCAGTCTAGAGGGCGTGGCGGGGCTGCCCGGGGCCGAGGGGCTGCTCAGGCCGGCACTGCCTAGTTGGCACATTGGTGCTAACGTCTGGACAGTCACTTTGCAGCGCAAGATCAGGTGCCAAGACTGCTACCGTGGTGAGTGGAACTGCCTCTAAGGCATTTCAATTTTTCCATCTTGATATGACGGCTGGGGAAGATGATAGGGGGAAGGGCATTTTCACCGGGTGCGTAATGGAGTAACGGGGACAATTGATGAGTTAGGAAAGGAAAAGCCGGCCAAGAATCATGGATGTTTCTTTTTGATGATGCAATAAGAGGCGCTGCCCACGGAATTGGGACAGTTGTGCGGTTGTTTGCGGATGCGAAGCCTTCATGTACTTGCTTGCTTCTTGCCGTTGCCTCCCCCCCCTGCACCAAAAGCTTCGATTTGTTTTCCATCCTTGTCTTAGGGCCGGAGGTGGAGGAGCAGCGGCCTTGTACATCACCCGGTTATAGGGGGAAAGGCGTGCATGAGCGGAAACGACGAAGCATCGAAGCAATGGAGGAACTAGGGCTATTTTGCTTCAACTTGTCATGAGCCGAGGTCACCCTACACAAAGGATTCCTGTCCCTCGCTGATATAGTACAGGATTGCTGCATACGCAGATTTGCTGGGCGTACAGATAACCATACATACAGAGACGGATGGATGGGCGGTTTGGTAGCACTCCCTAGGTCTAGGTAGACTTGATGTGTAATGGTAAAAGCATGAGATACACGACTAAGCCCTGCCTGTCGCTCATCCAGCCGGCTGACTGACCTACTGGCTGGTTGCCTGCCTGTTTCAGCGTCTCGGTTTCTGTGACCGTGGGCCCAGCGGGGTGCTACCGTGGACGACATACCTACGCGGGACACAGGCACACATGCATGGAGGGCGAGTTCACCTCAGTCAAGTTGAAGTGGTCAGAGCAAAGGACCTCCGTTTCTTATCCTCAACGCCCTATCTTGGGGGTGGGATTGTAACCCTGCTGTTAAAAGGACGCCTTGGACAGGTTACGTGGGCTTACTTACGTGGGCCTAAGACAACTCAAGGTGCTCAACTTTCAATGGCAAGCCTGGCGGACAATATTTGTGACTTTAGTAAGTCCAGTCTAGCCTAGCGGAAATGTAATCCCTCACAGCGAACTCGGCGAAGCCTTGCCCTGAACTCGACGGCATTGGCTTCTAGCAGATGGCGAAGACCGGAACGAAGGCAAGTCAGGGTGGATCCCTCTACTAGATTGCCATGGAGGATCGGAGGTCCTTCACTGCCAGCCTGTGAAGCATCACCGGTGATAACATGACCTGTAGGTTGGATTGGACATCACTGACGAGTTCATGCTCAGGACACATGCCGATTATGGCCCTGTGATGCTGGGAATCTCGGCGGTGCGTCCGAGAGTTAGCAGGGTACAGGTGAGGCAGTTTGTGACAGTTCATCGCGACATGATTGCATTGCCGGTTGTCTCCCCGCGATCGTCACTGGCCTCACCCTTGCACCCCAGTACCGACAGGTTTGCGTCGCTGCGTCAGGATGTCGCCCTACCAGAGGGTCCGGCTAACCATGCTCCGTTCCTCAGCCCGATAACGCTTTCCACACAACGGGCTCGACTTCGTAACCCCGCGAGGCCGGGAGTATGTACTTGTACATACATATACCACTCTGCATATGTGAGCTGTCGCGGGACGGGCAAATCTGGGGTTATCATGGGGGTTTTATCGTGATCTGACTCCCATTCTGCATACGGCAAAGCTTGGAACTTGAAGATCTCCAAGTCATCCGGACTGGCTCCGGAAGCTAGCTAGGCTAGCGTACGGGGAGAAGACAGGTACAATGGCTCGGACGAGCAAAGCTTGTGGTCCGAACTGCTCGGATTCTAGTCCCAATTCGATCATAGTGTTCGATCACGTAGAGTAAGACGGACTGAATACGGACAGTCCGGGCGGTTGGACAACCATTGAATCGAGCTCCACGGTAATCCAGATGACAATGAGTTGTGAGCTTCAAGATGTTTGGCTTTGTTATCGAGTTACACGAGCTCTGGCACCTGTGCACCGGTACCCTATAATCTTGGGAAATGGAATGCGTCCATCGCCTTCCTTGTCTGGTGGTGATCATTTGAAAATCGGCCTCCGCACCCTGGAAGGAAAAGGCAAGCGCAAGCCGAACCCCAGGAAGCCGATGAACGCGTCGGCCCTGGTCACTCTGTTCCCACCTTCCTGAAAGGAATAACTAGCAAACTGAGAAAAGAATGGATGACTCTCTGGGCCCACTAGGGTCCCACCAACAGCCCAGTCTCAAGAGGTATTGAAAATGCGAAAAGAATGGGAAAGAGAGAGCAGGAGCAACAAGAGTGATTAGTGAAACAAAAAAAAAAAAAAAAGCAGAAGAGGGCCGAATTCCAACCTTTCGCCAAGGGAGACCCGAGGATCCGCAGGGTTGCCCTCGGCTGCTGTAGCATCCTACCTGCCAAGTTCAGCTCTCTTTCCCTTCTCCGCGTGGTTTCTGCTGCTGTGCGGCGAAAGCATGTGGCCCGGGACTTCTTTGCCACTTTACCTGCCTTCTGGAAAAGACATGGTAGGACAATGGGGCTCCCGGCTGCGGCACAGGTTCCAGCTGGAAAGAGAGAGTGACACGAGAGGGAGAGAGAGGCAAGAGCGAATTAGAGGGCAATTCTTCTCTCGTCTAAAAAATCACAGAGCTTCGTGGTTGGACCCCAGCAGCTGTCCCACTGTCCCACAAGGTGTTCTCCGGTAACCACCTACCCGGAACGGCCTAGCCCAGCATGCGTGGAATGACTGTGGTCAATGCCGTTGCCGGCGATTGGCAGCAAGGTTTCCAGTGCGCCCATCGGCCGACAGGGCGGGGCGGGAAAGCACCTCGACGGCAGGGGAGGGCAGATCGTTTTGGGAAGAATCAAACAGTCGATGAGGGTGTCAACGGAGATCGAGCCACACGGTACGTAGCTCGCAATATATGCCAGACAGGACAACCGCGGCCAAGAGGCGCCATTCAACGTTGCGAAGAAACCTTGCTGACTATTTTGTGTAGACTGTTGAGCTAATAAGTGAAGTCTCTGCTCGAGGAAGGAGTCGTAGATTGCTGACCTGCAGAACCAACGTTCAGCCGGGTATTCAGACACATCGAATGCCCATTGCCGTGAAATCGTCCCGTCAAGCCGACAGGCGTGCTGTGTTGAAACGGTAACCGCCGGCATAATTGGCAAGTTTAACGAAAGCTTAGCTAAAGCACTTGCCCCAACTGTGCTCTGCGAGCTCCATGCCTGAATCAAAAGATAAAGTAACTCAAGAAAAGCAAGCACCTTGGCACGGCTGCTTCCAGGGATCTGGGTGTCAAATACGCTAGGCGACGGGAGCACTGACGGCTGGGGTCTCCAGGAGTTCCAGGGTGGCTTTCAGCCCCTCAAACCTGCCGCCAAGGCCTCATGGGATGATAATTGGGGTCGCTGCCGCTTTCTGTCACTTCATCCATTCTCCATGCCCGGTCACCAACTTCTCTCCGATCAGCACTGAGCCTTGCAGGCTTCGCTGTGCCTTTCCCTTTTCAGCATCCCGCCCTCTATTGATAGCGTCAACTGCCGCGTACCGCTCGTTATCCTCTTTCATCTTCTTGTTCGCTTCCCATTTGCCGCTTGTGTCCGCTGCTAATACCGGGACCCAATTTTGTATTCGACACCTGGAGCTTGTTGTGGTATCTTGCTCACCTACTCCATCGAGCGTTCCAGTCTTGACCGTCATCCGCCCCCTGATCGTCTGCATACACAGTTTTCATGGTGGACTCTGCCGGGTCAGCGACTATTCAGCTACTATTTCGCATCTGGCATCTCCACCTCATGGCATAGTGAGTCTAGTGGCGCCAAGTGCCTGAGTGAAGAGAAGCGCTGTCGGCGGCGGCTTGCGCTTGGGGTCTCGTGGCGTTGAATTTCGCAAAAAAACCGCTATCCCCTATTCACCCCTGCCGGCGCCTGTGGGGAATCTATTGCAAACCTGCACAGCGCCAGGCATGCCATGCTGGAAGAGAACGCGCCAAGGACGGAGGAAATCGCAGCTTGCAACTACGAAATCACATCTAGTGGGAGAGGGGGGAGGGGAGGGGAAGACGGAATTGGCCTGGTCGATATTGCCGACGAAGCCGCCGCCGCCGTAGCGCGCAGCAGCAGCCGCAATCCCCCAACACCGAGAAGGTATCTGTCCCATGGAGCCGAGGTCCAGCGATGCCTTCTCCCAGCACAGCGTCGGTAACGATGCGCCAGCGGCGCGGCCGCGCCGCATGTCGATGGAGGAGGACTTGTTCTACCGGGATCTCATGACCTCGCGGCCAGCCCAGCCGCCGAGCTACGAATCGACCGTCAGAGCCGCGCAGAGGAGGGCACTCGCTGCTGCTGGGGAATTGCCTTCTGAGAGCATATCCGAGGATGTACTTCCCCAGTATTCGTGCGACGTACATCTGGAAGGTGTGTTTATGCGCAAGATGGAGATTGAGGACGCGACGAAGCGAGCCGAGTACCGCGACTGGAGGATGGTGTACGTCGAGCTGCGTGGCACAGCGCTCAACGTCTATTCTGTCAAGAAGGAACGAGGATTGTGGTTGACAAAGCACGACGGGCCTGATATATCACCCGATAAGCCCCCTTGGGTCAGGAAATCGACGCTCGAGAAAAAGTACAGCCTCCTCCATGCGGATGCGGGTATTGCCGCGGATTACAGAAAGTGCGTTGCATCCCCATGCCGCCATCCAAATGGTGCAGAACCTCTGTTATAGAGCATCGAAAGCTGACAAGTCTGTGCTAGGCGGCGGTACGTCATCCGCATGAGGCTAGAGACGGACCAATTCCTATTATCGTGCGTTGAATTGGGCACCTTTGTTACCTGGTTGGACGGGATATTTGCCGCCATCAATGTGTCGGCGCCGATCGACGAACGTGACTTCCCTAGGGACTACAGCATACCGCGTGTCCAGAGGATACGATGGCTCCGTGGTCAACGACCGCAGCCCGAAGACAGCATCGGCTTTTCCAGGCTAACCGAACAGCGCCGGCAAGATTCGCAAGGCCAAGATGTGGACGACGAGAACGACGACGACGACCAGCCGGATCCCGGGGGGTATGGCGGCGACGAAGACGCTAATCCTGGTTACGGCCCTCGAACTGATCACCCGATTATCGGGAGGTTGTCGACAACGTCATATCCGAACGAAAATATTGACCCTAACACTGGCAAATGGGCCCCACAGCACCACTGGACCGTGACGCACGATCAGCTATACGCCCGGCTATGCTATGCTGTGCTTCTGTTCAAGAGTCCTCGGAAGAGCAACTACGTGGTTGCGAAAGGCGTACGGTGGTATGTCGACTGGGGCACGGGGCGCATGGTCCGGGTGCTCCCGCCAGCCTACGGCGAGGTGGACGTTATGGGGCCTTGGCAGGTCATTATGGCCGAAAACAGGCTTCTGTAAGGACGGCATCGCGCCGATATCTCGGCCTAAACGGCACGGCCGGAGGGTTGCTGTGCTTTCTCTTTGTACACGCTGTCATTCGCCGTCATCTTGTAGTATTCTAGACCTGCAAAGTGCGAACCGCTTTGTTTGCACTTGGATTTCTTTTTATATACCCAATCTCCAGGGCGGTGTTATCGGGAGCGGCGGGCATTCGGGAGACACATCTGACTTGCTCATTGGTTTCTTTTCTTGCTTACATTGCACTTCTAGCATGTTACGTGAGCCGAGATGGCAAGTCTCAAGCGGCGGGTGGGCGGGCAGGCAGGCAGGCGGGCGGGCGGACGGGTCGGCAGCATTATTATACCACATTTCTTCTGGCAGGATGGTCACGGATTCCTCTGGACGTGAGGGGAAGATTGCAATCAGGACTTTTGGTGTAGTCCAGCACGCAGTATATAATACCACGGGCATGTAATGTACATGTGAAACACGCAGATGGGTTGGGTTGTTTATGCCCACACCGTTGATCCACCTTTGAATTGAGAGTCAAACCCGCTGATCACCTGTCACACTTGCCCCCAACGCCGTCCCAATGTAGCCCCTAACGCCGATATCATGCCTTGTCATCGAACCCAGCAACATCACCTCCCAGCCATAGCAGACCTAGCACTCTCTAATTCGCTGTCAGCGGCCCTCGTCTCGACAGCGAGTTCCTCTACGACTTCCCCTAGTAACCCGTTCGCCCCATCCACGTCGGCAAGCATCTTCTCCACACCCTTCAAGAGCGTCTCTATCTCGGCCCGTTGTGCTTGTATCTCTTCATAGAGCTTCGCATTCGCCGCTTGCATGTTTTGTAGCTTTGCATTGAGCTGGGACCGATGTGAGGCAAGGTGCGGTTGGAGGTGTGCGTCGAGAATGGTGTCTGCCGGGAGGGTATGGGGACTGCTCAGGGGGGGCATAGCACAGATATGTCAGTCAAAGAGGTCCATGGTGAGAATGGGGACGGTCTGATAGATAGGATAGGTGAGAAGAGGAGAGGAGAGGTCTGCGTACGCAACAGGCGGCTCGCCGCTCTCACCCCCGGCCTCCCGCCTCCGCCTGGCTGCGTCCGCAACCAAGTCCTCCAGCTCGTTCAGCCGAGCAACAACCTGCCGGTTGGCGAGTATCGCGTCGAATTCTTTCTGTTGATCCCACACACGGGTTAGCATTAAATAGGTAGGTAGTGCACTTGGGCAGATCCAAGCCCTTCAATTCTTACAGACAAAGCCTTAAAAGATAACTAAATATTAGAATAACGTACGTTCCATAAACTACCCAACCGCTCCACCATCTGCCGCTGCACCGCCTCCAGCGTCCGCGGCGCCTTGTCCCGGATCGTGGGGAAGCATGCGCCAAAGTTGTCGGCGTCGATCTTGTCGAGGGTGCGCTTGGCCACGCTGGCAAAGAGCTGCTGCAGACGGGTTGCCCGCGGGCCGGGGACGACGGGAGTGGCGGCGGCGGCGGCGGCGGGTGTTTGCTTCTCTTGTTCGGTGGTGGGCCCCGGTTCTGGGTCGGGGCCGGGGTCTGCTTCTTCTTCTTCGTTGCCCGTCTCGGTTTGGTCCGCTGCTGCCGGCGGCGGTAATTGGGGTTGTGATTGTATTGTAGGCTCTGCTGGCGGCATTTCTGTGTCTTTCTGGGCTTGAGGTTGACTATGTCTTGATTCGGCTGTAGCTGCGGCTGCCGGTGAGGATACTGGTGCTGCTGCTTGGACGAGGGCGGTTCCTGAGAAGAGTACGTCGCGGTTGGTGCTTGCTTGCGCGCAAGATGAATTGCCTACCTAGACTGCTTTTATGCTGCCATGAATTGAATCCGAAGGTCAAGCTATGAGAACAGAATGACAGTACTAGTAGTACCTCCTGTGCATGGTTATCCTGTCGCGATAGGTACTGTACTTTAACTGTTCAGTACGGTCCCGACGCGTTTTGCCCCTCCAGGTTCGCGTCGTACACTAGAAGTGGAGGTGGAGTCCGTGATGCTCAGAGCTCTGGCCTTCTCCCCTTGCAGCGTGCACGGCCCCTATAAAGTCAACAACATGCAGCCAAGCCTGTAAACTGAATTCAGGGGTATTGCTCCGCAGGAATTGTCACGACAATCTGATATTACGAACACAAAGTTTACCTCCCATTGTCTTCCATCATCTCATCTCATCGTATCCGAACATCCACAGGAACCAAGGAAAAGTATGTACATACAACAGTGACCGCCCAACACATCTCATCTCCACAAGCATACCCTCATCTCATAAATGGAACCCAGCCCCTGTAACCGGAACGCCATGCCTTTGAACGAATAAGTATACCGACCCATGGCTGAATTAATTATAGTCCAGCATCGTCGGCTGCCTACTACTACTTCCTTCCCTCCTCTCCAATCGCCTCCTCCGTCTCCGATCAGCCGCCATGTCCGTAATCGGCCCGCTCGTAAAGGTCGCGTGGCTGCCGCCGGGACTTGTTATCCCCGCAGGGCTCCCCAGACTCGACACGGTCGCGCCTGCAGCCGGCATGGCCCCAGACGGCCCAGGCTGGCCTTGCGAGTAGTAAGCCGAGTCTTTCTGTCGCGAGCCTCTCGCAAACGCCGGGTTGGGCGGAGAGAGCGGGGCAATCGGCTCATTATCCCTTTCGACCTCCTGCTCGGCCGCCGTCTCGGCTCTTCGCTGGCTGGACGAGTCCCTCCGGTACCGCCTTGGCGTCGACTCGCCTCCTGAGATGCTGCTCACGGAATCGTTGCGCCGCCGCCGGCGCTGCTGCTCGCGACGCGCTTCCTCTTCCGTCAACTTGCGCAGCGTGATATTGCGGTCGGGATTGTCGTGCACATGCACGCGAACGCTGACTGGAGGGTTGGTTTGGGGTGAATCCCGCACGCGTTCCCCCCTCCGGCGACGCTCTTCTTCCTCACGCGCGGCAAGGGCGCTGGCGGTCGAGACCGCGGCCGCTGCGGCTGCTTCACCTTCGCGTCTGCGCCGGTGGTCGCTGTCCGAGTCGCGCCGGAGGATTCCCTGAGGATCGACCGGCATTGGTGGCATCGCAACCGGTTCCGTTACGTCATATCGAGAATGTGGCGCTGAAGCTCCCCCAGCTGGCATGGGCACAGGAACGGGGAGGGGGGCCGCCGAAGGCCCGCCCGTGTTTGCCACGGGCACAGGGGGCGCGCCCGGAACTGTGACCGGACCGGGAGGAATGCGGCCACCTGGAGGTGCCGGCTCGTATGGCGTATCGCCACGTGGCTCGATTGACGATTCTCCTGAAATCATCGAACTGACTGTAGTGGTGACGGCCGATGGTGGAGGACGTGGACGGTGTGGGCGCCGTCTAGATTCCCGTCTTGATGGACTGGGGTATCCGTCGCCCGTATATCGCGAGCTCCGTTTGCCGGCCCTTCGATCTTCTTCCTCCTCCCTTCGCCTCTCCTCCTCGTCCCGCAGCCGCTCCTCCTCTCTCCTGTCCCGACGGTCCTTACCCATCTTGGCCAGGAAGCCCAGTCCAATTCCAGCGAGGAACCCCTTGCCCGCACCCCCGCTTCGTCTTCGTTCGGGTGCTGCCCTAGAGGGACTGACGTAAGAAGAATAATCCGAGGCATCAACCGTGCTGTCAAGCCTGGAGGTTGCGGCATGTGAGCGCTGCGGGGTCATCGGCCTCGGTCTATCCCCGGCGGCGCCTGGACGAGGCGCGGGGAGTATAGACGATTGCCTGTCATGTGTGCTGGGGTGTCTCCGGACATCCTCGGTCCGTTCAGTGTAATCGGTGCTTTCGGTGATCTCGCTCGCCGGTCCATACCTACGTGCGCGGCTTGGCGTATCTGTAGCAACTGCCGAATATTCATCATCATGACGACCGCTACGGCGATTCATCATCTTGGAGACCAGCGCGCCGGCCCCCAGGCCCGCGCCGGCCGCGAAAAGCTTGTTCATAAACCCTCCCCCGCTCGCACGTCTTCGCTCGGAATGTTTTTCGTCGTAGTAGCTTTCGGAGGCGCGGCGAGATGAAATCACGGTAGGTTCGCGTCCGTGGTGGGATCGACCCGTGGGACTGGGAGATCGGCTTAGGGCCCGTTCGGCATCCCGGTTCTTCTTTCGGCCCCGGAATAGTGCCAGAGCGCCAGCGCCGGCAGCCAGGGGACCCAACCACCCGAAACCGCGCCCCGACTTTGACTCCGTCACCCTGCTGCTCTCACCGCCGGCGTAGCTAACACCGTCCCTGACAAATTCCCGACGCCCGTCATCCCGATAGTCCAGAATGAAGTACAGTAGCAGCAGAAATCCCATCCACACAGCGTAGAGGATAAAGAGATACTGAGGCGAACCATAGAGAGTGAGGCCAAGAGGGACCTGCACAATTCCCAAGAGGGCGATAGCACGACCACACCATCGGTGGATATGCAGCCTAAACGAGTGACGGCCGGACAGCTTCCTAACTAGCCGACCGCCGATGGCTTGGAGCAGAATCAGGACATAGATGGCAACGCCAATTCCATGATGCGGGTTCGTCAAATTGCGGGGCGGGCCGACGGCGAAGAAGCCGAGCACGAAGACGACGGTGGAAAGGCCAACAGCGAGGACCTGCAGGTAGGCATGATAGTGGACGGACCTCCCCGGTCGGCGGGCGTAGAACCTGATGAGGAACACGGCGCTGGGTACAACGAAGAGGAAGGTTATCGCGGCGAGAATACCATGGCCGAGGATAAGACTGTGGTACTGCGTGAAGGTCGCAAAGCGGTTCCCCATGCCTAGATAAGCCACCGTTTGCACGTATTAGCTTATGCATTCCAGGTCCCTTCCGGTGTCGGGGAGGCATTGCAGACAGAAGACGCATACCATTATATCTCATCGTCTCAAAATTTAGCCCTACGAGATTGGGCAGAAGGAATGTGTTCTTGGTGAAATCCCAGGTCCCGTCGCCAACTGTTAATGTGTCGGAGGAGTATGAACTGCTCCCCGGCGGGGAGAGCGAGTCTGCTGGCGCCATTGGCGGCGACACTGTGCGCCGCGCAGCGCCGAAACGAAAAGAGGATATGCGTAGGCAGTCAGGAATGAATGGTAGCTGCCGCACTCAGAGAAATTCGGAGGAATAATTCGAGGTAGCTGGAATGTTTGCAATCCGACCGGCCGTTTGAATCGTCAAGTGGGCCGATGATTTGGCAAAGGAATGGCGGGGCAGTCCGATGCAGCACTTATTCGTGTAAGCGGTGCTACATGTTACCATGTCTTGCACATTGATGAAGCTTCGGCGATGGCTCTATCCCGGTGCTGCAAGAGGACTCCGAATTGAGAACTTTTCGTCTTTGTTCAAGTACTACCCCGGTGTAGCATGTTTCCAGAAAAGAAGGGACCGTAGAAAGCGTTGACACTCAATTCGCATGCTGCTGGCCTGGCACTAACAATCTGGTTGCCACGGAAGCGAGCTTGGGCCCCAGGTTTTCTGGTGGGGCCTGTCATCCTAGCACTAACTTAAAGTTAACTAGCTGGGCTTGGCAAGAAATACCCACCCAGTACCACCTCAGCTTTGCAACTCCAAGGGCCCACCGGGTGTGTGTAACTTCTTCAGTGCAATGCAAACCTCCATCCCACTGAACAGGCGTCGTTGTCTCATCACCAGCAGATACGGAATATCGGACATCTGTATCAGTATCATACGGCTTTAGGCCGTACTTACTTGGAAAAACTAAGGTACAACAAGCCGTGGATCCAACCCGTGTGAACCAAGCCAATAGCCAATACATGCATCTCTCGAACCTCACTCGCCTTGAAGCCTCCAATTGGGGGGCGCAAGCAGGGCGCAAGCGTTTTGCTGGTTGCGCCCTTGTCGCTTGTCGCTTGTTCAAGAGCTTGCCGAAAGCCTCACCAATGAGCCATATTTCATTTCATTTCACTCCCCGTGCTCATGGCGTCTGACGCCTGTGTGATGACGGTCAGAAATCAAGATAAATCCGTAGAGTCCTGTCTAGGTGTCTGAAGGACTGTAGTGTCTCCCATCGAGAACTCCATCGTCCAGACCAATACAGAGTCTCAATAATGTCTATCAGTTCCCTTCCATCTCCCTCACCACCCACTGCTACCTATGCCACCATGTCCTTCCACAAAGCTGACACCATCCGCCTCAGAGAGAAGGGCAACCGGAGGAGGGGCGGCCTTTGTCCCCTGACTGCCTATAACCCACTTTCCCATCGTCTGAAATCAACAAGCAATCAACTTACAAGCTGCGTGGCGCAGCGGAAGCGCGCCGGGCTCATAACCCGGAGGTCACTCGATCGAAACGAGTCGCAGCTAGTTATATTTTTTGCCCCTGACTCTATGTCCGTGCTGATGCGGGATTCGTAATAAACTTTCCTGAAGGTCCAATATGACCTCCAAACAGTGATACTTGCTTTCTGGCCGCCTGGCATCAAGACCAGCGGCCCAAGCAGTGACGCCTACGATTACGGGGTCAAGGGTAGGCCCTTCGGCGGCTACGGAGTTGAGTAGGAAACCGTGCGCGGCATCCGACTCTTGCGACACCTGCTCGACTTCTTCCACGGCCGCTCCTGGGAACTCGTCGCACCCGTGCTGTGTAGCACAAGGTATACGGCCAAGGACACGCTCATCTTCCGCCAGGGGCCGGCCACCTCGGCGTTCCTTGTTGAGCCTCGGTTGTCGCCAGCGGTTGAATGGCTCGCTCTAGCTCCCATGTGGCCCAAGAAGTTGCGAGTGGTTTACGACTTCATGGGCCCAAGATTGGACCATATCGGTGTCTTGCTTACGAATATCAAGAGGACGCTGCAGGCCCTGAGCGCCTTTGACAAGGGCGAATGGAGCTACGATTCCTTTGAGTTCAAACTCCAGGGAGAGCCTTGGTACACATGGGCCGAGGAGGAGGCCGTCAAAACGAGGATCATGCTGATGCGCCTGCTCGAGACTATGGAGGCACATGGCTGGCGGCATCATGTGGCTATTTGCCAGCACACCGGGCAAGAAGACGGTCGGATGATGGATACATGGTACTTTGTGCTGCCGAGGGAGAAAAGAGCATTCCAAGGACCTCTACGCAAGAATTGCGATGACTTGGAAGGCCTATGTAGTTGGCCCAATCCTGTGAAGAACCTTATCAGGTTGCTTTCATTTCTTTGCCCCTCGACCTAACGGGAGGTTGGGAGATATTCAAGGCCGGAGCCGATAATACTGCGAGCGATTCACGCACATCGGGCTTCCCCCCACAGCCAAAGAAGGGACCTAAAAGAATCCCATTGCAGGATTCGGTCAAGAGCGAGTGTGGTCACTGCTTTGGCGGACTGGCGAGCCGGAAAGAACGGTCGGCGGCGGCACTTGGACAATTCCGCGCATTTCCCAATCAGTTCGGTTGGCCAGGATGATGGAGGGTCCGAGTCGCTGCCGACGGTGGAAGCTAGGGAGACCACTTGCCTGGAGTTCTCTTTTGGGGACCGGCTGCTGTCTTGTTGGCCACTCGACGATCTAAGGTGCGATGGGTGGTTCAATCTTACTCGGATTCAAGGCAGCATGTATCCTTCGAGGCTTCCCGGTCGAACTTGAAGCATTTACGACACTATCTCCCCCAACGGTGCAGGTGCCGTCATGGTACTTTTGCCGTCAGGTTCTCCTGCTTGAGCCGCTGTTCGTGCCTTCCATGGAGCGGACCCATCCAGGATGGCCACCGCATGTCCCTTCCGCGATTTCAGTTGCAGAGTAGGGAAGGAGTCTGGTACTGCCATGATGGAGGGAGCTTAAGATCCCAGAACTTCGTCCTCGTTCCGTTCTGATCTCTTTCTTCTCTCATCAATCATCACAGCTGGCAGATTTTTTGGACCATCACTCTCAGCTTTTATTATTCAGGCACTACCATCATTGTCTTGTGTCTTTTGTTTTCTTCTGTATTGCGGACGCATCAGCTACCCAATCTTTAAGTTATTCCGTCGGCGTCGTCCCCTTTGCAGCCTTCTGGCGTCAGGATGAAGGCCACTGTTTACACAGGCCTTTTGGCCGCCCTCACCTATCCCACTGTCGTCCTCGCTGGATTGACTCACAACCAGACTGGTCCATACTTCCTCAGAGTCAGCATTTCCAAGGACAAGGCCCTAGACGGCCAGTACCTGATCCCTCTTGTCGTGGATTCGGAGATTGTCGGCTTGTACTTTCGCCCATGGAAGCCCTCCAAGGAGGAAGCAACCTTCTACTTCGACTACACGGTCACTGACGGACGTCCATCGAAGTCCGGCCTGCTTACACACTGGCCGCAGCAGCACGATGGATACGGCAGACGTCTCTGGCACACCATGTCATTGGAGCAAGTACAAGGTTCCAACCTTGCGGTGCCTGCCTTCAATGTAAGTCGCAAGCATATTGCATACCTACTTCTCTTGCTGTCTTGATCTGCTCTCTCTGCCCCGTCAGTCGCACCTCTGAGTTGTTAACGAATTCACGTTTAGAAGTTCCCATCATTCCACGCGGAATTCACCCCGGTCAAATGGGACAATGACGCACTGGTCGTATCATCTAAGCCCGGCGAGTCGGAATCCAAGTCCAAAGGGTGTTGGCACGCATGCGACCTCGTTCACCACAGGGGGTACGGGCTGCCCATCCCTTACAGCGGCGTCGCATGGATCTCTGGTGATAAATCAGCCGATCGGAGTTGCAAGCCGCTTGCAATCTACCGAGTGGACGCCCTGGGTCCTGAGAAGAAACTGGATATTCCTGTGCCGTCGATAGACGGCTCGTCGGACGCGGATGACAAGGACGGGAAAGGCCACGATGAGGATCATGATGAAGATTGCGATGAAGAGGACTATCAGGACCACGACAAGGACCACGACAAGGACCATGATGAAGACTGCGATGACGAGAACGATCAGGGCCACGACCAGGGCAAGGACCAAGGCCACGGTCAGGGCAAGGGTCAAGGTCACGATCAGGGCAAGGATCAAGGCCACGATCAAGGCAAGGGTCAAGGCTATGGTCAGGACAAGGACCAAGGCTACGGCCAGGGCCAGGATCAAGGCTACGGTCAGGGCAAGGATCAAGGCTACGGTCAGGGCAAGGACCAAGGCCACGATCAGGGCAAGGGTCAAGGCTACGGTCAGGACAAGGATCAAGGCTACGGTCAGGGCAAGGACCAAGGCCACGATCAGGGCAAGGGTCAAGGCTACGGTCAGGACAAGGGTCAAGGTCACGATCAGGGCAAGGACCAAGGTCACGATCTGGGCTACGGTCAGGACAAGGACCAAGGCTACGGTCAGGACAAGGACCAAGGCTACGGTCAGGACAAGGATCAAGGCCACGATCAGGGCAAGGGCCAAGGTCACGATCAGGACGACGATGATGACTGCGAAAAGGATCAAGAGGGGGACAAGACTGACAAGAAGGACCATGATGGCGATGATGATCATGAGAAGGGTGATGAGAAATGGGAGGATGACGAGGACGACTGTGGGGAGGAGGACGATGACAACAAGGACGACGGTGATGACAAGAAGGGTGATGGTGATAAGGATGCTCACTAATGAGAAGGTGAGCAGTTGAAGTGCGCACATACAACATGTATTATTAGTAGAAAGGGAACTTGCTCCTGGAATGGCCGGTCATGGATTGGAAGTAGAGTACAATTCTGCTAGAAGCTATAGAGTGGTTGCTTTACTCGACGTGACTCTCTGCGAGTCATTGCTACTTCCAGGTCGATACGAGTCTCAGAGTGGCCGAGGGTTTCCAACCAACTGTATCACACAAACTGACTCGGGTGCCTCTCCGGTCCCGAACCGGGTGGACGATGGAGTGTTCGGACAGGGAGGAAGCTCGACATATGCAGTGATAGGACACTTCATCCGGCCCTGCTGAATGCTTTGACTTGAACGGGCAAGAAACTCGGCAGGCCAAAAGATGCCATCCCTACCGTGCCGAGAATGCCGCCATTCTCATGTTTGTTCTACACGTCTTGCAGCTTGTCGATGGGGGTACATGCTGTGATGTGTTACCGTTACATGGCTTCTCTATGCCGCCTGGAGAGTTGTACGGTGCCTCGGACTCGGGGATGCTCGAAGCTTGAGCGAGGAGGTCTTCACATGAGGCAATGGTGACAAATAATGTGCGAGTGTTTTGGTATTGTACGGGATAGATTTATATGTTGAGCTTCCGGATGTTGATGCCATGCCAATGGTGGCTGCAGTGTATTGTGTTTTTCTTAAGAGGTGAGCGGATCTGTAAGCAGACCAAGGAGCACGCTCATGACGGCAGCGTTGTTGTCTACTCTGTTCTTCGTTGAAGACAGAGCGTCTTTCTGTTTGCCCTGGTCAACACCAGCCCAAGCAGAAGTGGGAAATCGAGTCAAGGAGATGAGCTGCTGTGTTGCCGCTTGCTATATGATGCCCATACAACTTATAAACAGAATGCAACCGTCTCACAGCATAGATCAAATATTCATTGGCTAGACCGTTCCTTGCCTTTTATCAATGATACTTGGGACTTGGGGGTTGTGTGCGCCACAAGGTGCATGGTACCCAAGGGGTTGTCAGAATCTTGGGTAGTCTGGACTCTTCGAGACTTTGGGGAACGAGATGGCACTTCATTTCAGGGGTTCTTGTAAGTACATAATGACTGAGGTGGAGGCGATGTAGCCAAACTGGAGGGTTGTGGATAGAAGTTGTCCTTTTCACAACTCTTTCTAGCAAAGTTGTTGTGCCCTGTTCTACTTCTCACACCACAGGCTCTCCAGCCTCGAGTGTTCGAGACCATGATCACACTCCGTTACCAAGAGCTACCGAGACTTACCAATGACATAATGTAGCTGCAAGTTGTAAGAGTGCCCAATCATGTTAGCCCGAGTACTTATTCAACACCCAGAAGGAAAATCAAGCCACCCCCTGGATCAAGGTCGGGTTGGTCTGCCACACCATCGATTTCCTCTATCGATTGGTCGTTCCGATAACCTCCTCACGTCCAGAATCAAGTGAACCAAACTCCTGCTACCTGTTAGGCATGCCATGCTTGACATGTGCCTATTGGCGATGCGGCCCTCAACTGAGGCTCTCACCAAACAACGTTGTACTACTACGGTATGTGCACTTTTCAGCTGGAGCGTCTCTTGAGTGAAGCCACCTTATCTGGCAAGGTTGTTTCTCCCGGCTGTGTCTCCCCACTACACAAGGAACGGTGTTTGGACTCCTGGTCTGGGCCAGCGGCCCTGAATGATGACGCTGTAGTACCCTACAGACGTTTCCTAAACTGACACCGAGCGAGTTTACACAAACCCCATAAGTCGTGGTCAAGTCGAAAATATGTTGTGAAAACACCAACTGGACGTGAATCGTCCGGCGAAATGGAATCTGGTGCATCCGTCTCATGAAGCATACTCTTATATATTGCCGTAAGATGTAGACGTGTTATTCTCAAACCGGACGCTAGATTTCGATCCGATCACCCCACGGTGCAGGATCGGCCAGGAGCTTGTGAGAGTGAAACGGACAGAGTATGTTCGGCACCCATTGATATACGAGGACGGGGGACACCGTCGGCGGTGGTCCAGAACTTTGACGTGGTTAGACAACAAAGACAAGGTACAATACCTAGGAAGGTACTGACTCTCTGTAAACTGGACTGCTGCCTGAGTCAAAGTCCCTTGGGCAGCAAGCAGTACCTCACAGATCAGGTGCAACTCATCCACGTCTTTGCAGGCAGCAAGAAATTCTGACTTTGAGGAAGGGCCTCGTCAACCGAAGGTGACCTATACTTGGCTCACTTGCAGCCTTGCGATGAGAAAAGTAAGGCAGTCAGAAGTTTCGGCCTGCCGCCACGGCGCCACTGCCTCATCGGCTGCAATTGTTCGGAATGCACTGAGCTCAACCTAGTTTGGGTAGAAACACCACAGCCGGGCAATAGCACGATGTAGGCGGGTACAGTATTGAGCAGCAGAACAAGACAAGGGAGGTCCTTTGCCCGCCAAAACAGGCTCGGGCTAATTGAGCTCGCCGGTTGGTGTTGCACTCATGCGAGCCTTGCAGCTTGCATATCGCCCAAGACATGCGAGTGGACGAAGGCAGATGCAGCCGAACACTGGCAGGATATCGTTAGCGTGAAGAATGAAAAGTGGGTGGCAGCCAGGGGATTGAGAATGAGCACGATCAAGGTGAGCGGGGAAGGAAGGGACGGCCTCAACAGGTGTACGGATGCGAGGCGGAGCACTTTCATTCGGTCAGTTACTAAAGGGAAAGCAAGCCCCTCGGTCCGAACACGCGGGTGGCAGTGTCCCTGTAGTGTTGCTGGGACTCTACCGCTCTTGCTAGCAGTGAGGCTGTCGGTGGATAAAAAAGGTTAAAGTGAAGCAGAGAGCATTATCAGCAGCATGTGAAACATCGCGGAGCATACCAACCTGGAATTGAAATGCTCAAACTCCTGGACGACCGAGTATCTTAAACCAAAAGTCGCTTCTATTATGCACCAGCTGCTGCTGCACAACGCCCATGTTCAGAGCAAAGCAATTGACGACTCGGCAGCAGCGGTAAACCGACACAGCACGGGCTTTGACTAGGCAATCGAGTGCATCGCTTCAGAAAATCAACCAAGGTACCGGTAAAAGAGATGTAGGAAGAGAATGAGGAGACCGAGACGATACGAATAGCCGCAAAAGCGGCGCAGTCCAGCCCCGACCCAAGACACGCACACCTACGGGCAACAGGACCAGTCACTAGTGTGTCCTTTCATGAGCGATGCACACCGCCAACGGCGGGCTGGGGAGAAAAGGGCAAGCTGTTAGTCATTTCTCCGTGGCTTCCAGACGCGGAATGCTGCATATACCACACGGTTCTGGCTCTGGCTCCGTTGCCCGGTCAGGGAGGGCCGTCAAAACGAGGCAACTTGGCCCGGCGTGTTGGTTAGCCTTTCTTGACCTGCGGTTCGCCCGACTTAACTAATGTGTGCGACCGATATGCCCTCGCAACCACCACGGCAGGGCTACGAGGGCTTGAGCAGCCGCCGCAGGCGGCTTGTGTCATGCTCTCGAGGTGGGCTATGGGCTAGCCAAGGAGAATCCGACTTCCTGGGTATGTCGAGTATGTGATACAGTAGTACTCTGTACCCCGGAAATTGCTGACTTGACATGGCATGGACATGTCCGCGAGACCCGCGAGAGGCCCATAGATATATATGCTTTGCGAACGCCGCGATAGCCGATCGTCCAGAATGCTCTTCGATATCGACATGGGTCCGCCGACCAGTTCGGTTGCCTTGCGGTGGCTTGTGCTACATTTTACTATGCCCTCCTCTTCCTCGCGGTCGAGACGACTTCCAGTACCACAGACCACCTCTGTCCATTCCATGTTTCTCCCCATTGCCTGGTTGGAGTGGGGGCTAGGCATGCGGCTCTAAAGATGCCGTCCGGATCGATAAGTCCTGCGTAACCAAGCGGTGGTGCATCGGTTAGACCACTATAGACGGGCAACTTTATAAAACACCGAGAAGTTGCCCAGTCTCTGTGATCGTTGGCTTCTCCGCATCTCCCAGCCGGATGTGGCTGCCCCAGATTGTCCCTGCTGCGCCCTGATCTTGTCCCATCCTCAACCTTTCCAAAGCTCGCAGCAGTTCGTGAACCCCACGATCGAGACCTGCCGCCCTGCCCACAAGCACCCATCCGTACGTACCGCTCGCTTCAGTAGTATAAGTGTCAGGCCTGCTCCGCCTCTCAACTCTTCTTCCAGAACGGGCAAAAGAAAATATCTCCAAAGCTCGGTCAGGTACAGTCAGTCCTGGCCCTTGAGCATGTCCACCAAGATGCCGGACTTCATCACCATCCATGAGAACTCGCCACAGCGGCGTGCTGTCAACACGCCCAGTGCTAACAGGCCCCCTGTTCCGCCGCCGCCTGCTCCTGGAGGCTATATTCCCTCGGCGGGAGCGCCGCGTATTGTCAACGCTAGTCCCCGGCAACCCAGCGGGCAACAATACCAGATGAGGCCGGCAGCGGCAGGGGCAGCGGCATTACCGCCAGCACACTTACAGTTACACCCACACCAGCCTCAGTATCCCAGCCACCCTAACACTTCGGTCAAAATCTCCGACCTCCGCCAGGAGCGGCCGCCGACACTTGAAGAAGCACGAGAAATGCTCTCCGAGTACTATGTGTATCGCTTCGCAAAGGCCGAGGACGGCGGCGGATACGGCAGCGACGGCGAGCTGCGGAAGCCGTCCTGGAAGAGGGTGACCCAGGTCAGAGTGCCGGGTATCTCCAAGCTGGAGGCGGCACGGACGGTCCGTGAGTTGAATCGGGACACGCTGCCTGTGGCAAAGAAGAGGGCTTCCCTGAGCGATGATGAGCAGCGGCAGATCGAACTCGTCTTGGAGGATCTCCAAAGAGGGGACAACGCTTGGTTTCAAACCACCTTGGTCCAGTTGGATGATCAGCTGAGAGTTGTCAAGGAGAAGGACAGAGATAAGGATAGGGGAAGGGCATATGAAAAGGAGAAGGGCAGGGATCGGCGAAGCTCGAAGCATCGCCAGGAGTACCATATTGTCCTCGGTGGAAGAAAAATGGTTTCTAGACGGCCCGCTTCCAGGGCGAGAGAAACGAAGAGACCGCCTGCCACGGAGCGCGTCACCCTTACCGCCTACTACAAGAGGTCTCCCAGGCCTGAAGTCGATCCCATTCCCCTCTGGCAAAGAGCCCAGCAGAGAGTGATGCAGCCGGTAATGGCTCAGCAGACAGCTCGGCCTATGGACGGTCAGTATCCTCAACCTCAGGCCCCGATCAACCAAAACTTCCCCCGGCAGCCCATGGCTCTCGCAGCAGGAGGTTGTAAAGTAGAGCGGCGTCCAAGCGTGGGAAACCACGCCCGAGCCGATGGCGAGCCTGCCGTGACCATCGTCCAACCCGCTGCTCAGCAGTCGAACGGAGCGGACAGGCGAAACCGGTCGCCGCACAGAAGAGCACCGTCTCCCCATCCTCGCCACCAGGGCCCGCCGAGCACTGCGACAGATTCATCCAGCGTTTCCGACGTTTTCTCCATCCTAGACGACGAGTCTTTCACTTCGCCCTCGACCAACTCGTACGACTCCAGCCCGCATGCATCCTTTGTGCGCCTCTCGCCGAGACGTGCCCACGGCGCCGGGCCGCAAGTTCCAGAGAGACAAGTCCACTACGGCGTCTCGCCCGGCTCCTCCCCGCCACACCACCACCACCACCCGGGCGGCAGCGGCGGCATCGACATCCAGCCGCACCGCACCAACCTGCACCGCCGCCCTGGCACCACCCGCGGTCGCCGGCACTCCATGTCCAGTCACTACCCATCCTACCTGCCAACGCACCAGGCCCCATCACCAACCCAAGCCAGGTACTTCCCGCCCACCGGCCCCGGAAACATGCCCGGAATGGTCGCGACCGCGCCGCAGGCACCCATGCCCCCTTCCCCCACCACGGGGCTCCCGGACCCGGTCACGGCACAGCAGATCGCCGAGAACGCCTACGCCAAGGGCCGCGCCGACACCCGCGAGGAAGCCATCAACCTGGCCGAGCGCATCGCAGGGGTGGCGGCGGCGACAGCGACGGCGGCCGCGGCTGCCACAACCACCAACACCAACACCAACGGTGAGCGTGAGGTGTCGTCACCGCCGCCGCGGCGACCGCAGGTCATCTCGCTGCCGTACCGGGGCCGGGATAGAGATAGAGACAGGGATAGGGTGCGCATCGTCCCTGGCGTGGGCGTGGCGGCCAGAGATCGGTATGCTCATCCTCATTACAAGCACCACCCCCGTCAGGATGTGGAAGTGGATAGCGGGGATCTCGATGTCGGGTATGACGACTATGACTATGAGTATGACCTGGATTTCAGGGCGCACGCCGACGACGATGGCGACGACGAGGAGTTGTTGTTTGAAGAGCGTGGTCCGCACGGGTATGTCCGTGTTCCCCCCGCCGCCGGGCGATGGGACAGGGATAGGGACAGGGGAAGGGAATACCGCGTGGTAGAGGAGAGGCTGCGGAGAGGAGGGGGAGAAGATGAGCGGCGCGTCGCCGCGAGGGAACGGGACGAGTATCTCAGCAGGAGGAGGGATTCCGGGATTGATGTGGGCGGCGCGGCGGCATTTGGGGGCGACTCGAACCCGTTTGTGTCGCGGCCCGGGCTAGGAAGGCGCATGAGTGCCGGGCCCGGGTACAGCTCGGGGTATAAGGGCAGATTGTATGACTGATATGATTAATGAATTACTTGTGATGTTGTGATTTGAATCTCATTCTAATGTCGGTTTCTGGCCGCGAAAATCGGGACGGCTACATTTGTTTTGATATACGTTAACCATTTTGAGGACTATGCGATTGTCTCTGGTCCGAGCAGATTGCATAATTCTTCGGGTACCTTAGGCAATTCATATCGTTGGAACACCGATTCATAGTCTTTCATCCTCACAATGACGGGTTCGAGATTCTGCTTCTGATGTAGCAATACCTGATTCTTTCACAGGGACAGAGTCACAGAGATGGGTTTGCTCACGTTAATTGATATCTCACCTTTCCTTTTCGGGTAGCAATCACATTGAAATAAACAAATATACACAAATACCTCCGTCTGAGCCTTGTTGGAACAAGCAACAAGTTGACGGATTTATACATAGCCTACATGTCTATATTACAGTGCAGTTCAACACAGCGTAGATAGAGCGCGATAGTTCCTCGCTTCCTTTGCCGCGCCGAGCATGCCAGAAGCTCACAAGACGGAACCATCTCTACCTCTCGCCAAACATATTCCGTACGCTCCAATAGTAATCAAACGGCAGCGTCTGGCTGAGCTCCTCTTGAGTCAGCCATTTGAAGTCGGTGAGGCCGTGCTTGTTGCCTGAGAGATCGGCTTGCCCCGCCATGATGCGGCCTTTGAGAAAGAAAACCTTCTCGCCACGCTTCTGTAATGTCGTTCCGTCCTCGGCAAAAACGGGTTTGACGATGTGGTGGGCAACGGGCACGCGACCGACGATCCACGTGTTCATGTTGACGCCCGCTGACTCGGCCAGGACACGGGCGGCGGTCTAGGGGAGGGGTTTACAGTCAGCAAAAAGAAGGGACATGACCCTCAGGCGGTCAGGTAGAGATGAGAAAGCTTACTTCATGTAGAGTCTCTTCCGTGGGCACGTATCCACTCGGAAACTCCCACACCCCGTCTTCCCCATTGGGCAAGCCCTCCACCTTCCTCCTCACCACCAAATACAGCGTCCTATCCAACGCGCGGTCCAGCCTGCGCACGTCGTTCTTCTCGTCGGCCTCGGTGCGCCTGGGCATGGGCCTCTCGACCGGGGTGCGCTCCTCGGGCGGGATCGGCTCGCCGTCCTCGCTGACGCGGACCTCGGCGTCGGCCAGCAGGCGGTCGTAAATGTACTGCTGGCCCGACGTCGTGCTGCCGACCAGCACCTCGTCGTTCCAGCCCTGCCGGCCCTTGGGGTTGTACCGGCCAATGTCCTTGGCCGGCACGCCGTGCCGCTCCCGCAGCTTGATGCGCCAGTCCAGGTCGCCGGCCGTATCCTTGCGGAAGTAGAAGCGCGGCCGGAACGGCGCCGTCAGCCGCTCGTTCAGGCGCTTCTGGTAGAGGTAAAACGCTGACTCGAAGGGCGTCGGCTCGCGCGTGAGGAGTGGCGGGCGCGTCAGGATAAGGCCGGATTTGATGCGGTAACGGGTTGGGTCGGAATTGGCGGTTGTCGGTGGCCTAGTGGTGCTTGTGACCGGGGGGGGAGGCGGTGGTGGTGTTGTTTCGGATGGTTGAATGGAAGGAGTCGCTGTCTCGGTGGCATAGTATCGGCGGGCGCCTAATATGAGCACGGGAGAAGGCTGGGCCGTTGTTCTTCCCGCAGCTGTCCGAGCGCACTGGGAGCAGACCCTTTGCGAGCCTGCGGCAGAGAGCCATGTCAGCCTTTCGCAGTTCTGCAAATCGAGATTCCAGGGCGATAAAATATATAATTACTCACTCCTCAGCAACGCCGACCCTCGACCTGGCGCCGACATCATGGCGTGATGTGACAGCTTCCTAGCACGCCCAACGTGGTCGAGGTTGAGGAAGCGGAGTCGAGTACTGCTTGATAGGGGACCTCGATCGTCAACTTCCGGCGCGCCAGACGCCGTGAACTTTTTTGATGTCGGAAAGCGAGTTCCACTTTTCTTCCAACTCGCTATTTGTTTCACCGCCTTCTGTATCGGGCCTACTCGCCTCCACTTTAGGAGGAGGTGCACGAGCCACCTCAGACTTGCTCCCTATTTTTGCCTGCTGAGACCTGGAAAACTTCGGCTTCCCTCTTCCTTTCTCTTCACGGCGCCCATCCTTATCATCAAGACCTGTTTCGCCTCCAAAACGTCCTGATCATTTAGAGGTGCCCAGAGGGAACATGCAGCTGATTCGCTAGCGGTGCCTGCGCCGAGATGGCAGTTATTTCTACCGGGTTGCTGTTAGATAGATGCTGCTCACATTGCGTCGCGGATTCCCAACCCGCAAATTTTCAACTTCTCGGTTGGCCGATGGTGTTTTCGATATCCCGTACTCTGCACCCAAAGGATCATGAGACTTCCCTGTCTCGCCTGTGTCTCCCGCCGCTTGATTTTCTATCTGCCTTGGGTTGCTGGTGCTCATCTTTTAAATACGGACGCTCAAACCTGAGGTTTCGAGCTCGTTGACTACAGACAAACACACGGGATATGGACGCCTACGAGGCCACCGATATTACTTACATATTTCTTCCTTCGCTTCGCAATTACCCGTAGTCACTTGCGTCTGGCAAATCCTTAGCCGCGCAGTTGTTACGCCAGATCTACCGAGTAGAAGCGCTTTCGCTTTTAGACTCTCTCCATCTACAACCTCATCAGGGGTATAAGATATTTACGCATACATAAATACACCAGATCGAGTCACAAGACCCGAGATACTGTTACCCTTCAGATATTGCTTTGACATCCGACTCTTCGCAATGCAATATTCCCCTTCCATCCGCCTGCCATGTGAAAGCCTTCGCCCGGTATCGTACATAACAGTAGGTATTCTCAACTCACAAACCTGAGGTTGGATGCGCAGCAGTGCCCATAATCAAGAAGCATTGCTACCTGCCTGCGCCTGTCCACATGCATACGGTACTCGCTAAAAGGGAGGATATGTAGAGAGCTGACATAGACTCAAAATCGTTACACGCCGTTCCCGCGCCAGTACTGATGATCAAGCAGCAGTTAGAACCAAATCCAGAAAATACAGACCACTTGGCCGGCCCCATATCGCCCCCACGCCATCCCGTCCCATTCCAGACGAAGTGTCCTCCCAAGGGTATGTAGGTATCCTAACGAGATCCAGAGTCCGATGCCTGCCCCGCCCAGATCAGTCACCAGACCACGTCCTTAACGCCCCATCATGCGGCCAGTGAAACAGCAGGCAAGAAAGCAAGAAACCACCCGGCCATCGCCATCTATAGGTCCCACATTCCCGTCATTTCCATATTCATTCATGATCATCACGGTGCTGTATGCCCTCTATAGGGGAAAACAAAATTCCAGAACTGTACCGGCCGGTGGCGGTCAACGTCTCAGGCCTTCAAAGACGCGACCGCGCGCGCAACCTCCTGCGACGCGATCCTCTCCCAGCCCTGTTTGGTATCTTCATTGACCGTCGTCGGGTCCTTTACCTCTTCATAAAGCTTCCGTGAGATGTCGCGGTTGATGGCTTCATATTGCTCTGCTGTCAGCTGGCTAGATCGCCAGTGCGGGGTCAGGGCGCTCCGCACAATCCTGCTGATGCTCTGCTTCATCTCAAAGGGCAACGGACTCCGTGCGGGAGACGTATGTGGGGATCTTTGCAGTACCGCATGCCTTGTCCGCCGAGGCTGCGGTTGACGAAGCTCCAATGTGTCGTGGTGACGATGCTCCCGCTTACGGCCGCGAGGCTCTGAGTCGCTGTTCTCGGGGGAAGACTGCCCTGCCCTCTGCGGATGGCCGATTGGTGAGGGTGATCTGGCTTGCTTGATCGATGTGGGTGACGATCCTCTCGTCGGCGAGTATGGAATATTTATCCGATGATAAATGGGCTCTATATGTGAGCTCAAAGGCGTAGTTGACGTATGGCTGGGCGATGGCGACCCGACGGGAGATACATGCCGCTCGCTATTAGGAGGATGGACAAAGATGTCTCTAAGGCGCTCTTCGTTCGACGGGGTGCTGCTTTCAACTTCCTTGAGCAGCGATGAAAGAAAGGAGGGGGCCTCCTCCGCTGACCTCGATGGTTGTGCCCTTTGGGGTGAGCATTCTCGGTCTTGTCGATCAGATGGGCCTGGATCCCTGACGGTGGATGATGACTCGCCACTCTGGGTCAGTAGCCGTCTCGTTCGCGGTCGCTTCAGCTTCCGCTCAGGCTCGTGATGTGGCTCTTCATGGGGGTCGGGCGAGCGCGAGCGCGGCCTTCGCTTACGGTCCTCCTCATCTCTCGCCTTCTCAAAAGCGCCCCAGGCTAGCCGCTCCTCGGACTGTTGCGGGGTCTCAGGGTGTTCTACAGTGTGTGCAACCAGACTGGGCATGTTATTTGCAAACACGTCTCGTGCGCCCAAGCGGCTGGCTATGTTCAGTCGCTGTTGCCATCGCTCGTGCTCGAGTCGTTCCCGTTCGCGTAATTGCCGTGACCGGCGCAAGCCCTCAAAAAGGTCCGAGTCTTCTTCATCTTGGTAGTCGAGGTCCAATTCGATTGCATCCCAAACCCGGCCTGTGATCCGGCCCCAGGCTCCATGCCAGTCGTCTGATCGATCCCGTTGCATGGCACGTCGAATGCTGGCCTGGGTGCGTGGAAAGAAGTACCTCGGAACCCCCAAAATGCCGTCCTCACCATCACCGTTCTCAGGCTGGAGAAGGATCTCAGGGCCAAAGGCGTGGACGCATTCCATGCAGAACCAATGGCCGGCCGGAACCCTGTCGAGCCCGATACAGTATGTGTGGTACGCGGAGTCGCAGCCATCGCAAAGTAGTAGGACTTCTTCATGGTCGGCGGAGTTGCACACAGGACAGGGGTTGGAGGGTAGCTCTGGCTCCTGGGGATTCTCATCGGCCAGCGCTCGGGGATCGAATTCGGGCACCTGCTTCTTGTCCTCGACTCGGCGGGTGAACAAGTACTTGCCTGCAAAACCAACCTATGTAAGTAAAACGGAAAATTGCCGGAAGAGTGCAGACAGCGTGGGTGGCGAACTCACCTCCAACTTTTTCGTAAACAGTGACAAGATGGAAGGTTTGACGACAGATGGGACAGCTATTTGCCTTCTCGCTCCATTCTTGCAAACAGCTATCATGCAGTACGTGACCGCAAACGGGTATTGTGGCTACATGGCTGGTGTTGTCGGATGCAGATTCGTTCCTTAGATTTATTCGGGCGAGTGCGTCTGGGTCCTCAATGGCGAGGCGTTCATGCTGAGCTTTGAGCTTCTCGAGCAGCTCCTGCACTGCAGGGCTCGGTGGGGTTGTGTTGGTTTCGACGTCCAGGGGCTCCAGACAGACGATGCACTGGTCGGCCATGACAGATGGCGGACTGAGCCAGAATCTGATTTTCAAGAGAATGCAAGCGCCGAGGAGGCATGAAAACTAAGTCGATGTTTTGATCTGGCTCAGGAGCTGGCCGTAGTGTGAATGTTTCGTGCTGCTCCTGAGGCAAAGAGTTGAGCCGGTATGGATGATGTGTGGTGTAAGTGGGCTGCAGTGGGTTCTTGGGCGGGTAGGCAGGTGAGGTCAGGTAACCTAGGCACTGTAGTGTGGGTTGGGCGTGTGAAGGGAACACTGGAACGCTGGATAGCGGGAGGAGAGTGGGCCGCTGGACACTTCTGGGGAAGAGAGGAAAAAAAGGGAAGAAAGAACGGCAGCCAGAGAGGTTCCTTTTTGCAGACGAGAAGCAACCAATCAAGGCTTCCTAGATAGTCCAGGGTTGCACCGGTCTTAAACAACTTGGAAAGCAATTCCGGGCGGCCAGCTGACTGAGCTCTTCAAGCGGAGTGGGGGGAGGATGTGGCTGGACTGAGCCAAACTGGACAAAAAGGACGCTTGCCGTAAACCTCTAGGTAGTTATGGGAAAAGTGCTGAATGAAATGCGGTGTCAGTTCCCCGTCTCTTCCGCCAGAGAATGGTAAAGAGAATCGACGGAGGCACATTTAAAGTAAGAGCTGACAAGTTTCACGTGCCAAGTCTACTTCCCAGTGACTAAGCTCGTTTCTCGAGAACTGTGAACGAGTCTCAAGGTCTTTCACCTTGCGTTTAAACGGGCAGCTCTTCGCCGTCGTTATTACGAGATCGATTAACGGCCCCATCCACTCAACTGAGGTTGTAATTATCGACGGAAGTCTCCATGGTGGAAATGTGTAGCCCGGAGCCGGGTCCGTGCCTTTAGCATGCCCAACAGCCCCTCCCCTCACTTCGTCTGTTAAGTTAAGGTACCGATATAAGGGAGTCACACCCAGCGGTACATTTCGAGATGGATCTCACTTGCCAGCAGACACCACTGACCATCTGATTCCGTCATCTGCGCTCGTTGGCACGGTTTGCGAACCCTGCTAACATGGCGGCTATGATATTGTGAATTTCTCGGCTCTTCCATTATTGTGACTCCTACCTGATGGCCACTAAAGTTCGAATGAAGCCGTCGCCGGGCGGGGAGGGGTTCTGACGAGGCCGGGGGAAGTCGCTCACCAGCGAGGTTGACTCCTTTGGTGAACAGCTACAAGTAAATGCCCAAGTAGCGTGAAGTCTCATGGGGCAACTGCTGTCATGACGTGGCGGGGCACAGCACACCGTGCTGGGGGCGGGGATTGAGATTTGTCGTCATTGAGCGACTCACCGAAATCACCCTAGACAAACGGTAAGAGACATGTGCCAATAAAGCATGCCTGGGCAATTCGACAATCCGGACATGGTAATTCCTGGATTCTCACTGCGATCCGGAAGCAGTGTCTCGGTGTGCTTTTCGTCCATATCATGTATGCGACATTGTGACACGAAACCGTGGAGTCGTTGCTCAAAGAATTCTCATTGATCGACCCGCCGAACCTAACGGCTGAAAGTGTATTGCAGAGCCTCCGTTGTCCTTTTCCATGACACCAAACCCGAAAGCAAAAACCCCACTTCGTCCCCTCTAAACCTCGGTGATCTCGCGAAGTCGCCGGAGAGTTGACCGCATCGCAGCGGCAGCAGGGGTTCTATATTATTGGTTAGACTCCCCACGGCTTACAGAAACCACCAGGGTTGACTCACGCTACCGTGTAAGCACCACCAGCCATGGTCTTCTTGCACGACCCGCACGACTGTGAAAATGTGCGTTAGTCAAGACAGGCTAGGCGAACATGTCCAGGCACTCGAGAACAGGACCCGAATGTCATTCGACAGGAGGGGTAATTACCCAGATGCCAACAGCCGAGCGCCTGACAGTGTCTGTCAAGGAGTTAGCATATACGCAGGAAACTGCTGTAGACTAGATTCGCTCACTCTTTCCGCAGAATGCTGAGAGAAGCCGATATGTCAGCAAATGTGTCATCGCCATATGGTTGCTTGGGTTGGGAAGTTGTTGCTGCGCGAGACGTACTGCAAGTGTACCTGGCGTGCTGAGAAACTTCCTGCTCTATAGGACTGTTAGTAAACTGCTGGACAAATTCAGGTAGAACTCATACGTACTCTTTACCAGCTTACGGAGGGAGGCACCGTATCTGAGTTTGTAGTTAGCACCAGGTCCAATGCTCGGCAATGCTGTCCGTTCCACACGGCGTTTTCCAACGATAGCGACTCTGGCGGACATGGACCCTGTGGCAGGGCTAAACCGGACCCTCGGACGATGCTGCTAACAAGGCAAATCAAGGCTGTCGGTGAAGCCTCTTCTAGAATCCTAGCGCTTCCTAGTCCACGGATTCCATGGCGTATTTCCCTTCTCCTGCCAGAATTGCCAATCTCATGCAGCACCCTCTAGTTTGGGTATCGTTTAGAGGATCCGGATTCCAGGTCGCAGGGAAAGATATTTTCGACAAGTTTTCGGGGAATTTGTGCGGCATCTCGTCGAGACGTCGGGGGTTGAATTTTCAGGAAATCTTGGGGTTACCAACCTTGTGCCGTACTATTTCAATCGTCAGCTACCCGTCAGAGGCACTCCCGCTGGACAATTATTCAATTTTGATGATTACTTACCTTGCCGGAGATGCCGACCTTCTTCGTGCGCTTGGACATCTTGTCTGCTTATATGGTTGGACGTGATCCCTCAAGAGCGACTCGCTAGATGTTGGCGGGCGACGACGATTTTGAGAAATGTGCACCGTAATTTTCTGGTGTGCGGCATGGCTGTAAACTCGCAGCGGGGATTGGCACAATAGGTTTTCCCGAAGTATTGCCAGAAATGTGGGGCAGGGCATTTTACTGAATGTGGGGCTTAGGGGCTCTGATCTCAAGTTCTCAACGTCTGAACGCCAGCCAGTCTCCTCTGCTGCTCTCATTCCTGAGACTCCTGAGTCCTGACGAGTCCTACTGAGGTACAGGGTAACCTGCACATAGGAATCAAGTCCGTGACGGCCCATTTGATTCTTATACCCAGGTTATTCCTAATACCAGGTTCCCCATATAGCCCTAACCCTCAGCACATAACCCTCGTTCCCCATATAACCCTAACCCTACTCTGCAGTCCCAGTAACAAACACCATCCACCCCATTCCCTCCCCTATTTTCACCAATTTTCAGGGGCATTTCTAGGCTTGGCCCTACCTGGACATAAGAATATGTGTGTGTTACTAAGCAGATCTGTAAGAATGATTCCGTTTTCCAGGTTATTCTTATGTCCTATAATAAAACGCTCGGGAGCTGAATTTTCATTCTTATGCCTAGGTTATTCTTATGGCTCGTATTCTTATCTGCAGGTTACCCTGTACCGACAAGTACTGGAGTAAGTACTGAACAAAGTACTGCAAATCAATTCGAATCATGAATACGGTAAGATTGGTTACACTTCGAGGTGTATACAGTGCCTACAGTAAAATACAGTCATGCCCTCTCGGAGAGTGGATTGCATATAGAGATGGAGACCACTCTTCGACCGCCCAGAAATCAAAATTGTTATCCAGTGTCGACGAAACAGATTCGGAAGCATCGCCGGACAAAATCTCAGTGACGGGACGGGAACGGTCCACCTGCCACCCGCTTCGGCGGTGCTTGCCCGTTCCGGCCAAACTCGATTGCGTGCGTGCAGGTTCATGTCTAGAATACGGGATACTTTGGGGTCATAGCGGTGTCATTGGCACGGAGGCTATGAAGTCAATTCTTCGCTTCAAGGTAGGCGCGTGGTTTTGAAGACGACGGCGATCTCCGCTCTGCAACTTCAACCTCCAGAATTGCGATCTCGCCACCTTGTCCCGGGAAATCGAGCTTTCAAGACGTGTTGAGGTCATTCTACATTGGGCGGGCCTGCATTTTCGTTCTCATTTTTATCTGTACCACCGCATGGTGAATTGAGTGCTTGTACTCGTACGCACCAGAATCCAGATCAATCGGTGCATTAGATACAAGTTGTACAACCGTTGAGGGCAATCCACCATGCCACCTGTGAAACACGACCGCCAATATGATGTTGTCGTCTTTGGGGCAACCGGTGAGGAACGAACCAGTTGTCAGTCTCGCCGTCCACAAAGCTAACGGTGTATCATACCAGGCTACACCGGGAAATATACCGCCCAGTACATCACCACCCACCTGTCAACCGATCTGAGGTGGGCAGTAGCGGGGCGCTCACAAGAGAAGTTAGAGGATGTGGTCGCCGGATGCCAGAAGCTGAACCCGGACCGTCGGCAGCCGGGAATTGAAATCTGCGGTCTGACCGACAGCGACCTCGCCCGCCTCGCCAAGAAAACCTTCATCTTCATCACCACCGTCGGGCCCTACGGCAAGCTAGGCGAGCACGCCTTCAAAGCCTGCGCCGAGAATGGCACGCACTACCTGGATGTGACTGGCGAGGTGCCCTTCGTGGCCAAGATGCTCAAGAAGTACGAGGCCGCCGCCAAAGCCAGTGGTGCCATCATGTTTCCGCAGATCGGTATCGAGTCGGCGCCCCCGGACCTCGTCACCTGGTCGCTGGCCTCTTTCATCCGATCCGAGTTCTCGGCCGATACGCGAGACGTGACTGTCTCGATCCACACTTTGAAGTGAGTCGCTTTCCCTCCCTCCCGTTTTCCAGCCCTCCTGCGAACTAACCAGTAACCCTTCTCTTTTCCTCTCATGAAAAAGATCGGCACCGTCAGGCGGCACATTCACGACCTTCGTCACCTTCCTCGACATGTACACCCTGGCCGACCTGCGCGCCGCCTACAAACCTTATGCGCTGTCCCCGCTTCCGCAACCGACCTCCCCGCAATCCCGCCCCGCAAAACCCTCCCTGCTCACCCGCCTCACGGGGCTGGTGACGGTGCCCGGGCTGGGCCTGCTCACGACCTCGATCGCGTCGTCCACCGACGCGGCCATTGTGCAGCGCACCTGGGGCCTGCTGGCCACGCTGCCATCGCCGCGGCGCGAGCAGGCGTACGGCCCGCACTTCTCCTTCCGCGAGTACATGCGGCCGCGCAACTGGCTGCACGGGATCGGGCTCCACTTCGGTCTGGTGCTGCTGCGGTTGGTCATGGTTTTGCCGTTGTGGTTGAGGCAAGTGGTGCTGCGGAGGTGGGGGCATCCGCCGGGTGAAGGGCCGGATACGGAGAGGGCTAAGATGGATGAGATTGAGTACAGAGGTGTTGGGAGGGCGGATCGACAGGGGGAGGGAGAGGAGAGGGCGTTTTGTAGGGCTTGGTTCAGGGGGAGTACCTATTACCGTGAGCTTTTTCCTTCCTTTGTGATTTTACTACCAGCTTTCTCTACGATTGTTGAGGCTGATTGGTTGGTTGGTTGCTGACTTGTGTTGGATGCAACAGTGACGGGAATCTTCCTTGCCGAGGCTGCTGCTACGCTTCTCCAAGAAGATGTCAAGCTCGATGGCGGCGTGTATACTCCTGCTTGTCTGGGTCAGCCCTTTATTGACCGGCTGGATCGTGCTGGGTTTCATATCGAGACGAAGCGCTTGGACTCTTGAATAGGTAATGCCGCGGGAGATGGAGACCAGGTTGGCGGCACTCCTGCTAAGCTGCATTGAATACTCGCTACAAACCCTATAATCGCTGTTGAATAGAATAAACAGCGCTACGTATCAATAGATACAAACAAAAAACTAAAACTGTAGAGGGTATCATCCAAGCAACTGGCCGTTCTATCCTCTATCGAGCACCGTCTAACTCCCCACGATCGATGGCAACACGGACATAGGAAGTCCCCTGATTTCGTCTCCTCCATCTCGGCCACCACCTTGAACCCCCTCGATCCATACCCACATCTCCCCCACTCCCATCCCCATCCCCGGACCCAATCCCATTCCCATCCCCACCCCCAACCGCAACCACCTTCTTCCCGCCCTCAATCCCATCAAGCCGATACTCGCCCACCAACCCGGCCATGACCAGCACGGGCACGCACGCCGCCAGCGCGACCCACAGCAGGACCGTGATGGTCTCCTGGTAGGAGCGGGCAATGGCCTCGCGCGCGGGGGAGCCCCAGGCGTAGCCGCAGGCGACGACGACGCTGGCGTAGATCTTGTCGGCCTCGGACTTGACGTCGTCGGGGAGGTAGGCGCGCAGCTTGGCGGGGACCAGCCGGCCCCACACGGCGCCCGACAGCGCCGAGCCGACGGCGGCGCCGACCTGACCCGTGGTGAGGAACGAGGCGGTGGCCACGCCGACGTACTGCCGGGCGTGGGCATGGCCGTGGCCGTGGCCGTGGCCATGGGGAGAGTGGGTTGTCGTCTCGACGGTGGCGGCGGCGGCCTGCACGACCAGCTGGGTGGCGACATGCATCAGTCCGGCCCCGGCGCCGAGGGCCGTCTGGGCGGCGAACAGGGAGGGCACCGAGGCGGCGCGCGTGCGCGTGAGGAGCAGCGCCAGGACGGCGACGAGGTAGAGGAAGGCGCCGGTCAGGATGAAGGGCCGCGGGCGGGGGGACTCGAGCCGCCGGATCAAGACCGAGGCGACCAGCGCCGCGATGGTCGAGGCGAAGGAGAAGGTCTGCGTGATGGGCCCCGCGGCCGAGACGGGCAGGTTGAGTGCCACGAGGAGGTATGAGTAGAAATAGGGCTGCACGGCGATGTAGAAGACGGCAAAATAGAAGAATCCCAGGGCACAGCCGGCGCAAAAGGTGCGAGACTTGAGCAGCTGCAGCGGGAGGAGAGGGTGCGGAGCGAGGTGCGGGCGGGATTCCCATACCGGAAAGAGTATGAGGAGGGCGAGGCCGGTGAAGATCATAACCAAGATCTTCGGATCGAGCCAGCCGGAGGGTGAGCGGGAGACAAGGGTCAGGGGTATCAAGATCAGCGCGAGTCCGGCCGAGAGGAGGAATATGCCGGCTACGTCGAGTTCATCAAAGAGCCTTTTCGCTGCTGAGCGCGGGCTTTCGTCGCCTTTGACATGGCGCCTCCAGGTGAGCAGACCCATTCGCTCGGCTTTGCGGCCGTTTAGGAACAAGCTCATGGCCAAGGGTAGGAAGGCGACTGGAAGGATGACAGCCCACATGGCGTAGCCCACGCGCCAGGTCCAGTTGGCCAGGATGGCAGCGGCAATGGCAGGGCCAATCCAGACGGTCACGAGAAAGGGACTGTCGGGCAGGCTAGAGAAGAGGGCGCGGTTGAAGAAGTCGCTGGTGTCGGCGATGAAGACCTGCTGGAGGATTTGGAGGCCTGTCGAGCCGGCAGAGTAGAAGATTTGCGCTGAGGCATACGTCTGGACGTTTTGTGAAAGCGCCATTTGGACATAGCCCAAGATGCAGAGCAGAATCGATATTGAGAAGGCTTCAAGCCGCCCAAACACATCTGCAATCTTGGCCATGGGGGGTTTGATAACGGCTGGCCCAACGCATCAGTTGCCCTGCAATTGAATCCAATTATTTCGATCCGACACGTACCATTGACCACGCCTTGGACGACATAGACGGTAGACAGCAGAGAGTGGTTGTTGAACGAACTGACGGCAAAGGCGGCCAGGGAGTAAGTCACCTGCCCTTCGAGCGAGATGGTGAACGCCATGAGAAATATGCTTCGACAACGGATGACATGTTAGCGTCGCACTCATATGAGAGAATATGGCTTGTCAATTCCAAACAGTCTACGGACCCCATGTACGCGATCACCAATCCCCATTTCGACCAGGTCCGGGCGACGGCCTCAATGCGCCGCACGCCGTCCTGCACATCAGACCCATCCGATTCATCGCCGCTGGTGATTTCCGGCCCGGTCGAGCTGTCATCGGTTACGGCGTCGTATTCACCGCCAGCACCCCTTCTAGAGATGAGTGGCGCCTGGGCGTCGTCATGGCCGCGGCTGCTCATACTCTGCGCGGGCCGTGCTCGGAGACAAAGAGGGAACGGAAAGTCGTTAATGGCGCATACGACGATGCATCTGTGATGGCCTCAAATCGTCGAGGCGGCTTGTTCAAGAATAACTACGTTGCTGAGTCCCTGTGGAAATCATCAACCTACAGTGGGTAGGCGTATTTGGTGAGACGGGAGCAAGTGTGCCTTCGACGAGCGTCACACGGGCTGTTGCTAGTTCAGGGTTCAGTCGGCTGACCCGGGAATGGTGACTGCTGTTTTGGGGGGCTCAGGAAACCCGGAGCCAATGATCAGAAAGATTGATTTCAGTGGGAACTTGCGAAGTAAGATCGGTGGCTAATTTTACCTTACCTGGGGATTATTTGACTCATTGCTCCAGTTGAGCCCCCTTGTTGAATCTTCGGTTCCCCCACGCTACACCAAGCTGAGGTGGCCGTGTGCAACTGTCCGGGTTTCAGATACCGCTCGTGGTACAGTACATGTGTATCGCTGCCTCGCTCTTACACGTGTATGTGCCCGATCTGTTGTACCAAAAGTCGACGACGAGAAGGAAGGAGCTACTCACAGACTCGGCCTGCTCGACCCAAGAAATACGGATACATCGTCAGATGAGAGGAATGAGCCGTGCCCAAGCCGGCAACCCGCATGTCACTACGCAATCAAACATGCAACTCCTTGTCCCGGATGGGTCTACCATTGGCTGTAGATTATCGAAATCATCTGATAATTTTGCTACTGTGCGCCTTTTTAGGAACCCATGGCTGTTGTCGTTTCCGAATTCCTCCCGACCACTTGCTTTTTTTAGGGTTTGGACACCAACACTTGATCAGGCCCGCGCTGTTTCCGGCCTTTGCGGATCACACAACAGTGACAGCGCAGTACCTAGTACCAGGCTCACCAGGCTATCAACCGGAACCTCATTCCTCGCGATGCGCAGCGTCTGAGCGAAAGGATGAATTAGAGATTCCGACTCTTAGCAAGGTTAGCCCAGTCCCGCCCTCTTACCCGGTCTGGAGCGACAAAGGGTTGCGCCATCTCCCCGGCCGATCGGCTATCCCGGGCGGGTCGGCTGCCCGTCAACTTTAGCTTTGGTACAGGGCCTTCAGCGGGCCGTTCCGCAATCTTTCACCCGAACCACCATTAGTGACACAGTCAAGCCTATTCCAAGGGTGATGACAGCAATTTGCATGAGTTCTGTCTGATCTTGAATTATGGAGTTAGACATGGAAGCATGTTTTGCCAGATATGGTGTCTTGGATAAGTGATGCTCTGAAAATTTGGAAGCCGTGGGAAAGCACAGTACAACGGTTGGTCGAAAGTTCTGTTAAGAGCGGTAGTCGAGAGGATCGTTTTTACATACAAAAGTTTGGCTGCACTAACAGGAGCTGCAGCCGTTCGAAGTACCGTGACTGGAAGAAGCAGTACCAACGGATCTGGCCTCGAGTCTCTTGGATACCTCGGTGCTTCCTGCTAGGCTTCGCGATCGAGGATCATGACAATCTCAGTAAGCAATAAGAATTTTCCACATCTTCAGAGCTTGATCCGCCTACTAACGAGACAGCTAGGCACTAGGGCCGACGATGAAGTTGTAGCATTGGCCATGGATAATCTGAAGCCTTGCCATCTCGGTATATCCCATCACTGGTCTCGTGTCAAAACCCACCGACTTCACACTGGTGCTCGGGTCTTCCTCTGCTGGTTCACCCTGCTGTGTAAGGCACACATGATCGAGAAAGCGCAATGCCCAACAACAGCAGCGACGAACATCACGATGCAAGTCAAGTGCTAAGTACCTAAGGTAACCCTGCCCCGTCGGCCTACACAAAGTCGACAAAGTTGAGGGCATAGGCATCAACGGAAGATGGTCAGAACCCGGACCCTCATACAGGTCAGCCAACGAACTCCATCCCCTGATCTGAGTAGAGTGATTAGAATTACCAGGACCTAGAAGAGAATACATGATCCAAACAGACCAACGACTCGATCAGACTCAGCCACGTCTTCCTCTCGCAGTCAGTCACGGATCAAACCTGCCCCTCCTTGACCGCGACCTTCCTCGCCACGATAAACGGACGCGCGTCGCTGCCTTTCGTCGCATGATACTCGGTAGCAACAATCTCAAACCCAGCCGCGGCAATCTTATCCTTGAGCTCTGCGGCAGAAAACACGCTGCAGTAAGGGGCAAGCCCCACGGCGCGCATCAGAGGCAACCCAGCGAACCAGACCAGCGGGTTCATGTCCCTCAGACACGGCGTTTTGGAGATGAACAGACCCCCCGGTCCAAGCATCCTGTTGGCGCAGCCAAGTGTCCCCGGCAGGTCCCGGACCAGATGGAGGTAGTTGAAGGCGAGTACAGCATCAAACCGGTTGTCAGGCTCAGCGGCGAGCTGGTCGGCGGTGGCGACGCGGAACGCCAGGCCCGGCGGCGGCGGCGGGGCTGTCTTGTTGCTCATCATCTCCGCACCTGTGACGGGGTTACTGTCGCCGGTGGCCAGTCTTCGGTTGGCGATCTCAATCATTGCCGGCGCGATGTCGGTCCCCAGATAGCTCCGCACGCAGCCCGCCAGGCGCAGCGCCGTGGCGCCCGTTCCGCCGCCCAGCTCGACCACCCGGCTGTCTGGCCGCAGCAGTTCGCGAGTTCGGTCTAGTGTTCGCTCGTACCCGCCCAGGTCGGAGATGGCTGATTTGGAGTACTTCTCGGCGCCGCTGTCCCAGAAACGGACGTCGCTGTCGGTGTTGGTCATGGTGCTGGATGGAGTGCTATGCGCTTCCTTTGTGGCGGAGTTAGGGATGACTAAGTAGAGATGGGTGAGGACAGATGATGGACAATTGGTGGTGTTGGGATTGGAATCCAGATGCCCAGTACGGATACCAGCCTATTAGTCTGCCTTATACTAATCGAGGGAGTTCTGTGATGTATGTACACTTAGGAATGGTTAGTGGGCTTTATAGCCCTGTGGTTGCTCTCTCCTGCTCAACACATGTCAGGAGAGTTTGGCTCGCGTGCGAAGATGCATTGAGGATTGCGTAGTGGCTCATCTCGAGCTGCTTGAGACACTTGACTCATAGTGCGGTGAAAGCTGCCGGGGAGGAGTGGTTGGAGTTGCCAAGCATCGGCTGCGAGCTGTTCCCTCGCACTGCAGGCCCTGATATGATCAAGGACTTTGACCATGACACCATGTGGTGTTGGAGTTTATACAGTGCATATCAACCTTAGGGGTGGTTGGGCCTCGGTATACACGTCCTAGCGCACATACTAGACCCTTTTTTCAATGGGTTACACCACCTGTGAGCTAGACATCCCCTCGATAAGCTGCCTTGAAAAGACCACGTATATCACTTTCCTGCCATCAACGTTCATGATTCGTTAATGCGTGGCGCTAGAGACACGCAGTCTAGTGACTGATGCGGGAGGAGTTAGCGAGGAGTGAGGCCCAAGTTTTTGCCCAGCCTGAGATCTGTCCTGTTCTTCTCTCAATTGCTGCTGCATCACCAACTGAATCCCTCGGGTCGTCCATGGAAACGGCCAATCGAGGAAAAGCCCAAAGGAGACGGACGGAATGCGCCATGGAGTGAACGCGCAACACGCATCCATCACAATTCAATTTCATGCCACGGTACTTCGTAGTCCCCGCTTCAGCCGCTCGTTCAGCCCCAGCCAAGCTGCCGGTCCCAACCCTCCTGCTCGGTCATATACTCATGTGCCGGACCAACTCGGAGTGTTTTTCTCTTGGGGTTGAAGAGCGGTGCTTGTAATGCACCCGTTCTGGTTCATATGAAGAAAACGCTCCGAATGGTTGTTGTTGGCATGCTGTGATCCATGTTAGTGTTCCGCATCTTCTACAGTTGACTGAGTGACTCCTGGGGGCGTAAGATTCTTTGACTGGCGTTCATGCCACTCTGAGTGTAATGAGCGTAATGAGCTCCATACAACTCACTGCCCTGCCCTCTCCTCGGCCACCAAGTGTCAAATGAAGAACCAGAAGGCAGAAAGGACACAGGTATGCCAGTCATGAAGCGGGCGGCGAGAGATGCGTCTCTGAAACATCAGCAATCACATCACATCAGGTTCTACCCAAATCCAAACCAGGTAGACAGGGGAACGCAGTCAAACTTTGTCTCATCAATTCCAATAGGTTCTTTTACCTCATCAGCATGAGAGCCATGTCATGTATCATGACCGAACTCGAACCAAACTCGACCCCCCAAGTAGGAATTCAATTCAATGCCAGTACAGAATTGTCTTTTTCCCCAGCCTTCCACCTTGCCTCTCCATACAGCCCCGTCACTCCAGCAAAATACCACGTTTGCCATATCCTGACCACATCCCAGCCTTCACCAACGTGATCCCCTCGTTCCTACCCGCAGACCAATCCACCTATGTATCCAGAAGAGGCTCAACAGGCCCTAGAGAGCATATGCAAAAAGATAAATCGAGGCTTGGCAGAGCAAGAATAAGAGAAGTGAACAGAAGAGAAGAAGAGAAAACAAGCAACGCCTAAAGGTGTTAGGCAGGCCATATATGCCGGAAATGAAGAAATAAAAGGGCGCTATACCGGGAGGGAAAGGGGTACCAAGGCAGATATCGAGGGGGAAGAAGAGAAAACAAGGGCAGAATGGTATCTTCCAGCGCCGAGAAGCAGAGGTGCAACCCAACCCAAGCCAGCCTAACTAATACAGAAATCCACCAACACAAGAAAAAAGAAGGGCCTGGATACGTCCTGGGCAGTGGTGAGGGCGGGGACGGCGCAAAGTGTAAGCATCAACAATCATGACGAATGGTGTGGGTGGTGGGAAAAGGGAGGGAGAATAGGTTGTCGCGGCTGGATAGACAGAAATACATCGCCATAAACAGCCCTAGACCGATTTATTGGTTATCAGTCGTTTCCTTCGTCGTCCTTGTCTATAGCATTTCAAAGGGCTGTCTGTATATGAGAAGGGACGAGTTGGCGATGTCAACGGGCGTTGGTAACGCAGGTCGGTATCGTGTCGGGACGGGAATCTGAGGATCACACGGCAGCCGGGCTCCCATCGGGATGTGATCGCTGCGTGCGTATGGTTCGTGAGCAGCTGCGCATGCGCGGCGTAAAAGCCCCCTGCAATGGAAGGCAGCGTACGTAAGAGGAAGGTCCCACACACCGAACTGGACTGGACAGTTCTCAAACCGGAAACGGGACGGAAAGAGGAAATGGCGAAACGGAGAGGACCGGGAGAACGCCTTTACGCCTCCTCCGTAATCCCGCCCTCGCCGCCCCCTTCTTCCCTCCACTCCCGGCTCTTGTCCGTCAGCCGCTTGACGCCGCTTACCCGCCCCGCCCACAGAGCCTCGATGGGCGTGCGGAAAGTGAATGCCCGCTGGGAGCTGATGACGCCAATCGCCTGCAGCACCGCCTTGCGGCTGTCGCGCCCAAACACGGCTGGGTGATTGATCCACTCGAGACTTGACTCGAGTTCGGCGTCGAGCGCCGCTACCGTGTTGGCGTCGATGCCCGCCGTCGTGCTCATGCCGCCGAGACCTAGCCCGTCGTTTGACCTGCTGCGAGGCAGTAGCTGCGCCGAGAAGCCGGCGCTCGGGGGCGGGTTTGCTCCCGTCGGCGACGGCGAGTTCTTACGATCGGGCGTCCCGGCCATAAGGGGCGAGCCGTCAGTCGCCGGGTGAGGGGTCGACGGCTGAGACTTTCCGGACGTTGGGGGAGGTACCGGAGGCAAACCGCCCTTTCCGAGACCCTTTAAGATAGATCTCGTCTCATTTAGGAGGGTATGAGCACGGTCGTGCTGACCTCTGCTGACCAGCGTGAGCGCGCGGGTCAACATGTCCGATGTCAGCAGCTCCATCCGGCGCTGCACAATGTGCGGGTGGGGTGGAATAGGCGGCGCATTGCCCCACGGCTTCTTTGAGTTGGAGACTGCTGGGAGCATGGTGATGGCCAAGAGGCTTGGACGCGTGTATTGTGATGTCCCATCGCGCAGGATGTCGCCCCAGATCAACTCGGCTTGGATCAGGGGCACTTCCTCCACCGAGGCTGTCCGCTGCTCGTCCTGGTCTACGGGGCCTCCCAAAGCCTCCAATCCTGACACAATATTATCCCAAGCATCCTGCGGGAGCTGCTCCTGCGAGGCATTGTCGGGCATAATGACGAGCTGCACCAGAATGTCGCGCTTGTCGCCAAAACGCAGGTCCCCGAGAGACGCTTCTGCGTCTCGGCCAGTTGCGCGTTTCGTGATCTGGAGCGCGCCACTGATCTTATGAAACTTGGCTGGCGACCCTTCAGGCAGCTTGAGCTTGAGCTTGACATTCTGGTGCGACAGTGTTTGCATGGCGCCTAGACATCCGGCTAGACACTCTCGTAGCATCATCCAGTCCTTGACGTACGTGTACGACGCCTTTGTTCTCGTCGACAGCTCGATCATGGTGTCTGGCTTGTGGGTCATGCCCAGGCCGAAGGAGTGAATGGTGATTCTACCAGCTCGTTAGTAATCATCAAACCAGGAAAGGCACCAGAGAGTAGTTAAGCATACTTGGCCGCTTCTGCTCGTGACACCACAAAATCAACGCTGTCGGCATCGACTGTTGACGCATCGCTGATTATCATGATTGTAGCAATGGGGTTGTTGTACTTGCGACCCATGAGCAGGTCCATGGCCACATTGGCGCCTTCAACAACATCAGCCCGGTGGCTCTTCTGGCCCACGGGCTTGATCGAGTTCAGGACGTTACTCCAACCGGGCCATGCCTTTGTTGTCATACCAACAATAGGGACGCCGCCGCCGGAAGAACCAAAGGTAACCAGCCCCATGCGGTCGCGCTCGCCAAGAGCGTGCACCATGAAACGGAGCGCATCACGGACCAAATTAATCTTGACGCCCTGCATGGACGCCGATACAGGAACCACAACCACGACATCGACAGGCACGTGGACGGACGGTGGCAACGGGCTCCTTGCAAAGTTGGTATACTCAGTTGGAGCGGTCGTCGCGGACTTGGCACCACCCCAAGATGAAGCCACCGAGGACACCCTTTGCGGCCGGCCAGACCCAGATGTTCGCTGCCAGTCGTCCTCGTCCGTCTCGGAAAATTCCCCTCGGTCGTAGTCAGGGCTGCGCACGGGTGAGGTCTCGACTGCGTTAAGATCGAGCAGAGCTTGTTGCCACAGCTTGAGCTGGTTGCGGTTTTCGAAGCGGAGATGAAACTGGGGCAGCTCGGCAACCGATAGGCTAAGCGTCAGGATGTTTTCGTCGATATTTCCCGTCTCGGTAACCTCGTTTAGATGCTTCTTGATGAGGATGGACCCTTTAAGAGTGCACCGAGTCGTTTTGCGCGGCACAGAATCATCGTCCCACTGCCCCTGAGCCGGCTGTACGTTCTTCTTCTCCTTGACGCAGATGAGCATCTCAGCGAAGAGGAAGCATTCCAGCTCCTGCCATGACACCTTATCTTTCCCCACCCGGAGCGTGCCATAAAGACGAAGTTTTCCGAATCTAGTAAAGCCATGTCAGCACCCATAATTCCCAAAATCACCAAGCCGGGCTTTTGGGCAGGAAGGACTGTGCGCCTACCGGCTAAAATCCAGGCCGTGCCAGTTGTCAACCCGGTTACGCAGATTTTCGGTCATCTCTGCCAGGACCTCGGGCGATTCGTAAGGGTAAAAGCGGGGCGCGCTGCGGGTGGGAGACGGGGCTCGAGCAAAGGTCTCTTCGGTCCTCGGCGGTGCTGGGGGCGGTATCGCTGTCTGCAGGTCTTCAGGATCCGGTCGCCACTTATTGTCGGGCACCTCAACCGTAACTAGACAGGTGAGTGTCTGTTGCTCCCGCGATTTGCTGATGGTCGGGAACTCGGAGCGGACTGTGACGGTGGGAGCGGGAATGGGATTCCGTGTTACAGCTCGAGGGCTGGCCAGGGATGTCTCCATGGCCTGGACGTCGTAATCGTGTCGGCGCGCTGGTCCGCTCTGTGTTGTCTCGGGATAGCCGCCCGATGATGCTACGCCCGTAGCCTCGCTGTCGCTTCGAGCATGCCTCTGCGGATTATAGCGATGATCTGATGACGGCGGCTCCCGGATATCGCGCCCGCCGCCCCTGACCGCGATGCCGGGGCCCATGGCGCCCGCCCGCGCACCTGAGCCCCGGCTGTGCGGCCGGGCAGGTTGTTCTTCCCAGTGATGAGCTGTTGGAGTCGGTGTCCCTTGTGACCTGGAATCGGTCGACGACGCCGCGCGCACCATGTTGCTGATTTTCTCTAGTCCCCCGTTGTGTTAGCATGGCCTTCGATGCTCGCATTTCGGACGTCCTTACCTATATCCAGCACATTTCCCCCACGACTTGTATCCAGATGTAGCGGCGCATTACATGTCGGACAGTACTGGGACTCGAACTCACGAATGAACTCGTAGAAGCAGGCTTCGTGTGACACATGTGAACAGGAAAACTGCAATATCCTCTCGCCGCGTAACGTGTGCTCCAGCGGCTCTTCGCACACGGCGCACTCGCTCCCAACAAACGTACGCTCCCGGCGCGCCCGGCTCCTGTCTGAATTCATGATGCCCGGTGCCGTAACTGATCTCGAACTACCGTCGCGTAATATGTTTGAGCTGGCCGAGGCCGAGGAGCGATGAGACGGTGCACGGAGAGTCCCCGAGGCAATTGAGAGACCTAGGGGTCGGAGCCGAAGGTCAGTCACCTATTCTTGCGGATTGCGGCGGCGCAATTGCCCGCCAGTGACTACTTTGCCCTGACTGCAACTGTGTGTGTACACGCGGCTCGCAGCAATATGGCACAGTCGAATCAGGGCTTAGTCGCCACCAAGGACGCTGCTCTGGGGGAAACGGGGACCTACTCTTCTCCGGGTATGACGCTGCCCCGTAGGACCTCGCAGAAGCGACGCTGTTAGCGTAATTGTAACTCGGGCGGTCGAAGTCTGTTCCCCAGGTGTTGCCGCCACCAGACCGAGCAGTCGACGAATCGGAGCCGCCAAAGCCTAGCTCGCCCAAGACCGTCCGATGAATGTCGCGCGTCCTTCGGTGCTGATCGTTGGCGAAACCCTGAGTCTTGCTGTGCGATCTATGCGATCTACTGAACATGTGGGGATACTCTGCGCCGAGGGCGGTTTATTTTCGCCTTTCCTACTGCTAAGTGTTCCTTGGTTCACAACTCTGCGCAACCAAGCGCCTCGCTGCGCCTATGGTAGGAACTATGTAATCGTCGGCGGGCAGCCAGGTCGCGTTTGCTATGTCGTTTGGGCGTTCCCGGGGAATCTGCTGCCTTGCCAGTCGGTCTGCAATCGTCAGAGACTATGAAATTCGCCTTCTCTCGTTGTGCCCGTCAACCTGCCCCAGATGAAAGGCGGCGCACAACCCTGGGGCCAACGATGGAGGGGCCGTGTTTCAGGGGCCGTATCAATAATGCGGGAGTAGATCCAAGGGTAGCAAGCGGGGCATGACTGTCCCGGAAGGATGGAAATTGGGCGGAAACTGAATCGGAAGCCGTATGGAAACTTCCAGTGCCGAGAATTTTGTTCCTTCCAGGCAAAAGTTGGGCTGTCTAGATGAGCCTGGATGGGGGTCTACAACCTGTGAGGCCGCGACTGACGTATGACCTATGTATGATGGTGGAAGACCGATTAGGGCCAATCCGTGTCCGAGTCGTCGCGAACTTCAGTCTCGTGCGTATCTTCAAGTGCTGGTTGCTGAGAGCTCTGCAAGGCGGGATCGCAGTTCGTCCGGAGCAGCCTCTTCTTTGGACTTGGCGGTGGTGAAGCTGACTTTGGCGGAAACTGCCGAAGGTGCCAATTGGTCGGGTGCGGGACAACTTAGTAAACTTTAGTGGTGGATGCAACGAAACAGCTTGTCCCGTTCCTGCAATCTTTTTTTGCAGCCGTCGCAGGTCTCCTTCGTTGCCGCAAAACGGCGCTGCTACTTGAGTCTCAAGTGCCTCGCGGGTCGCCGTAGCTCATGGGCGCTCCGATTTGTCCCAGAGAGTGTATGGGAAGGGGGCCGGAGCTGCAAAGGGTCAGAGGGTTGAAAATGGGGCCCACAAGAAGAGATTTCCAGGTTTATTAACATTTAACACGGTGCCGATGCGATCAGAATTTGCAGGCACAACAAGCTCCCTTCCGTCCCGGGCTGCATCACGCAACGGAGGGGAGAGTTGGGAGGGAGGGCCTGAGAAACACAAGCATGCGAACCTGAAGGGGAGGGAGGGAAGATTTGTGGACCATCCAGTTCTTCGGCGCAAGTGGCTGGTTGGCGTCCAAGATGCGAAGCTAGCAAGCCAATAGGGGAAAAGTTAGCAGCCCTGTCCCTGCTCCCTGCTCCCTGCTCCTGTTGCTTTCATAGTGGGGTTGACATGTCCTAGATCAATTCATCGCACGACGTGATAAACTGGGCCTACAAGGCATCGACCTCTTATATTCGTCCAGAATTGCAAGGGGTTCGGCTTTCATCACTTCATGGTTGATGATTTTTTGGGACTGCAATTAATTGATGTTCTTGGTTTTGTTCAGCGTATGGTTCAGGGGCAGCCTGAGCGTGGCTAAGAGCCTAACGTTGGTCAGACATGTATTGAATAATACAGCATATTACGGTATGAAAGCCACCGCACCTAAGGAGTACAAGTACGCACGTATCATACATTGCAGTAATTGGCAAATACGGTACTCTGTACTTCGTACTTCGTAATTATAAACGTCTCCATCAAGTAACGTTAGACATCGAACAGTCCGTTTAGACGACGGTTTGGGCGGGAGAGCATCAAGATGTGGCGCTGCGGCGCTCACGCTATCAATTCACAGAAAGGGCATGTTCACGCCGCTTTTGTGCTTCTGTGCTGCCGTCAATGAAGGGCAAGCCCCGCTAGGATGTTCTCACCAAAAGCTACTGACAACCGATGATTGGCTCTTCCATTGTCCATGTAACTTCAGTTCGGCATGCCGACGACACCTTTGGGAGCTTGGATGCCTGGATGTCCGTGTCTCCACGATGACCAGGAACGGCACATGATGAGAGGTTGCCAAGGAGGTTACTCAAGAATATAACCGATTTGCCAACTCGTCCTACCTTCCAACGACTACACCTACACCTGCCGATGCTAGGAGTCGAGGCGACTATGCAAAGCTCACTTTGAGCTCTCACAAATACATAGCAGTGCTTCCCACAAAGCCCACCGCACTTCCGCTCTCTTAAAAAGACTGAGAACGTCACACCCCCTAGGTTATTTTCCATCTGTAGGGGGGAAAGTTGTGGCTAGTAGCAACATGAGGCGCGGAAACGAATCCTTTGGCGTTTTTAGTCAAGGTCACCGTTACCTTCCGAGCCTTCGTAAGATGGAATATCATACGGGTACGGAGTAGAGGTCCTAGGATTTTCGGTACCTTCGGTAATATATGTACCGTACCTTACAATGTATGTACTGTACTGTACATACAATACACGTGCAGATCGCGCTCATCTCGGTACCTTTTTGGCAGGTACGCTGAACCGGGGCGTTTGCCAGCACGTGGCGGTGGGATTCCAGCGGGTCCTTGCCGCTTCAGCCCCATATCGCCAGGCCGCCATCTTCATCAGTTGCAGAGAAGTCGCAGATTGCTGATGGGGCCCACGCCTCCTCCAGAGAAGGTTTTTGAACCAGATTAGCGCAAGGCACTGCCGAGCTTCCTTACATCCAAAAGGCGCTTTTGCATCCAAGAGGGCTCACCGAAGCATGTCGTTTATTTACTGTGGTCGCTGTTGCTTCAGTTCAGTACTCCCGTCCTTTCGGTGAAGTCATGCTGCCAGTGATGCACTTAGCGATGCAGGACCCGCAACAGATGGGGCCAACCATCTACCATGCTATCCCCACGAGGATTGCGGTCCGCAAACTTGAGTGTCAAGGAGAGATAGCATTGGGAAAGATTGTTAATGTACACTTTCCTCTTCCACAGGCAGCTGCTACAATTCATGACGCGAACTGTCAGGACATCCCGTGCTTGGATGATGCTGCATAAAAAAGGGGTTAGGATAATAGTACATGGAGTTACACCACACAGCCATACGTGCCCAGGTTACGGTACTTACTTTCTCCCTGATTTCGCCCATCCATCGCCCCGGGGTATGGACCAGCGAGCACGTATAGAGAAGCTCCATACCACTGTATGAGTAGACTCTGCAAGTGATTTTCTTCTAGTGTAAGTCGCGAATCCACGCGGGCGCCTCCAGGGACCCGACACGCTGCACCAGTCTGTAATAGGGATAGCGAGAGATGCTGCCACCTCAGGTAGGGTCTCTTGCAGGGCATTGCTGTCTCACTCGCCTCTCTGGGAGCCGAATCGGAATTCATCCATCAGGTATCTTGCACAAGTACATACCGGTACATACACACCAGTGACAAGTCACAGGATGAGCCGAGGGAAAAGGAGAAAGAGGTCAGCGCACCTTGCAGAAGATAGGAGCTGAAGAGGCAATACATACATACAAAAGCACAGCAATGCCAGGATAAGTAGTGTGCTAGATGTGCTAGATGCACATACATACATACAGGCAGCCTTGATTGTGCGTCCAGGACTCTCATCAATGGTTCCTTCGACAAGCTGTAATCATGGATGTCTGGACAAACGCTAGCCTAGATCAACCACCTCAATACTGACTCGCGGTGTTAACGTTAGTCCTCTGCCAAGGCACGATTGACCAACGTTACTCCGTACACTAGTGTCATAGCCATAAAAGCTTCATGTCTCTGTAGACAAAGAGAGCAGGTGCAGATTCTACACTACACTAGGCGTATCTTCGGAAATGAAGCTCTCATTGACTAAGACATGTTTACGGAGGTACCTAGTATAGAACAAACTCTGCAAGGCAGTTGTTGGCAGATCCGAACTAGCCCACTGGAGTCTACAGGAAACTACTGGTTAACCGGCCATAACGTAATGCTTGCTGGTCGTTAGACTTGAATAGACTTGAAAGAAGCAGAGACTGTTTGGCTCTCTTGGTCTAGAAAACTTCCAGGTTGGGACATTGTACTCCATACTGTATGTAAATTACACCACATACACAGTAAAGTACTGTACAGTACAACAATCCGCAGTGGCTGAGTGGAAAGCCCCTCCTAACCTCTAAGTCCTAACGTTACCGGATCTGGTCCGCTCGGAGTTCACACCTGGCTGTGAGCAAAACCCACGCAACTTGGCATTCTCACCTTTGATACATAGTTCTCTCTGCTTCATTTGCTCGTTTCATGTCCAGGGGAGCCTCTCATGCCCACCACTACGCGACTAGGATCTGTGCTGTCTCTGGATGAAGTAGCTTCACTTACACTACCGGTACCTACTGCATCTGCTGCCAGAGACGGCAGAAATCGGCTGTCGATTATAGCTGGGGCATAAAATTTCATTATCAGACCCTTATGGCCATTGCGGCTCAATCGGGACTGGCTTCATCTACGAAACATTCGATTTCCAGGCAGATACGTATTATGGCTTTTCAGTTTCCAAGTCTGTTACCAAGAGCCGAACAGACGTGAGTGATCCAAAAATCGTTATCCCTCGACTTTCTTTGAGTCTCTTTTGATTCCCTGAATCCGCGGGGAAATATGCCAATGGAATCGTAGAGATCCTAGAGCTGCGGTGTAACTGCTTGGCTGCCTGGGGAAGCAGACCGCTTGGGTAAAACCACTCGGATTGCACAAGACATCTCGTCCGTGCGCGACATCTCGAAGCTGAATCTCGAGTCTACGGCAATGGATGGTTTCTCGGCCCGGTAATGTACGGAGTAAGGTATGTAAGTCCCAGATCATCAGACTCCGGTACTGTAGTGTATCCGCCATTACCCCAGAGATCAGCAGTATACAAATTTTGAACGGCGAGTTCTCCACAGCTGCTTCGATTTCTTCGTGTTACCATGTTGAAGATCGCATGAAGGAGGATACCATTGGAGGCTACAACGATGATCTCCCCAAGACCCAACTGGCATAGGTGCATTCAAAGGGTTGCATTTGCCGGCATTGCAGAATCCAAAGGACCCCTCCATGGTTCGGGCGGGCCTCCGATCGACGGTAGTAACCGCTGATGACAGCAGCCGATCATAGTTTCTATCAAGGTAACTACACAACAGTAACGTTACCGGTATGGATATCGAGATCGGACCCGAATCAGACCCTCTCGCATTCAAGAACCGTCCTCAGCCTTTCCAGGTTGAGCTCCGGCTGCATGTGGGTTGGTGCTTTGACACGGAATCCCGTCCGTGTCCCGTCATCACCTACCCAACTACAAGGAATCCCGTTTCCAGTTGCCATACCTATGAGAGAGAGAAACAGCATCCAGGCTGTATACCCAGACTCGCCTTGGGCTGCCCGGCATACCTACCAATGCAGGTTAGCGAATGCGCAGCTTTGGTTGATCCATCTTGGACTCTAGGCCGGAATGGGTTACTCTGAGCTGCTCTCGCGCATGTGAGTTGTGTCCGTGTGTTGCGCATGACATGGGATGTGCCCGCGGGGCAGACATCGTCCTAGATGGTTTAGGGCTAGGTTTGCGATACCTAGACGTCGATCCTCTTTCTCCCAGCTACAGGTATGTTCGTGTAGGATGGGGTGTTTGTTTGGGGATCTTGAGCACCATGAGGCTCTCGGCACCTGTCTGTCCGTACCCACGGCAGATCCACCTCAGCGAGGCCTGCCAGACGGAACCATCATCACGATCAGCACAGACAGGCGATCACAAGAGACATGGGCGAACTGACGAAGCAACCTCATGCCGCTCAATGCCGAAGCGTATGCGGACACGTAGCTCACCGGCAACTCTGTGAGCGGTCATGTCGGTAACTGCTGTTTATCTCAAGTTACTGCATGTCAAGTGAACGTCCCCACAACCTCCGGCGCTAGAGAACACCCTAAGAGAGAGAACTCCTGATAGGAGAATCAGAGAGGGAGGGTAGAGAAATCGTTTGATCTGTTGGTTAACGGTCTATATCGCTTAAACTGGCATTGACAACGGCTATCCGGGCCAAGGAGGCCATCTTGTTGTGATCAGCCCTGTTCGTGGAAGCAGAAAGGGGAAAAAGCGAGGGCATCTCAACCACAAGGCTTCAAAGCACGGTTTCCATCAGTCCAAGTACATTAAATTTTTCTATAGACATCGTTGCTCTAGACTTGGGGTGCTGCATCTTCTCGCGCCCTGAGCTGCAACATGCCCTTTTCGTGCGCCATCACACGAGCGGCAGACTTATACCAGATGTGCTCGTCCTCAGTCCTCATCCCAGTTCTGCCAGCATGCAGTTAGCGCCATATTCGCTGTCATAATCACCAAGATCGTTCGGCACTCACCGGGTTAGGCCCTGGGGGCTTCGGCCCGCCAGCTTGCCGAGCAACAATAATCTGGTCAACAGAGAGAACCGTCCGGGCAGCCTCGGTGGCAAGCTTGATAGCCCACTGCTTGGACACCAGCAAGTCCAGGATGCCATGTTCCTCGGCGTCCAAGGTGCCCGAGTGGTCTTGGTTCTAAGCAGAGAGTTAGTAAGAATCTATATCATAGACCAAGAAGACGCACCTCGATATCGACACCCGTGGACCAGCCGTCTTCCTTCTGATGGGCGGCATACAGCCGACTGAGAACCTCAGTAGCATCCAAACCGGCACTTTCGGCCAGGGTCCTCGGCACCACCTCAAATGCTTCACCGTACTTCTTGATGGAATACTGCGCTAGCCCTTGCGTCTTGTCTCCCACAGCCTGTATCCTCTCAACGAGCTCAATCTCTGTAGCGCCCGCGCCAGGCACAAGACGGGCGTCCTTGGTAATGGCCTTGACGACGTTGACGCCGTCGTCAACGGCACGCTCAATATCATCAAGGTGATTCTGGGTGGCGCCGCGGAGGACCAACGTTGCTGTCCTTGTCGCCTCGTCCTCCTGTCTGAAGACGGTCACCCGGTCGCCGCCAATCTCTTGCGTCTCAACCACGTCAATGCTGCCCATCTCGTCAGGCATGGGAGCCCCCAGCCGGGCAAGCGGGGTTGCGCCGACGACTCTGCAGACCCTTCTCAGCTCAAACTTGCTGAGTATCTTGATGACCAGGATACCGTAACGGTTGAGGTAGTGCATGGCCAGCTCGCCCACTGTAGAGCCCGCCACGATGACGCGCAGGCCGACGTCGTGAAGCTCCTTGATAATCGCTTCAAGTTGGTTCTCTTCGCCCTTTGTAAAGTCCAACATCTCCTTTGCGTTGTGTAATAGCACGGTACCTTTGGTCTCAGTCTGGCTGATGTCCACTGGACACGTAAAAACGCCGACTTTGGCCTTCTTGGCCTTTTTGACCGATCCATCAGGCTCCTTGGGGAACACCATTCCCTTGACAACACGGCTCTGTTCTAAGCTCCCACCCATAATCTTGACAACGCGAACGTTGTCGACGTTAAAGTTGGCCGGGTTCTTGGGGAGCACCGAGAGCACTGCCTCAGCGACGAGGTTGGCTAAAAAGTCCTCGTTACCGTTCTGCTTGCTAGCGATGACGGTTCGAATGGCCTTGCTCAGCTCCTCCTGCGACCGCAAATCCTCCACCTTGTCGATTTCGAGCTCCTCGAGGGTGTCAAGGGCAATCTTTTGCGCTCGCTCATAGCCGGTCACAATGTCGGACGTCTTCAGGCCCATGCGTAATAGGTCCTCGGCCTTCTTGAGCAGCTCACCGGCCAGAACGATGACAAGGTTGGTGGCATCGCCCATCTCGGCCTCTTGCTGTTGACTGGCCATGACGAGCAGCTTGGCGGCGGGGTGCACCACGTCGAGCTCGCGCAAGATGGTGGCGGCGTCCGAAGTAAGTATCATCTTCTGCAGGTGGTTGATGACGATCTTGTTGCGGCCGTACGGGCCAAGCGACGTCTGGACCGTCGACGAGATGGCACGGCAGGCGTCCATGTTGCGGAGAACAGCTCCATCTTCGGAGTCGTAGCTGTGGACCAACGAAGGAGTCGAGCCGGTCAGAACACCGCGGATTGTGACGTGAACAGCAATGATGGTGGGGTAGGGGGACTTCAAGAGCAACTTACTTATTGTATCCCTGTTTGAACAAGCCGGCATTCGGCGCGTTGGGAATGTTCAAAGACATGATCGCGGCCTTCAAGAGTTCTACTAGTGTTCAAGGTTTGCTGGTATCGAAGCTGTGGCCGTCTCGCGAGTCAAGCTGCAACTTGAGCTTCCCGCAGTTTCCCCTGTGGAATGCCCTGTAAAAAAGTTGGCGGGACAAATCAAAGTCAACAAAACGGCAGGCTTGGCTACGGAGGACGAAAGCTACAGCTGCCCCTGAAATATCTGTCTCTGAGGTGGGGTGGATTTTCTCTATACATTTAACCTTATCTTATCTCTTATCTATTTAGCGAAGTATCAATGTTTTTGTATCCTGCCACTGCCATCCCAAGTTAGTATATAATTGTAGAATCATTTGTTCCCTTTGTGTAGGATCAGTCTCTATTGAGAAACATGCTTTTATGTCTCGATAGCCTTCTTGAGATTCTCGTTGAGAATTGTCTTCCAAGGTTGTTACAGCAGAGCCGAGCTAGATTCCTGAGACACTTGTGGCTTTGGTCCTCCGTACACTGACCACCTTGCCCCACATTGACAGACATCAAGAAAGACCCACACGGATCCCCTAGCAGGATGAAGTGGGTCGGGTCGTATGGAGTAGATCTCAGCCTTGTCGCACATCCTCTTAAGCCTGCACCTTCTTGACTTCAACTGACAGCTCGAAAACGCAACTGTTGATTCGAGCTCGTTTCTCGCTTGCCCTGCCATCAAAGCTTCTGCTCCAAAAATATTTTTATCCATTAATCAAACCCAGAGTCTGACTTCCAAAACATAACGGTACCGTATCTACTCAGCAGTCACGAAGCTACACCCATCAAGTTCTCAACCATTGTCGACATGGCACCAGGTATGGTGAAGCGCTTTCCCCATCAGGGCAGAATTGGATCCGACCATCATGACTATCGTGACATGTGGCGCGTGCCAATTGTGCATGCGATGGTGGATTTTCTCAAGCATAACCAACAAGTTACATTATGAAATATATGACCGACGCTGACCTGTCATTCCCACCAGCCACGGCCATTCCTCCGCCCCTTCCCCCCTCAGTGGAGGAAGCATACCGCCGAAAGTGTATACAGCTCAAACAACGAACGAACGAAGTTGAAGAAGCGAACGATGCCGCCAGGCTGCGCCTCGGACGCTTGAAGCGCCAGGTGGAAAAGATGCGGCTTGAGAGGGCCTTTCTCCTCGAGCAGCTCGCCAAGCGAACAAGCACTAATGTAGAGGATTCTGACGGCAGCCCCAGCCCGCCGCCGACAGTAAGTGCCGCCCAGCTGGACGACTATGCCGCCCTCGCAACGCCGACAAGGGCTAACGCCACTCCGCCGCCACAGCCCAAGGAGAAGCCGCTGCGGATCAAGCGCGGCCACCGCAAGCCGTCGGCCCTCACGGGGCTCGACGCGTCCTCCTCGGTCCCCGCCCTCCCGGGCTTTGTAGCGCAGACCCACTCACCCAGTTCGGACGCCTTCTCTGCCGCGCAGCAGCCCGACGCCGGCAAGACCAACGGCGTGCACAACAAGGCGCCCAAGCAGCCCCGGAGCGCGTTTGATCTGTACTGCGACGACAACCGGTCGTCGGCCAAGGAAAAGGCCAAGGAGGGTGGCGACGCGGCCGACGTGGATGAGGAGCTTTCGCGGGGCTGGAAGGAGCTCTCGGACGGCCGGCGCGACGAGTACCAGGCCCGTGCCGACCAGCAATCGGCCGAGTACGAGAAGGAGAAGGCGGCTTTTGACGCAGCAAAGAGGAATAACGGAGCCAGCGCCGGCAACAAGGCGGACAGCAACGGTAACGGCAGCGGCGAGGCGACAGAGTCGGAACCGCCGCGCCCGGGAGCGGGAGGGGAGGACCAGACCCCGGGTCAGCAGGACGATGTCGACATGACCAACTACGACACGGACCAGGAGACGCAGGGTGAGCGGTTAGAGGAGTAGCACTTCTTGGCCCTTGGTTTCTGGTGATGGGTCCTCGTTATGGTTTCGTTCTTGGGGCATTGGAAGCTGAATCAACTCGGGCGGTTCTGCAAGGGAGATTTTGATATGGGCGTTTTATGATGGTTTATATTTCAGCGGTCCATTGTAAGGTGAGGGCTGTTGTCATGTTTGCTGTATGTATAATCTAGGCTTGTCTCGGATCGGAAGCGGTGATGGGATTCGGAGTTGGCGTGGGCAAAATGGACTTCACTTTTCCTAGCAGGATTCTGCTGGGTGGCAGAATCAGCATTGGTCCACTCGGTCCTAGTCTACTGGTGCCATCACTTCTGCGTCACCTCAGAGGGAGCTTGAGAGCATGATGAATGGTGACCGGATCCCAACCTAGTGAGTTCGCTGTGAGGTTCTCCTCTTTATTAACCAGTGACGATAATGTACAACTAAAAGTATAACGAAGTCGTCCGGCCTTGTCTCCTTTCCCATGCTGTGCCCGCACCTGGCAGGTAATGTTGGTAGATACCTCACCCAATTCGCAGAGCCATGGCTCCTAATCTAAAGATGTCTCTGGTAACGCCGAACGCAGAGCAAGTGATACTCCAAATGATGCGAGACTGCCGACCACGCCCCCCATGCAGAACGCCGGGTATGACACCTTGGGAGGTTCAGAATGGCGACCCTCAGCTCAATCGACGCCGACATACAAGTCGACGATGATATTCACCATGGCCACCACAATCTCTGCTGCAATAAGGATAATTACTGTTAGGGCAAGACAGTCAGCAGCCGTGTTTGAAAACTTATCAAAATCGAGCAGGAGGAAGGGGGGTTGCAGGGTGGGGGGGGGAGGTAGATAAAATGAATTCCGCTCACCAATCCACTCCAATTTCTCCCCATGGCCGTGGCTCAGCTGGTCCTTGAGCACCGCAAGCAAATCAGCAATAACGTCGAGCCGTTCCGTCAGCAGGCCGACGCGCTGGTCCATCTCGAGGTAGCTCCGCACGGCCTGGTAGACGGGCTCGAGCTGCGGCTCGACCCAGAACAGCTCGGGCGTGTCGAGCACGGAGCCGTTGAGGTGGATGCTGATGCGGAGGATGAAGAGCTCGCCGATCTGCATGTTGATCTGCGACCTCGACAGCGCAATCTTGCCCGTCAGCGCCAGCTGCGCGGGTATGTCCTTGCACGTGTCGATGGTGGATGCTATGAGCTCTTCAAAGAGGGAAGTCTAGAGGACAGAAAAGGGGCGTTAGGGAGTTCCAAAATAGAGATGATGGGCAAGCCCGGGAAGGCAAAGCGAACCTTGACGCTCTGGGCTAGGGCGTGCGAAATGGCCAGCTTGACCATGTAATTATTCTTGTCGCGGAGCGTGATGAAGTCATTGTATATCCTCGCCTGGTACTCGCGCGTGTAGTAAAAGTTGAACTTCTCCGTCTCGACGTCGTCGGGCGCGAGCTTCTCCACCTCGAACTTGGCAATCTCTTTCAGGAAACGCTGCTCTTGTGCCGCTGACATGCCCCATATCACGACCACGCCGTAGTCGAAGAGGAAAACCTCGGGCGTATGTACCAGAATGTCAAAGTCACCCATCCCGCCGTGTGACGATGAGTCCCCTTGTGCGCTGAGCCGCTCAGCGAGGGCATCATCGGCGCTTTGTTGCCGCTCGAGCGTGGCGTTCCCTGGTATAACATGACTTGCATCATCAGACTGAATATCAATTAGGTCCTCCCCGCGTCTTAGCTGGTCATCGAGATCATCCGGAACGCTCCCCGTTGAGTGCCGTCTTTCCGGGTGCGATTGAACCTCCATGCGCCTCTCCTGCCGCGAATTGCCCATGTGCTTGGAGCTGTAGCTGTACGGCGTGTAGATGCACTCGTCGATCAACTTGGGGTTCGCCCCTCTCCCTTTCCCCCTCCCCTTCAGGAAGCGAAGTAGGCCGTCCATCTGGTATCGGTTGGCGGTGCAGTAGGCCGTGACGCGCGGTAACCTGTCGCGGTCAGCCTTGCCGAGGCGGGCGGCGTCACGGCGAGCGGTCGGGTCCTTGATGCGAGTGTATTGCGAGTAGACATCCCGGCCGCTCTCTTCATCGACGTCGTCGGCAGCGTCTAGCTCCGGGTTCGGCAGGAGTTTGAGCTTCTGGGCGTTCTTGGTGCTGCGCTGAGGGCCAATCTTGGGCAAGCCCGCGGCAGCAGCGGTGAGAGGAAGGGTGGTGCCAGGGGCGGCAACCGTCGAGTTTGCGGCTGGCGCGCCGCCATGGCTATTCCGTCGGCGTAGTTTGTTGTTCAGGGCGGACAGCATGGGAGGTCCGCCGCCCAAGCCGCCGGTACTGATGGCCGAGGGACTCAAAGGGGCGGTGGACTGGCTCGGCCGTGAGTGCCGGTAGACGGCCTCAGGCTCTATCGTCTTTGTCACCGGGTTAGGATTGAACGTGACATTCCTCGGGGGTCTCAGCGGACGGGCTGATTCCGGGGAAGGGGACGCCGGCGTTGGAATGAGGGGCGTGCTCTCGGTGATGGTATTGCTCGCCATCCCTGGCTTCCCAGTTGCCATGCGAAGGATACTTTGGCAGCCACTATTCGCTTTCGTCGGCTGGGTTTGCTAATGTTGGAGCAAAAGGTTTTACCGGAAGCGTGTTGGCCCAATTGGTCTTGTATAGGGCATTTGGTTTTGTCTATTGTATGGCGTTCGGATGGTTGATGACGTCGAAGCACTGAGGTGTGTAATATATTGTATCGTGCATGTGAAAGTTTCAGTACGCCGCTGCGCGGTTCCAAAATCAGCTGTCGTTGAATATCTTACCGTAATCACCCCTGGACACCGTGAAGGTAGCGAGAGAAATAGCGGGAATGGCCGCGATGCCGCTGCTTGTTTAGCGAGCCTGTCCACTGTTTGCTTGCACTCATCAAGGTACAATACAATACAGTACATATAATACTGTATGCTACGCAGCACTGCAGGGCTGAGAGAACCTTATCACCCTCGCTCCCAGCACGACGGTCATACATCTTCCCTCCCTAGTGCAGTTACACAGCATCTGCAAACCATCAATCAACTTGCATAGCACATAACGTTGCTGCCATAATCCTGTTCTTCTTTCATCTGGTCATCCATCCACGACATGAATTCATTTTGCTAACGTTACCCTAGGTAAATCGATATCTTAATTTCCTTCCATCCACCCCGACACTCTCCAAATACGCTCCAGAGGAGTATATAGTATGCCGCATGCAGCCGTTCATCTCGGGCTATATGGACGACTAACGTTACGCCATGTCTTGATTCTACCAGTAGTCCTGAAGTGTTCTTGGTTGTCGGTTCCGATGATGAAAGCGCAGCCTCTACGCTTACCCCTTTTTTCTACCATCCCCCCACCCACTTCTATTCCTCCTCACTAACCTCGTCATCCGATTCCTCCACCGGGCTGGGAAGAGCCCCTTCTGCAATCCCGCACCCTTTCCCCTTCCTCCTCGCTCCTTCTCCGTTCCCATCTCCATCTTCGTCGTCGCCTTCATCGCCGCTACCTGCGCAGTCACCAGCGACCACCATGTCTCCAATATCAACAGGCCCAGTCAGCTTGCTTTCCACAACCTGCACCACAAGCCTTAGAAACTCCCAATGGTACCTGTTCCCAAACGGCGGGTCCCACTCAAGTTCCACCGCCACTGTACAGCCGCTCTCGCCGGCCGTTGCTTCTTTAAATGCTTCAGTATAGCCCTCCTTGACGGTGTATTCATAGTAGTGGTTGTCCTCGATCCTGCTGTTCTTGGGCCTTGCCAGCTCCAGAAACGTGGCCAGCGCGGCCTGGTTGGCTTGGGGAAGGGTCGTGTACGTGCCGTGAAGTTTGACTGCCGAGTCAAACTGGTCCAGGGGGGTGTTGTGGGCAGGGGCGGTGGCTGTCTCCGTGCTGAGAACGCTGGATTCGCGCCGAGCTTGCTGTTGCCGGTCCGTTTCTTCTTCCCCGTCTTGCTCATGCTCTTTGTGTCCGCCTTCCGCGTCCTCACTTTCATCCGACTCGTTCTCCGCCTCCGCTTCTGTATTTTCATCCTTACCCCCTTCTTCTTCCCCTTCTTCCCCTTCTTCTTCCCCTTCTTCCCCTTCTTCTTCCCCTTCTTCCCCTTCTTCTTCCCCTTCTTCCCCTTCTTCTTCCCCTTCCCCGTCCCCTTCAAATACCACCACCCTTCTTCTTCTTCTCCCCTCCCCCCCATCAACCCCCACTTACTGTACACAACCTTCGACCAAACATCCCACCTCCACCGCCTATATATCCCAACCTTACCCACATCAACCCTCACCCCCTTTTTCTTATTCTTACCGTTACCATCCAAGCGCACCACGCTCTCCAAATCAATGACCTCCTCCTCAACCCAAAAGAACTGCACCTCCCCGCCCTCAAATCCCACCTCGCCTTCGTACAGCAACCCCCCTGTCCCTTCTTCCTTTGATGAAGATAACGGAGAGGAGACCATGGCCCAGCTCTTCCTGACAGCGCCCTTCTGAATGCGCTCCCGCCGTGCCGCCGCCTGCGCGTTGGCCTGCTGCAGCGAGAGGTGGGATGAGCAGCGGACGGCCGGTTGTTTCGTCTGGCCCCGGATGGCCTGGGCCCGATTGGTGATGGTGCTGCTACTGCTGCTGGCGGCTGTGGTTTGTGGGCCCGGAACGAAGCGCTTGGTGCGGTACACCACCCATTGGAAGACGGTGCGGTCTTCGCCGAGGGCTTCGATGGCTGAGACGCTGGCTGGCGGCTTGGCCTCCTGGAATCCAGGTTTAGGTTGCGGTTGGGGTTTGGGGAGGGTTGAGGGGTGCGGTCTGACGGGTGGGAGGTGTGCTCGGGGTTTGGGTTTGGGTTGGGAGAGAGGGGTCGGGCTAGGATACTGCTTGCGAGAGGGAACTGGGGCCGGTGGAGCTGGGGGAGGGACGGAGGGCTTCTTGGGAGCCTGGCGCGTGGTATTACGAGAAGGTTGGAATATGTTCCGAGATTTTGGAAGGTTGACTTGGTGAGTGCCTGGCGGTGGTGCGGGCGCTGGAACTGCAGGGAGTTTCGGTTGTTGATGGCTTATGTCGCCTAGGTGATAGCCATTGGACTCCCGCTGTTTGCTACCACTGGGGATATTTGGTACGATCTGTGTCGTCTTTTGTTCTGAGAGCTTGGAGGCGATCTTCCGAAACAGCGCCTCGTCAGTCTCCAAAGCAGAAGTGGTTAGATAACCAACGATAGTCGGCTGCTGTAAGGTGGCTTGCTTGGCCTGTTTGGCCTTTATTTTCTCAAGCGTGGCCCTCGCCTTGTCGCCTGCGGTGACGGGACGATACTTGATAGCGTCAATAATATCTTTGTCGTAAGTACTCGCTGTGGTACTGCTAGGGGGGTTGACTGGCGGGCTAGTTTGGCTCTGTAAGTGTATCGCCTGTCCACCCAGTTTGGGTTGAGGCTCCTCAAGCCTTTGTTTTTTCTCTATACGGTGAGAGGCTGTAATGGCTGGAATGCCTGGAAACGGTCCCCGATTTATGACAACGGGTGGTGATCTCTTGCCTGGGTTGCTGATATCCTTGGAGTTCTCGAGTGCGAGACGAGCAGGTGGTTGTGTTCGCGCCTCTGCCCGGGGGCGCAAAGCAGGCAGAGTGTCTGGAGTTCTGGATGCTGCCCGAGTGTTTCCCTTATAGTCGTAGTTTGAAAGAAATATGCTGCCTAGGGGACGCCGCTGCGGCGTACCACTGCTAGCCATCCGCAACGCTTCATCAGCCAAGGCTTTCCCAAGAGGAGCAGAGCTCTGCCCAAATTGGTAATTTCACGGGCCGTATACCCTTTCTACACTTGCGGATGGCCTCCAACAGGTCATATTGCTCGTCATCTGTGTCGTCCTCTTCGGGTTGGCCACCCCCCTGAAACACCGGGATTGGACGTGACTCGACTGTGGTGTAGAGAGCTGGTAAGTAACTGGCTCATTCTTGTAGGTTGGATCGACGAACCGGTGGCTACCAAGTCTCGACCTGGGCTATCGGGCTCGGTCAATGTGCTTTCTGCCAAGTTCAAGGCGTCAAATTCTGGTGCTGAACCTTGGGGCGTCGGGCGAACCGCGGTGGCTGTATCTGCCCGTGACGTGAGTTCAGCGGATCTCTGAGTGGTGAATTCCATAGACGGTATGTCCGAAATGAGACTCCCAAAAGACCAGTCTTGAGCAAGACTAGAATCACTCATAGACGGTATGTCCGGAATGACACCCCCGGAAAACCAGTCTGGAGCAAAAGTAGAACCACTCATCATCACACAGGATCCTTGCAGCAATTGATCATGGGATGAAGGATGTTGGTATGACGGCGGAAGGAAAGTCCAACGGAGGTATGAATTGGTAAAGTAGACGTAGAGAGCATAGATGGCGCTGATGTCTGAAAGTAAACTGATGCTGAAGGTAGATCTAGCAGCTCTTGAGCTGCCAACCGTAGAGTGATAAGCAGAGGGTTTGTAGTTTGCGATGTATATGGAAGAGGCAAGAGAAGAAAAGGGATGGATAGGAATCACTGCAAGAGCGAACAGCGTAAAGAGTTGCAATCGCGAGTAATTCGGTGAAATGGCCTATGGAAGCGAGGTTAAACACTGATCTCCACGTTGAGAGTTAGGGGTTTGGTGGTTGGAGGTAACGTTCTTGCGTCCGTTGCAATGGGCGGCACCAAGATGTGAGCTTGTAACCGGGGCGGTTCTTGTATGGCTAGGAGAAGAAGTATTCCTCTTCACCAAACATCAGTAGAGTAAGTGTGATTAATTCAAGCGTAGTGATAGAGTCCAACTTGATTCTTCACAAGCAGCAACTCAGCATTCTACTGTCACTCCGGGTCGTCGGCGTACTTGGCTTCGCTCTCCTTGGCCTCATTCTCTTTGGCTTCGCTCTCCAGCTTTTTCAGCCTGTCCTTGCCCTCCTCGGTGGTAGCGTCAATGATTTCTTCCTCCAGACTCAAGATACCGGCCTGGTGAACCATTAGCCTCGATCACAGAATTGTTCATCAAAAAGGGCACCCTTACCTCTCCCAGCTTCCCAACCAGCTCCTCGGCCTCGGCCACGTCCATCTCCCCAAGTACCTTGTTCACCTCGTCCAAGCTCCCAGTCTCCAATGCTTTCTTCATTTCCGGCGAGAAGGTCTCAAAGATCTCCCTACCCGCCTTCTCGACGGGGTCGTCGCTGTTTTCGGGAGGGATCTTGATGTTGATTACAGTTCCTGGCTCGACAGCATGCAGCTGAATCTGTTCTACTCCTCCGGCCTTGCCCTCGGCCTCATCCTTTGCCCTCTGCAGAGTAATTTCCCTAGCGCGGTTCTTAATCTTCGCGTACCACTCCTGCACATCCTTGAAGAAGACCTCCTGTGCCTGGTGGCCGGGGGTAGTGATGCGCTTGAAGAAGAGGGCAACGCCGTCGCGGCCCAGGGAGCGGCAGTACTGCAGAAGCAGTGCTTGGTGTACGCAGTTGCGAGCGTAGTCGGCCCGGCCCTCCAACTGAGCGTCGAATGCGAGGACCAGGAGGCCGTCGGTCTCCTTTTCAGACAGAATCTCCGGGTGTTTGGTCAGGAAGGCATGGGATTCTCGGTAATCGGCCGCCTTGATCTTGGCAAATTCCTGGGCTGCCGGGGAGGCGCTAACTGCATCGTCATCTTTGCCGGCCTTGTCATCTTTGGGTGTAGACTCGGAAGCTGCGTTATAGTTGGGGTTGAGCAGCTCAACGGTAGACTCCTTGGCCCCCGAACTAGACGGTTTCGACTTGTTGATATGGGAGCTGTCAAAACCAGTGTGGATGCTCTCGCTGGTGATCTTGCGTGACTCTTCCCGTTCGAGCTCAGCGAGCTTTTTCAGTAGCTCCCCCTGAAGATCCGTGACTTTCTTGAGGTGGTCCTCAATCTCGGCCACCATTCCGTCGTACCTCTTGTCTTGCTCAATCTTCTTCTCGTCAAGGGCCTTGTTCACCTGGTCCAGGAGTGTCGCCATCATCTTGGTGTAAGTCGGCAGGGGTTCTTCGGCGTTGTGGACACCGGCTGGCCGCGGGGGAGGCTGGTCGTCCTTGGGATCGAGCGACGCAGCCGACTCCATGACCGCCTGGAAGGCCACCTCGCCCGGATTCCTTGTTTGCGCCTCCGAGGCATGTGATTTGAGAGCGGCGAGCAGACCCGAGATGCGCTTGATTAGGTTGTCGTTGACAATGCGCTCGTATTTTAATGTTTCGATCTGGTTCTTTCGCTGCTGCCGTTCGAGATGGATCTGGTGCTGCTTGGCGCGGATGAAGGAGCGCTTGTCGACATTTGGGTGCACCTCGATGTCCGAGTCGTCGCTGAGCTCGAGCGCGTCCTGCGGATGGGTTCAGTTATACTATGCCCAAGGTATAGGGAGCTCTATAGAGGGGCAAGCATACCCACTTGCTGTAGTCGACAGGCATTGTATCTTGTCTCTGCACTACACACCTCTATGTTCAAAGTGTCTGGCGGCTAATGTTGAGTATGAGTAGGTTAGTAGCCTATGTAGGTAGATGTTGGACAATGTTTCCTTTATCAAGTCTCATGAGAACCAACTCATGGTGGGGTAGTTGAGGGATGTAGCTTCTAGAAGCTCAGGTGGGGCACGTCAAATGAGGAAGTGTCAAAACTGCCTAATTCGGAAGTCATGCAATGCAAGTGTCAACTGTACACTAAAAGTTCAAACCATATCTCAGCGTCTCTCCAACCTCTGATCCCAACTCTTATTGTATAGGCCGTATTCCACCTCTCCCTCGTCTCCCTTCCTGAGACCAAGACCACCTACACCACACTCCCGGGGCCCCTTTTCCTTGAGGCCATGCGGCCCTTCTCTCAGCCGACTGAACACTCGCAAGGCATTGTTCCGGCCAATGTCTACCAGATCCCGGTTACTGATCGGTACATGCTCGTCATACCACACACACCCGTTTGGGATGCTCTCGAAGGGGTAGTCAATCGAGAACATGATGGACTCGGCTCCAATCTCCTGCATGGCGCAGAGCAGCGCTGGCGTCGAAAAGTGTCCAGACGTGGTGATGAATAGCTGCGTGCCAAAGTAGTCTCTGACAAGCTTGTCCTTTGCCATGGGCATGTTTGGGAACCGTGCCCGGTTGAGCTTGTGGTCGATGCGGTAGAGATCATAAGGGCTGCCAGTGTTTGTCAGAGCTGCCCTTCTCTACAAAAGGGAGAAATAAAAGGAACTCACATATGCTCCCCCATGTGGCCAATAACAATCTTCAGCTTCGGAAACCGGTCCAACACGCCAGAGGTCACAATGCCCAGCATATGCATCCCGACCCTGTGCGCGTACCCGAGCGCCGAGTACGCCAACCACGGCCGGTCCTTCCACATGAGGTCAAACACCTCTGGCGTTGCCTCCCTCGGATGGATGTACACGGGCAAATCCAACTCCTCTGCTGCCCTCCAAAACTCATCGTACTCGGTTCCTACATCATAAAACCTCATCCCAATCTTCCCCTTCCCACCACCATCCCCATCCTTCGAGCTCACAAGCACACTCTGATAATCATTAACAATAACACCCACAAACCTCCCCTTATTACCACCCCCGACCACACACCGTCTGACCTCAGCGGCCGCCTGCGCCGGGTTATGCATACTAACACTAACCATCCCTGCAAACCTTGCCGGGTTCTTAGCGACCTCATCAGCCAGACAATCATTGGCGGCAGCCGCGAGGGCCTCGGCTTGTCCCGGGTCCGCTACGCCCTGCGGCCCCGGGGAAGACAGCGAGAGCACCATGCGGTCGACGCCGTTTGCATCCATCTGCTGCAGCCGTGTGCCATGCACGTCGAGCAGGCTGGCGACCAGGTCCGGGCCGATGACCCCCTTGGGCGCGAGCGACGTGACCAGTCCGGACGAGGCCAGCGCCTCGGGCGTAGACCAGGCCTCTTCGAGGGCTATTTTGCCGAGCATGTTTCTCTTTGTCGTTCTCCTCTTTCCTCTTTTCTTGGTATGGTGAGATGGATGGATTAATTGGTGTTTGTAAAGGTTGGATTTGGATTGCGTTGCTTGAAAGGGGGGTTGTTTCAGAAAGCTGAGCAATTTGGATTATAGGTGAGTAGCCAAACTGACTCTTACAAAGTCTCGGTATGTATTGTCTCAGGACTTAGCATGGTATATCAAGTATACATGCGTTGTGCGGGACCGTCGACAAGTGTAAAAGGGGATAACGGGAGCCGCTCTCCCCGCAGTTGCACCTCAACTGCCGATTCGGCCCCATGTTGGGGTTTGCAACAAGAACCGGCATCAAATTGCACCTGGCTAACCTGGTTCATGGCAAACTGCGATGAAAGCATCTCACCCGGCTTACGTCCGTCAAGGCGAGGAGACTATTTAAGCTAGCATCAAGCCTGTTAGACCATAGGTGAGCGATGCATGTACGCAAAGAGTTGGCCCAAGCTACACGTGGACTTGTTAGGAGTGGAAGTATTATGCGCAGCTTCATCACAGACGCACCCAGCATATATCGTAAGCTCGCCCTTGGATATCTCATCATTAACGCCATTATCACAGCCACCGACCAACACCAACAGCCCGTGTGTACAAGGAATCGCAGGGACCCAAAGACACCAGTCCGGAGTCATGACCCGGCTGCTGCCTCATTTCTTCTGCCCCTCGACGAAATTCAGCGCCTCCTCGGTTGGAACGCAGTCAATCGTGCTCGTCTTGTTGTGGAAGGTCACGCCATAACACTTGTCAGCGACATGGACAATCTCCGGCCGGAACGTGGTACAGATGAACTGCGTCTTCTGCTCTTTGGAAATGCTACTGAGCAGGCTCGCCACGGCCGTCCGGTACTGCGCGTCCAGATTGGCGTCGACCTCGTCAAAAATGACAAAGGGGCTCGATTCGGCAGCCTGGAGGGCAAAGATGAGGCAGAGGGCGCACAAACCTATCAAGGTAAATTGTTAGACAAGGTGCAACTTGGTGCTCGAAACTGGGGAAATGGGTGAGCTTACTCTTTTGACCACCGCTGAGCTGCTGAATCTTCTGCTGCTCGTCCATAACCTTGGAGTTGAACGATACGCTGATGCCGACACCAGTATAGCTCTCTACGCCCGTTGTTGGTTCTTCATCAGATTCGTCGTTATTGCGGTTCTTGCTGCGGTCGGCTCTGCGCTGGATAACAAGGCGCCCGTGCCCGGCGGGTACAAGCTTCTCAAAAATGGTCGCAAATTCCTTCGAGACCTGCTTGAATGTTCGTTCAATAGCCTCATCCTTCTCTTGGTCCAGATGCTCGATCAGCGCCTCAATGGAAGCTTGCGAAGTATCAAGCTCCTTCCGCCGCTTCAACAGCTGGTCGCGCTGGGTCGTGAAGCTGTTGTACTGATCAAACGCCTTCTTGTTGATATGCTTGTACTTCTTGAGGGCCTCATTGACCTTCCGCAGTCTAGACTCAATCTGGTGCTGTTAGCAACCCTAACCAAGCCATTCGCAATCGAATCTGCTCACCTGCTCAGACTTCATCTTCTCGTACTTCCCGAAGGCTTCCTCGGGGAGGATTCCGAGGTCTCTGATGTTCTTGGCGTATTCGGCAGCCTGGCTGATGAGCCGAGCCCTCGTCTGGATATTCTTCTCCATCCTCTTCTGGTGCTGGCTGATCTGCTTCTGCAACTCTTGCAGTTCCTGTTCCTTCTGCACTCTCTGGGCCTCGAGCTTGGCAAGCTCACCTCCGACCTTTTCTGTCTTCTCCTCGTTTTCCTGCAGTTGCTGTTCCACTTCGGCCATGAGCCGCTGTGCCTTCTTGAGCTCTCTCTGGGCGTCCTTGAAGCTCTCGCTACCCGCGGCGGTCGAATTCTCAAATGCCAGGCTCCGCAGCTGGTCCTCCTGTGGCCGAAGGTGGCTGTTCAACTCGGTCTCCAGATGCCGCTTGCGACCTTCCAGCTCTAACCGCTTTTTACTGACTTCCTTCAGCTCCCGTTGTAAGCGATGGACCTCCCCATCGAGCTCTTCCAGCTGGCGTTCTTCACTCGCTGACAGCGCCTTCTTGAACTCCTGGGAAAGCTCCGCTTGCGCGGTCGAGATCGCGTCATCCAGGTCTTGAAGGTTCTTCTCCACCTGAGCTTGCCGCTCCCGGGCTGATTCTAGATGGGTTCGCTCGCGCTCCAGTTGTGCAATTTTGCTCCGGAGCTCCGTCTTGAGCGGTTCGAAGCCCATGTCAAACTGACGCATCTGCTGCTCGAGTTTGTGCTCCTCGCCACTGGCGCTGGTGACCTTTTGGTCGGTGATATCGATTTCCTTTCGGATCTTGTCGAGATCTGCCAGCTGCTGCTCGTACGAATCTCGCAACGCGCTGACTTTTTGCACTGCGTCTAGCCGCGATCTCCGGGCATCGACATAGCCTCCAGTCATGGCACCCCTCTTGTTCGTTGTATCACCTTCGGGGGTAATAGCATCTAGACCGTGAGTTCGAGCATACTGGGAAGCTATTGTGAGGTTCGGGCAGACGATAGTGCGGCCGAACACCTGTTGAAAAGCCTTGTCGTACTCTGGGTCGTATTCGATCTTGCTGATCAGGGGCTGCGCGTCTGACGCCCTCGGCATCTTGACATGCCTCGGCCGTAATTGTTCTAGAGGCATGAAGGTGAGCCGCCCACCGTAGGTCTTGTAAAGATGGTCAGAGAGCATCGTTGCAGTCTGGTCGTTGTCAACGACGTAGTGAAAGAGGCTGTTCCCCGCCACCTGCTCGACAGGCAACTTGTATGCCTCCATCGGTACACGCATCAGCTCCGCGAGAGTTCCATAGGCTCCGGGAATGTCCTTATCCCGCTTAAGCCGCCTGATAGACGCGAGGCCTTTGGCTGTGGCTGAATCCATGGATTGAGCGAGGACAGACTCCGCTTGGTCCCTCTCCGCTCTCGTATTGGCGAGCAGCGAGCCGAGCTTGTCCTCCTCGCGCCGGAGCCGCTTACGCTCTTCCAGCAGCTGCTCCCGGGCTTCCTGAGCCTTGGTCAGCTTTTCAGCGAGCGTAACCCGGTTACCGCCGTAGCCTTCAATGCTTTGGCGGATGTCCTGGATCGCCTTTTCCAGCTGGGCGATGGAGGTCTCAACCGACTTCACTTGCTCCTTGGCATCCATAGCGTTGGCCTTTTGCACTCCCAGAGAAGTTGTCGCATCGTCAATTTCCTGTCTGAGGAATGCATCACGCTCCGCCTTTGTCCTGAACTGGGTGCTCCGGGTCTGCTTGGTCAGCAGACGGCTTCGCCCCGCGACGGCCAGATCTCGTTGTTTTCTGATCTCGGCTTCTTCGCGCTTCCATTTCTCATACTCGGGCATGATCTTGGCAAGTTCTGACTCGGCAGCCTGTATCCTCTCTTTGACTTCCCTTTGTTCAGCCTCCTGCTTCTTCTGCGATTGCTCTCTTGCGTGCCGCGTCTCTTCGAGGTTTTTTGTTTTGAGTTCTGCCTTCGCCCGGGATCGAGCCACGTCTTTCCGGTCCTCGTCCAGCTGGCGCCGCTCCATGGAGAGCAGTTCGAGGCTCTGTTTTAGCTCGTGGGACTTCTGATCCAGAACGGCAAGCTCCTTTTCGGTCTTCTGGAGCTGCATACGGTCCTTGGTCGAAGCGCCGGCCCCGCCTTGTCTTGCTTCCTCCAGTTGCTCCAAAGCCTCTGCGTTGCTTGCCTGCAGCCGGTGCCAGTGCGCGTATTCGAGACATCTGCGCTCCCTGTCTTTTTCCTGAAAATCGCGAAGCTCGTCCTTCTCTTCCTCCAACTCGCTCAGGCGCTCTTTGATGTACGCCAGGGTCTCGTCAATCTTGTCGCGTTTGCTGTTCGTCTCGGCCATGATTTTGAGTGACTGGATCCGACGATCATCGTAGGTATTGGTTCCTGCAATCTCCTTCAGGAGATTAAGTCTCTCAGACTCTTTCATGTTAGTAATGGCAGCGACGCGCCCTTGGGGCACAATGTAGAAAGGGTTCTCCTTTGCAAAACCGGCTGTTTCGAGGATTTTGAGAACATCGGCACGAGTCTGGACCTTCCTATCGACTGAATATTCGTCTTTCTTGAGGCCAATGGTGCGGCGTATCACGACCTCGTCGCCCGGTTCGCTGAAACGCTTGTCGGTGTTGTCAAAGATAATCTCGACGTACGCAGACATGACTGCAGACCCCGAACCCTCATGCAGGAGCGCTTGCCGCTCCTCGCGGCTCATGTTGGTGTAGGCATCGCTCAGCACAAACCGGATAGCGGCGAAGAAGTTACTCTTTCCCGATCCATTGCGCCCAACGATGACATTGGTGCCGGGGGAGAAGGGCTCGATTACGGTCTGCTCCTTGTAGCTGTTGAGAGGTCAATATGCAAGATCATGAGGATTGGCAATGCGACGACATCAGACGCATCGAGAGAGTCATAGCGCACCTTTTGAAGCCCTGAATAATGATTTGTTTGATGTGCATCTTGCCTGCTCCGCTGCCGACGCGACAGCCGAGTCAAACCCGACAGAACTTATAGAAGGAATAGCGCAGGAGGTTCTATTCCCTTTGAGCGTTGCGTATTGGAAGATGGTAATATCCTTGTCTTCGCCGTTGCAATTGCAGGCGTCACCATGATCCAGAATTCTGTGTAAGGGAAGGAGTCGCGGGCCGGCGTGGTTCTTGGTTGATGATGGTGGGGAAGCGGCGCTTTCCTCACGCGTCTTGTCGCGCCTCACGTTTTCACTTCTCTCAGGTTGAAGCTCGGGCCTCTCCACTAGATACCCAGGTACGTACCTTATCTGCACGTGATCTTGTTCCCATCTGACAGATCTGGCCAGTCGCGATTCATGATTCCCATGGCGTGCCTCCCCTTGCATGCGATATTCCGGAAATGGGGAACACCGGGCCCTAACACACAGTCTGCGTGTTCCATGGCCTGGATCTGAGTTTATGCATCCGTCTACCATATGCTTCAGCTGCCTTGAAGGTTCCAGTGGTCAAGACTCTCCTCTAGGATTATCGAGGTTGCCATGTGACGGGACAAACCGTTGTGGCCTTGTGCGACTGATGGTAATCTGAAATGGAGCTTAAGACACCCATTTCGATGCCTTGCGGCCAGATGCTGTGGATGCCAAGGCTGTTGTCTTTGTGCCGCCGTCTGTCCTAAACAGCATCCTCGCTTGGTAACTGAGCCTCTCCAAGATGACGTGTTTGTTTGCAGTCAAGAGCGGCCTCAGGTCTCGCGAGGCCCAGGTCTGGGACAGATTTTGAGATTTTACATGCCCATGGCAGATCTGTGTTCTTATGGCAGATAAGGTGTGGCACTCTGCATATGAGATCTTTGCATTTCAGCGATGGAGATCAGTAGCTACCCTAGGTCCGTTGTGGGCATAGGTATTGAACACGTGTAAGGGGTTCTGCCCGTCCTTGACATTCCCGGCATAATGTCTTCTAGAAGTACGTTTTGCACATCGCGGCCGCAAGCCCTGTCTATGCTGCGCAACACGATGATAGCTACAATGAAAGATGCGATGCCCTGTGTGCCTACATGGCACAGTGGTCGAAAGCGCGTTCGCACGACGATGCGGCCCAAGGCTTCCCAACCTGAACTCCTGGAGCCTCACTTTCGGAGGGGCGAACAGCGTTAGGCGCGTCCTTAGCAGAAGAGGAGAGAAAGAAACGTTGCTCTCCTACTTGATTTTCGATGGACTAGCGGATATAAATGTACCAGCAACGTTATGTTGGTTGTGAATGGACGCAATTTGCGTTGTCTTTTGTTCATCGACAGGTGTTGAAGTTTTTGACGGGTGCAATGGTTGATTGAGCTGGGGGAAGGGGCACGGGACTTGGCTTGGGGCGCATGGACCAGGGTCCAAGAATGGCGCTAAAATTCCGCAAGGGCCGGGGACGATCTTTGGGAACGGCTCGCTGTCTATAAATTTAAACCAATGTTTCTTTATAGACAGGCGCCTGCCCACCCGTCCTTCCCACTGCACACTTGCTGTCTCGGCTCGCCCTGTGCGCACCTACGCGCACACACATACGACAGTCCGCCTAGTCAAATCTACCTATCAACCCCGCCTCGCTCACTGGCCACATTTTGTGGCAGGCAGACGCGTTTGACTTAGGTGAAGCAACCCTGGCCATCCGTTCGGCCTCGCTTCACCTTGCATCGGTCTGGCCCACCGTCCTCTTCCATCGTCGTTATCGCATAACGACAAGTAGGTACATCTTCCATCGCAAATGAATTTCAAAACATCATTACCTTTCCCTTGCGCATTGAGGCGCGATTCGCAATAACGTCTAGCTGATGTGAAAGCTGACTTTTCAATTAGGATACAAACGACCAAGCAATTCAACCCTCTTGAAATAAACCCACTTCACAGCTGGCCCGCAAGGTACAGGTACGTTGTTACTACACCTAAATCTTCCACCACCCCCGTCTCCCAGCCGCCAGCCAGCTGGTCGACGGCAATCTAAGATGATCACCTCCCTGCGCTTGCAGTTTCCCTGACACTCTGACAACACTCAATGTTGCGTCGCAACTGTGAGATCTGTCTGTCAATGGTAGCGTCATGGGTCATGGATCGCGCTGCTAGTGTAGATATCGGCACCATTCGGGGATTTCCCCCACTCCAACGATTGAGCGGTCTAGCAGGGGTTTGAAAGAACAGAAATGCTAACCTTGACGCAGTGCCATGGTATTGGCTGCGTAATAGTTAGATCGAACTCGTTGACATGAAGCAAGCATGGCATCTCGGTAAGTTGAATGCGGATCAAAGTCTCCAATTTTGAGGTCGGTTTCGCTAACCAGATGATGATAGGCTTGATCGGCTTGTTACGTGAGTTAACCCCTGCGGCTGCGTCCGCCTGTATCAAAGGCTGGCGCATTTATGCTGCCCCACTCCCCTTTGTTCTGCGACTAACGCCCTGCAACAGGATTCTCGAAACGGGTAGCACCCGATTGATACGAGATACAGCTGTCAATCAGCTTGCTGACTGGCAGAAAGCGCACCCTGAGGAGCTTTTCAATCTCTTGTCCAGGGTCGTTCCATATCTCCGTCATAAAGACTGGGAAACCAGGAGCACTGCTGCCAAGGCGATAGGGAAAATCATCGAGAACGCGCCGCAGTATGATCCTAATTCAGAAGAAGGACCCAATGAGCCAGACCCTGCCGAGAATGGGAATGGCTTTGTCAAGAAAGAGGAGGAAAGGGACTCGGTCTTCGACCATGGGGAAACCTTGCACCTCGAAACCCTTGACATCGCCTCTATCCTCAGGTATGGGCGCCAGCTTCTTCGCGGCGGCACCGTGGACTATGCCCTCGCCGCTCTAGAGCCGCAGAAGCGTCTAGCCCATCTGAAAAAAACGATAAATGGCAGGCTTGGGCTGCTCGGTCGGGTTTTTGAGGATGAAGAGATACCCATCCTTTGTGAGCAAGCCTTCAGCCCTGGAACACCTCAGGACTCGGCTGGCGCAAATGGTTTCGGCAGGCAAGACAGCATGGCCAACGACAGCCAGAGCCAGAATCTGGATGAAAGTAAGCTCAGCACGCGGCAACTGAACGTGCTGAAACGGAAGCGAAAGCGGGAGGCTCAAAAGGCCGCACAAGGAAAAAGCGGATTTGGAGATCTCTCGATTCGCCGGTCTACAACAGCGGGCTCCGAAGCCTTCGCCGATGACACTCCTATGCCAGATGCCGATTCCAAGAAGAATGGCAAAATGGCAGATTACTTCAGTCTCGATAGGCCTGTTGATGTTGATGAAGACACCAAGGTCGTTTCAGAATTCAAAGGACCCATCATTCCTATTAAGTCTGAGCTCGAGGTGGACGACAGCATGGAGGGCAGCGAATGGCCGTACGAGCGGCTTTGCGAATTCCTCAAGGTCGACTTGTTCGACCCCCAGTGGGAGACGCGTCACGGCGCGGCCATGGGCCTGCGGGAGGTCGTGCGAGTCCAGGGCGCTGGCGCCGGAAGGCGGAAAAACAAATCTCGCAAAGAGAACAACGACCTTAATCGGCAATGGCTGGACGACCTAGCGTGCCGCCTCTGCTGCGTGCTCATGCTTGACAAGTTCACCGACTACAGCTCCGACACGTCTGTAGCCCCCATCAGGGAGACTGTTGGCCAGACGCTCGGGTCTGTCCTCCGCCACGTTCCCCCGCAGTCCGTTCACGCCATCTATCGACTGCTCTACCGCATGGTGATGCAGGAGGATCTGCAGCTGGAGCAGCACATGTGGGCCATTTGCCATGGAGGCATGGTGGGCCTGAGGTATGTCGTCGCCGTGCGAAAAGACCTCTTACTCCAAGACGGGGACATGATTGACGGCGTCATCCGCTCCGTCATGAAAGGCCTTGGCGACATGGACGATGATGTCCGCTCTGTTAGTGCGGCCACGTTGATTCCCATGGCCAAGGAGTTCGTAATGATGCGCCGTGATGCTCTTGACGGCCTCATCAACATCGTCTGGGAAAGTCTCTCTAACCTAGGCGATGACCTGAGCGCCTCAACCGGCAAGATCATGGACTTGCTTGCCACACTCTGCAGCTTCCCTGAAGTCCTGGAAGCCATGAAAGTCTCTGCATCTCAAGATGAGGAGAGATCTTTTACTCTCCTTGTTCCTCGCCTCTATCCTTTCCTACGGCACACCATCACTTCAGTACGGCTTGCTGTATTGAAGGCCTTGATGACATTCGCGGATCTTGGGGGTGAGACCTCGCAAGGGTGGCTGAATGGGAGAATCCTGCGCCTGGTTTTCCAGAATATCCTAGTCGAGAGGGACCAAGACACGCTGGCCATGTCCATACAGCTATGGACGGCACTTGTGCGCAACCTAGCTCGGACGCCTGCAGTCCTTGCTGACGAGTTTGAGCCGCATGTGGATGCGCTCATGCAGCTAACGCTCCATCCCATCGGTGTCCCCCGCCATCCGATTCCCATGAACGCCGCCCTTTTCCAGAAACCCTCTGGCGGAACATACTCCATTCCTGGCAATGCACCGGTTGGCAGCAGACGTGCATCGCCGCCCGAGGGAGCAGAGAGAGCTATGAAGCGTCGTAGAAAGTCGACAAAGGTGGACGATATTCCAACCACCACCCAGACTCACGACGTTGACGGCCACATGATTCAAGGCGATGTTGACCTGGTAGGCATGGATGTGCTGGTGCGATCGCGTGTCTCGGCAGCCAAGGCTATGGGTCTTATCATGTCCTTGCTACCGCCGTCCAACCTGAGCTCGTATGACAGCGGCATTCTACAAGGTCTCACCTCCCCGTTTGCCTCGACGCAGCTTACCGCTGCCATGATTATCGACGAGTACGCGAAGAATTGCCCGGCAAGTGGTATGGCCGCCCGTTTCATCGAGCCCTTGCAGCGGATTATCGACCAAGACCGCCCGTCGCATTATAGAGATTTGGTGAGCTATGTACAGCGAGTGCGTTCGCAGTCGCAGCAGCTCGTCAACCTCTTCCGTGATCACGGCAAGGTTGCTTTCAACAAACTTCCCACTCTTGCTGTCGTTGTCCAAGGCGAACCAGAAGCAGGGCCTGGGGCATTCTCCGTCGCAAATGCTGAAAAGGTTGTGGGCGATGATTTTGAGAGGCTCAAGAAGGCCATGGCACCAGGTCAAAGACTGATCGCTCTCCCGCAACTCAACGAGGCCCGGGAGGCTACTGTCGCGGTGATTGAGGAAGCGAAGTCGGCCAAGGAGACCCGCGACGCGCGTATCCGAGCCGCAGCCGCCTGCGCCTTGGTCGCAATGGAAGTCCTCCCTAAGAAGCCGAGTCCTCTCATCAAGGCCATCATGGACAGCATCAAGACGGAAGAGAATCAAGAGTTGCAGAGCCGTTCGGCTAACACAATCGCGCGGCTTGTGCAACTCTTCACTAATTCTGGCCGCCAGGTCCCGGCCGACAAAGTCGTTGCGAACTTGGTCAAGTTCTCGTGCGTCGAAGTGGCGGAAACTCCCGAGTTTCCGAACCATGCCCTCAAAACCAATGTCATTCTCTCGATGCAGAAGGAAGAAGACCGAGTTGATCATGCGGACGCTGCCAAATTTGCTCGAGAGGCTAGAGCCGCCCGCATCACCCGTCGTGGCGCCCAAGAAGCGCTGGAAATTCTGTCCCGGACTTTTGGTGCGGATCTTTTGAATCAGGTTCCGAGTCTGCAGGCATTCATGGAAGAGCCACTGGTGAAGGCTTTCTCCGGCGACCTTCCGTCAGAGGCCAGGGATCCGGCGAATACCTTTGGCCAGGAAATTGTCGATGCCATGTCTGTGATTCGAACCATGACCCCGACGCTGCACACGGCGCTTCACGGCTTTGTCATGCGGCAAGTGCCGTTGATTATCAAGGCCTTACACTCCGATCTGTCTGTGTTTCGCTACATGGCTGCTAAATGCATGGCGACGATATGCAGCATTATTACGGTCGACGGCATGACTGCCTTGGTCAAGGAGGTTTTGCCACAAATCAGCAATCCGCTCGACCTCAACTTCCGCCAGGGTGCCATCGAGGTCATATATCACCTCATCGCCGTTATGGGCGACCGCATTCTTCCATACGTCATTTTCCTCATCGTTCCGGTGCTAGGCAGAATGAGTGATTCGGACAACGAGATTAGACTGATTGCGACGACTTCTTTCGCTACCTTGGTCAAGCTAGTCCCACTCGAAGCCGGTATTCCGGATCCCCCAGGACTTTCACAAGAGCTCTTGCAAGGCCGCGACAGGGAGAGAGCATTCATCGCGCAGCTCCTAGATCCCAAGAAGGTTGAACCTTTCCAGATTCCGGTCGCCATCAAGGCAGAACTCCGCTCGTATCAGCAAGAGGGCGTCAACTGGCTCAACTTCCTCAACAAATACCATCTGCACGGCATTCTCTGTGACGATATGGGGCTTGGAAAGACTCTGCAAACGATTTGCATTGTTGCAAGCGATCATCACCGGCGTGCAGAGGCCTTTGCGAAGACAGGTGCGCCGGATGTCAGAAGACTTCCGTCCCTGATCGTTTGCCCCCCAACCCTTTCCGGGCATTGGCAGCAGGAAATCAAGACGTACGCCCCCTTCCTGAGCGTCACAGCGTACGTCGGCCCGCCTGCGGACCGCAAGGCCATGAGAGATGCGCTGGACAAGACCGATATCGTGATCACTTCGTACGACGTCTGCAGAAATGACATTGATGTCGTTGAGAAGTATAACTGGAACTACGTGGTGCTGGACGAAGGTCACTTGATCAAGAATCCCAAGGCAAAGATAACGATGGCCGTCAAGCGGCTCATCAGCAACCACCGGCTCATATTGACGGGCACTCCAATCCAAAATAATGTGCTCGAGCTGTGGTCTCTATTCGATTTCCTGATGCCTGGATTCTTGGGCGCGGAGAAGGTGTTCCTTGACCGGTTCGCGAAGCCGATCGCAAACAGCAGGTACAGCAAAGCCTCGTCGAAGGAGCAAGAAGCTGGCGCGCTGGCCATCGAAGCGCTGCACAAGCAAGTGTTACCCTTCTTGCTGCGGCGACTAAAGGAGGAAGTGCTTGACGATCTACCGCCAAAGATCCTACAAAATTACTATTGCGATCTGAGTGATCTGCAGCGGAAACTCTTTGAGGATTTCACTAAGAGAGAAGCCAAGAAGATAACGGAGGAGGCTGGGAAGGACGATAAGGAAGCCAAGCAGCACATCTTCCAGGCGCTACAATACATGCGCAAGCTCTGCAACTCACCTGCTCTCGTCATGAAGCCGGGGCACCGGGCATATGAGGACACGCAACGATTCCTGGCCAAACAGAACACGAGTCTCGAGGATCCGACGCATGCGCCCAAGCTCGGGGCGCTGAGGGATCTCCTTGTTGATTGCGGCATTGGTGTCGAGGGCCAGGAATCCTCAGACCCGCTGTACACCCCCATCAAGCCGCACCGGGCTCTGATCTTCTGTCAGATGAAGGAGATGCTTGACATGGTGCAGAACACAGTCCTGAAGATCATGCTCCCGTCGGTGCAATACCTCCGCCTGGATGGGTCGGTCGAGGCCAACCGGCGCCAAGATATTGTCAACAAGTTCAACAGCGACCCGTCATACGACGTGTTGCTTCTCACGACGAGCGTAGGTGGCCTTGGATTGAATCTTACCGGAGCCGACACTGTCATTTTTGTCGAGCACGACTGGAACCCGCAGAAGGACCTACAGGCCATGGACCGGGCGCACCGAATCGGGCAGAAGAAGGTGGTAAACGTGTATCGGCTGATCACGCGAGGCACGCTCGAGGAGAAGATTCTCAGCCTGCAGCGGTTCAAGATCGACGTGGCCAGCACGGTTGTGAACCAGCAGAATGCGGGGCTGGCTACGATGGACACGGACCAGATTCTGGACCTGTTCAATCTGGGAGACGCCGGGCCGAACCTAATTTCTGACAAGAAAGAGAGCCTGGAGGGGAGAGAAGAAGACATGGTGGACATTGAGACGGGCGATGTCCGGCAGCCCGGCAAGAAGGCAGCTTGGCTCGAGGGCCTGGGGGAGCTCTGGGATAACGCGCAGTACGAGGAGAGCTTCGATCTGGACGGCTTCTTGAAAACGATGCAGTAGGGAATTAAAGGCGGGGGCGTTACGGCTGGGTTGATACAGCAGTGACTCTCTTGAATCGGCGAGTGGCTGGGACTAGGATAGCGGTTCTGCGATGCGCGCTCAAAGAAGGGCAGGCGTTGGGACAGGGAAGGGCATAAACGGGCAGAGCTAGGTGGCATCTGCAAAAGCCGGTTGATGGGAATGCATTGTACAGTCAATAGTGTATCTGTAGAGGAGACGGAGCATGTAAGCAAGCAAGCAATCACGCTGCTAACATTATACGTATTCCTGGATCCACTCAAAACGGGCGCCATGCGACAAGATGTTGGTTCCAGCCCTTGATGATGACGTCAACATCAAGACTAACAACAACCCTGATGAACAAGAACGAGAGGGTACGTAAGCTAGTCCGCCCAGCACAATGAGAAACCTGTAGCCATTCCTTGATGTGAAGAGTGTTGGGTTAAATAGGAAGAAGAAAGTCGAGGCAAGCGTCCAAGTCCGTGTAACTTACTTGACTTTTATCATTGCAGACCCAGATCCTCAAGGCCACCTACTATATGTACTTGTACATGCAAGACAAGTCAGTACCTGTACAGTCTCACCACGATTATTGACGCCCCGGTCCCAACGGAATTTTTGAATTCGATTTCACCTGTCGCACCTTGAGAGCCGGAATACGGGGAATACGCGTATATATACGGTTATACGGGGTCCTAGCCAGCTGCGCCTTGCGGAGTTGCCTGTGAAACGAACCCTCTATATCCCAGTCTGAACCGCATCTACAACAATCTTCCCGCAATATATTATCGGCGGTATCACCGTTTATTCTATCCATTGCCCTCTTCTACCAAATATCTAGCAAACCGAGCCTAAGCAGTCTCCAATTGCCCCTACACCGAAGCCTCCGTTCCCACCGCAAACATGACCCACCACCACGAACCTTTCAAATCCCTATCACCTCTTTCTTGGCCAAACGACATCTCTCCACACCTCGACGCCGCCGGTGCCCCCTCAGAGAACTCGGAGTCCCCGCTCGGCAAGCTCCTCACGACAACAGTCGCAGACGCCCTGCTGCTGGTGGAGTCCATCCCGAGCCCAACGGCACAGGAGAGGACATACAGCAGCAGCACCCCACTTGCCACCGTCGGCCGCGCCCGGTCCCAGACCGACCCGTCAGCAGCACACAGAGGAGGAAGTGGGGGGTCCGCCAGCAGGGACAAGGACAAGGAAAGGGATGGCGTGGTGGTGCAGAAACTGCGCGGCGAATGGAAGGACATCAAAATCCCGCCGAAAGATAATCCGCATGGTATCAGCATGTACAAGCTCGCGGCTAAGGATGGGAAGGGGGCTTGGTTTGCAAGGAGGAGTCTGCATGTGCCGGGGCGTCAGGGCGCGGGTGGGGAGGTTGGGTTTGAGATGTGGTATGTTCCTCTTTTTTTGCTGACTTTGTCTTGAGTTTGTTCGGTGACTTAGCACGGACGGCTGACTGTTTACTGTTGTTGTTCTTGCTGTTCAGGGAGGCTGCATTGAGAAAGGAGATGCAAGAGACACTTGCCAGGTGCAAGGGGAAAGAGCCCGGTACGGGAAACATCAGGGGGATCGGGGCCGAGAAGCGGGTAAAGAGGGTTGAGATCCCTGAGGGGGTTCTGGAAGGTACGTTTCCGCTCATGGCAAATTTCTGCTCTTGTTGGGTAATGGCATTGGCTCATATGTCTTGTGGGAAAACAGTGTACCAGGTTTCGGCTCGGTTCCCTGGCCCGACGACACCCAGAGATTTCGTCACGGTGCTTATGATGCCGCGGCCGGCAGAGGGCAAGTCCGACCGGACTGGACGCCAACCTAGGCAATTCGTCATTGTGTCAAGGCCATGCGATGGGCATCCCGATTGCCCGTCCAGGTCAGGATTCATACGCGGACAGTACGAGTCTGTCGAGGTCATACGCGAGGTGCCCGTGGACAAGCCGCTCAGGAGGGTGAAGTCGTCGATCGACTTGAGCAGAGACGACGTCAAACAACTGGCTGATGAAGCCGGAGATCACGCGAGCAAAGAGGCCGTACTACGCGCTGCGAAGAAGGCCGCCGAATCGGAGGGCGAGCAAGATGGGAAAGTGTCATTCCCCGGATCACCCGCAAAGTCTTCTGGCGGCAGAGATGAAGAGGATGAGATGGCCATCGAATGGCTGATGGTCACGCGCAGCGACCCAGGCGGCAGTGTACCTCGGTTCATGGTCGAAAAGGGCACTCCAGGAGGGATTGTCAATGACGCTGGGAAGTTTATCAAGTGGCTCTCTTCTCAGAAGAGGGAAGATCTGTTGGCAGCCAGTACAGATGGGGTAGATCAGCAGGAGACGAAACCGACAGAAGAGTTTCGCCAGAAGGCAGAGTCGGGAGAGAGTCCAGCAAAAATAGCTGAGCACGATCACCTCCAAGACGGCGATGCTCCGCGAGAAGGAGAACAGCCACCCCAGGGTGGCTTATACGGCATGTTTACAAACGCTCTGGGAGCCGCCAGCTCGGCTGTGGCCAGCAGAGTAGCTGCATTTAGCCCCTCATACCCGATAGTTGACGGAACCGGCAGCGCCGACGAAAGCTACGCCTCGTCAGAAGCCAGCTTTGAGTCAGCCGAGGAGGGCTCGCCCAGCAGTTCCCTAGCCGACCAAGCTAGCGTCAGGGGGGAAGCCTCGGCCATGGACGCCGCTTCGACCAAATCCGCGCATTCAACTGTTTCCGAGAACCCGCCGCTTTCACACCAGGAATCGACCTCGCTCTCACGCACGCAGGCCCAGCACGAGAAGGAGCTGCGCAAGCTCAAACAGCGCATGGTCAAAGCCCAAGAAAAGCTCGAGCGTTCCCAAGCCAAACGGCGAGCCGACAGCAAGAGCAGCAACAAGGGCGGCGGCGCAACCACAACAGATGACGAGGCGACAGCAGCAACAGCAGCAGCCAAAGCCAAGGAGAAAGAAAAGGACGACCTAGCGCTGGCCAAGCTGCGCGAGAAGCACGAGCGCGAGATCGCCAAGCAGGAAGAGAAGTACCGGCGCGAGCTCAAGCGGCTCGAAGAGAAGCACGCCGCCGAGGAGCGCAAGGCCGCGGAGCGGCGTCGCAAGGCAGCCGAGCGCAAGGAGCGCGCCAACATCCAGATGGAGCTGGAGCGGACGCGGGCCGAGCGGGACGTGGCGCTCAAGCAGATCGAGATGCTCAAGGCGCAGGTCGGCGAGCTGCAGGCGCAAAATACCATGCTGGTTGCGAAGTTGGGTAAGGAGAAGGAGAAGGGCAATTGAAGGATGGGGCTGGGAAGGTCGCTGTGTAGCTATATACGAATCTACCTATGTACTAAGGAGGGGTTGTTTAGGGTTTTCTAGGACGCGGCCGGTGGGTGTTAAGGAGGCCGTCGATCTTCCTCATATGTATTAGCATATACTACAATGTCGCTGGACGGAATGATAACGTTAGAGCGATCCATCATGTACTGGCACTCTTTTACCCCTTTTCCATGATTCCATCAGCCGTGTCCCGCCATCCACTGCTAGCTCCAACGCCTCAACAACCTACCCATCTGGAACCTGCTAAACAAAACGAAGCCGCCAATGGACAAAGTATCACACATTTACAACACAGGACGGGGTTACAAAAAAAACAAAATGAAAACTCTGTGGACGAGCTGGGAATCGAACCCAGGACCTTTCGCATACACTGAAGTATGCTAAGCGAACGCTCTACCAACTGAGCCACACGCCCCTGTGCAAGTTAATATTTTGTTCTGAAAACATCCTCATATGGGACCATGGTAAGTACTTCCTTTCCCAATGTGTGAAGCTCAAAATGCCGTTTAACGTTGTGTGGAATTGTGTTTGCTTGGAATTAGGGCTCCAATTATCACGATGGCATATTTCGACATGTGCGAGAGGGAGGTGGAGTGGGGAGTCGGAATGGAGTGGAAGCTAAGACTTGAAGAGTGATCTTTCGTTGCTCCTTTCCCCCTTTCTTCTAGATTGCACTTGTTTTCCTCTACATTCAATGACTTCTTATTCTGCCATGCGAAAGAGATCTTCTACCAAACTAGTCCCTTTCATCCCACGAAAACTCTAGGTTAGGATATTGTACCCTGATGATGAGAAATCCCGTCCGACGGCGTAGACACGTAAATCTCACCCAGCCAGATCAAATCTAGGCGTTGGATGAAGACCCCAAGCCAACAGGATCTTGCTAATGCATCGACTCCCGTTGGTGTCCTCGCCTGTTCCCGTCCACCACAATCGGCGGCTCCTCCTTTTTCCAACGTCCTCCGCTTCCATCAGCGATAACTGGCCGGTCCTCCTTCTTCTTCTGGCTACTGTTTCCCGCAGGTGCAGAGTTCGAAGCAGGAGAAATGGTCGCAGGAGGCATTAACAAAGCCGCCTTTGACCCAGCAGTTTGAGATCCTGAACGCGGTGCCAATCTCCTGTGCCCACCTCCCAGTTCTTGCTTGCTGGAAGACTTGGCCACCCTCCTCCCAGGCCGGTTGCTAGATCCGCCATCAGACACTCCCTCGGCCATCTTTACCGATAGCTTCTTATCGCCCACCTCGCGGCCGTCCAACGCCGCGATGGCCGCATTGGCAAGCTCGAAACAGCTGAACGTGACAAAAGCAGTTCCCCGTGGCCTACCATCTTTGTTGATGGGAATCTCGACTCGCTCTATTTGCCCCGATCCTGTTCGCCCAATGCCTGTATATTCCGTAATGAGTCCCACGACGCAAGCTTCAGACAGACCGTCTCGTTCGAGATTATGAATTATGATTTTGCGTAGCTCGATGATTACGCTCGGCCGCTTGCTGCCGTCATAGATAACCTGACCTGGCTGGGGAGCTGGGGCCTGAGCTGCAGCATCGGACGCCCAAACCTCACCGTACCCTGGGTTGTAGAATTGACCGCAGTTGCTCTTGTCGATCAGCTGGGCGTCGCTATACCCGGTGTAGCCTTGCCCGGCGGTAACGCCGTATGTAAATCCGGAGGCGTAGTATGGTGCGGGCGTCCCAAACGGGTATTGCGCTGGCTCGGTAGCTGGCGTGGTCAGTGCCGGATATCCCATGGGCTGCGAAATGGCAGGTTGCGGACTGGTAGCTACTTGCGAGAAGCCACAGGAAGGGTCGGCTGTTGCGAGATACGCCAGAGAACTCTGACCAGCAAGGGCTACTCCCGCCGCTGCCTGGTATCCCTCACTCGAGGTGTATGGGGAGGAGGCAGCGTATCCCCATCGTGTGCTGGCCTGTGGACTCATGTTTAAGGCTGGGCTGCCGCTGCCCTGGTAATCCCGGTACGGACTATTCATCCCGGCGCCCGCATTTTGGGGAAACTGTTCGCTTTGTGTACCGGGGTCAGGAGTCGGGGTGGGCGAACAGGGTTCACTGAACACCCTTCCCCTTTCGCCTCGGCGGATTCTCACTGCATGATAATCGTTGGGTGGGAGCTTAACCACAGTTGGATGTGTCTTGTTCCTGGCATCCGCCTGAAGGGAGCGGTACTCGAGGGTGTTGCCGTTCAAGTGCTCTATTTTGAATTGTTAGTGTGAGCCCGGACGAGAACCTGAGTACGAGAGGAATCTCCGGCTTACTGAATGCCTTCTCAAAATTGGCTAGACCCTTCACCCGGACGAATCCAGAGGTGGGAGTGTAGACTTCGGCGTGATCTACCTCACATGCTTGTGCGGCAAATGCTTTCAGCTCCTTCCATGTGGTGTTATGAGAGAGCTGTAAAGGCAGAATCAGCCAGACTGCTACAAGGTGCGAGGAATAGTGATCAACTTCAACATACATTAGCCACTAGAATGTAGTACAACCCCGTCTCGCAGCCCGGGCCAACAGTCACAGTCTCCAAGGTTTGGCTGTGCTGTTGGTTTCGGCTCATCTTCGTGCCGCCCGGCATTGTGACGAGGTAGGGATTCTTCGATCAGACTGTTCTGTGTCCGAGACGTCAGATAATTGCCGAGGAATCCACGTTAGAGTGGTGCCTAGATGCGCCGCGCAAACAGGGGTCCTACGTGCTGTAGTACATATGCTGTCGAAGCTCGTGTGGAATCGGATGTTGCGAATAGGCGCCATCAATGTCGGGGCCAGGAAACCTGGCCGCTGGTATTCGCCTAGAAGGAGCCGCGCTTCAAGGCATAAAGCGTAGATTTCTCTCGCGTTTATGATGCCGAACGAGAAGGGTGGGAGTAGCCGGAAGGCGGGAGAGAAGGAGCTGGCAACAGTCAAGCCTCACACGAGTCGCGTATATATGCTTATTGGTTGTCTTTAAAGAGGCATCGTCACCGGCTAGAGGACAATGGGCCTATAAGGGGTGTTAGCACGTGGAGAGAAACGTTTGGGCCAAGATCTCCCGACTCCCAACGGCTTGAGATCTCGTCAAAAAGGGGATGGTGTGTCCCCTGAACCAACCGTACCGTTCGTGTAGTTGACTCTGTTAGACAGGTCTTGATCATGTCCAAGTGTCAATCTCAGGGATAAAGCAGGCTGCAGGTCTGTAAGGGTTCTTGGGGTGTCCGTGACCGGCAACCTGGTCACATTTGATGTGCCGAGCTTTCGAGTCCTAAGATGCAAACTGCTAGATCGGGCAGGCCTAGTCCAACACGCCTGTGTCGTGGCTGCTCACATTGTGCAATGACGACTCGTGCCGGGTCCGATACGCGCCAGACGGCACGACAAGCTAGGTCTTTATCAACCATGTCGGTAGCATGCTTAGAAAGTGGGGATCGAGCTCTGCGGCCCGAAAGAAGTTGAATTAGAACCCGAATAACTAGACCTGGCACCACAATTCAGTCCAGTCCAGTGCAGAGCTCAAGTGGTGTCAACAGTGAGCTCCCACATTTGGATAGGCCAATCACTCGAATCAGCTTGGTGGCTGAAGCTAAGAGGTCGGGACTGCGTTGATGAACCAAGATGAGCTTGACGAGAGCGGCTCAACTGAGCTGGGATGTCTAGACTGCACAGTACAGCATCGGGTCTGCTGTGATGGGTCACAGACAGGGGTCCAACAATGCAGAGCCCTGCGGGGGTGCGAGTAGCTGTCTGTGGCGTCCACATACACTGAATAGCACCATTCCACCGGGCACATCTGCTGTGACGTACCCCCAGATGCGTACTTAAACGAGCTCTTTCGAGGAAGAGAAACAAGAGACGACTCTGGCATACGACGCCCTCACCGCCCCAGGCTTTCTGCGGGTTCCCGACTCACCTTATGCCGGGACGAGTTCTGTGATGTTTGCCGCGGTTGGGTAATGTATTGCTGTGCCAGGGAAATGGAGGGCTATTAATTAATATTCCAGGCAAGGGTATGAGCAGTGACTTGATCACTTGTCAATCATGCTCCTCTCTTGGACCTGCCTCAGAAGCCTGAGGCCCAAGTCCTGAGTTGTGATATCGTTGAGCAGTCGGCATCCCGCAGGACCGCTGGGAATGGGAGGCGCCAACTACCGGTAATAGTTAGAGGCCCTTCACCCAAGCCCAGACTTGCTAGGCCATTGTTCGACGTTCTCAACCCCATCGTGCCTGGAGCAAAGGTAACTGATTTGAAGCTGTGCAAAGGCGGGTGGTCATCTGGCGGTGACATCAAGGGTCTCGGTACACCCCTGTCTCCAGGAAAAAGGAAATAAAATAAGAATAAAGTAAAAGAGGGAAACAGATCATTTCAGCCACATGCGGGGTTTCCAGGCCATCTTCTAACTCGACATGTGCATCGGTAAGAAGTGGAATCCAGTCTAACCGCTTGCATATGCCGATAGTAATTACGATGTTGGACGGCTTCTGAACCAAATTCCTCGATGAGACACACCTCCACCCAGTTTATGTCGTATCCAGGTTCTCGGGTCAAGATAGCCAAGCTCCGACACTTATCGTAGGGCATGGTGCATTTGTCTTTAGCCCGTCGACGGCAACCCAAGCTCGGCAAATGCCTGGGAGGCAGGTGTGTCACCGTTTGTATACAAAGGTATCCTCTAGTTCGCTGCAGTCTTCCTCGTCATCAAGGTCTAGAGCTTCAGGGTTGCTCCCAGACGCAGGGACCAGCTCAAGAGGCGATTCTTCCCGCGTCTCTCTCGGGAGATCAGGTTCTGAGCTACTTGAGGTGCCCCAAGGAGGCGGACCTTGGTCGGCGTCGCCTATACATGCAAGCATGTAATTCTGAGTATCAGAGAAAAAGGTGCAAGGAGGACTCAACGAATCAAGCCCAAGCCACAGCGCACGCGACTTGGTGCCAGCCTTGGCCCCGGGGAAGTGCCGGCCAAAATCAACGGTTCGGGGCCCTTCCGAGAGGGGATCCCACACAAACACTTGGCCATTGTATTGGTCGCCTTCGCATTTGACGAGCAAGGTTTCGGGTACGTGTGGATGCCATGAATGGCTGATCACATTTCCATGAAATAGGAGAGCTGCACGGAGTTCTGCGACTTGAATGTCCCAGATCCACAGCGTCCCCGGGGAGTCATCCAGTCGTGTAGCAACGAGGGCCGAGGATGGATCGAAGGAGATCGAAACACAGCCGGTCACTGGCTCTGAGTTGTCCCGTAGACACGGCGCGGGGGAGATTGCCTGAGTAGTTCTCAAGAAAGTGTGCATGACTGGTCCTGTTTGCGAAACACCAATCTGCTCTTGCCAGACCTGTGCAGCGAAGGTCAGTCTACAAAGAGCGGATCAGTAGTGCCGATCCGCACCTACCTGGAGAGTCTCTCTGGGAACGAGGCTTCTTGGATGCCGAAGCCGCATTGTCTCAGTGACGGAAGCCATACTGAGCATGCAGATAGACCTGCTGGAATCACCAATGGCGAGATGGCGGGCATCTGCAGAGAACTGGATTGACTTGACACCCGCACCGAGAGCATAGTCTCTCTCTTCAGGCCGAGGGTTGACAGGGCCGGACCAGGTTTTGAAGAGATGGCCATCAGAGGTGTAAAAGAGCACCTTGTGACCGTGCGCAGCCGAGTCCCATACAACGAGCCATCGTCCGTCGGGGCTCCAGACAAGACCTTGGGCGTCGACCGTGTCGGGCGCCCACGACCTCTGCAGCTCTCTTCCCGGAAAGCCGTGTATGCTCACCATGTCCTTACCCGCTGCCCTTGTCAGCAGAGCGAGATGACGTGTCTCGGGCCGGAAAGAGAAGCATCTACATGCGGACGAGGAGGAAAACAACTTTGGGTTGCCAATCTCAGCGGCTGTGGAAGAGCCGAGGTCAAAGACGGCAAACTTGAGGCCAAATGAGGAGATGACACAAATCTCGAGGTCCGAGGCACCAAATCCAACGTAGGCGGGCCTGGTCCCGGGTCCAACATGGTTCCGAATCGTGGCCTGGAAGCTGTTGTCCAGGGCCGACACGACCCGAACTTGGTCGGCGTCGGCAACGAGCAGAAGGCGAGACGAAGGCGACCACTGGAAGCTAAGCACGGGACCGTTGAAGTCCTGAGGCAGCTTGATCACGTTGACCACGTCGAGCCCAAGCACGGGACGGACATTGACAACGCCAGAAAACACCGTCGCGATGTGTTTGCCATCTGGACTTGGCAGTGAATGCACTGAGGCTGTTGATTCCAGACTATGGTTAGCAAAGAACGGGGTACCTTGTATTTACGGTGACTTTGGTTCCATGTCCCATCTCACATTTTATTGCCCTTGAAAACCGCATGTCGGAATATTTGTTGCCTGCTCGCTGCCTGTCAACACGACATCGAAGGAGCCCAGGAGCCTGAGTATCACAGGCAAGCAGAGGCGAGCCAGGGCAGCAATGTCCATGTGCTATGGTGCTAGGTAAGGTAGGCGTTACCTTGTGGAAGTTGCGCACCTGCCGCTGTTTGCGATGCAAGTGCTCTCGATGTGTGACATGGGGCCCGTGCGGGAAAACATAGCAGAAGCTGCGCGTGGGTGCCAAGACGGCGCCTTCCAGATTGCCCTGGGCCGCAGGTTCTCGCCGCCTTCCGAATCGGACAAGATGAGACCCACTTGGCCGATTTCCGCCCGCGGAGACCCGCCACGCACTGTCTGTCATCGCGTACTCGTTGCTGAGTCACGGCCAGATGGCGAGTTCTCTGTCTACCTTACCTTATCCTCTATACACCTTTCTCATCCAACAGCCACACAAGATACTTCTGCAAAACCCTTAGTTTGCACAGGGCGATTGGCCTTCCCAATGGATTGTGGCACTTTTGGTTAACTTTTCCTTCTCCGGATCTCATCAGAGTGTCATGTCATCCGTCTCCGCGGACCGGATTGGCCAGGAAAACATAGCTTCTTCATTTTATTTATTAATTATCTACACTATGCCCCGCAACGCTCACCAGCTCCAGAAATTCTGTCACGACGGCTATTGATTGACCCATCATGACAGCGGCTGCACGCTGCGTCGCCCGGTTCCTCCGGCCCGGGGCGCTGCAGGTAGCACAGACAAATCGACCAGTCTCACTTCAAGTGAGGCATGTCACTTCGGCGGCAACCGCGCCCACGGTCTCCGAAACTGTGCGTCCCAACACCATCACGTATCCGACCCCGCCTCAGCCCCCGTCGCAGCGTCCAGATCACATCGGCCCACGGCGTAGCCCTACGTCACGGGCTCCCGGCTCACGCAGGGACGGCGTTCGGGATGCCAGACCCTTTTCCGATTTTCTCACGGACACCTTCCACCGTCAACATGACTACCTACGCATCTCGGTGACAGAGCGGTGCAATCTGCGCTGCCTTTACTGCATGCCCGAGGAGGGCGTGCCGCTCTCACCCCCGCGAGAGCTTTTAACCACACCTGAGATCGTCTTGCTTTCGTCCCTCTTCGTCTCGCAGGGCGTGACCAAAATCCGGCTCACCGGGGGTGAGCCGACGGTCAGGCGGGACATTGTGCCCCTGATGCAACAAATCGGATCTTTGAGAGCCCATGGCCTACGGGAACTCTGTCTGACCACCAATGGGCTCTCTCTGCACCGCAAGCTGGACGCCATGGTTGAGGCAGGACTGACTGGCATCAACCTCTCCCTCGACACACTGGACCCGTGGCAATTCCAGTTGATGACGCGGCGTGCGGGGTTCAGTGCCGTCCAAAAAAGCATCGATCGAATTCTTGAATTGAACCGCCTCGGGGCGAGCATCAAGTTCAAGATCAACTGCGTCGTTATGCGCGGTCTAAATGACTGCGAGATCCTCCCATTTGTGGAGCTAACGCGGGAGAAGGATATAGAGGTCCGCTTCATCGAGTATATGCCCTTTGACGGCAACAAATGGAGCAAGGGTAAAATGTTCAGCTACCAGGAGATGTTGGACGTGATCCGCTCCCGCTACCCAGATTTGCAGAGGGGCTTGGACCACAAGAACGACACCAGCAAGACGTTCCAGGTGCCAGGCTTTGTTGGCAAAATTGGCTTCGTCACGAGCATGACCCACAACTTCTGCGGGACGTGCAACAGACTTCGCATCACTAGTGACGGAAATCTAAAGGTGTGCTTGTTTGGCAACGCCGAGGTCTCTTTACGAGACATCCTACGAAAGGTTAACAATGGTGAGCCTATCGACGACGTTGCCCTGGAATCGCTGCAGCAAGCGTCTACCGGGGCTGCGGAACGCCTTTTGCCATCCAGCCATCAACCCCTGCTGATACCCAATTCCGATGAGCTTCTTGACGTGATCGGCATGGCCGTCAAACGGAAGAAGGCGAAGCACGCAGGCATTGGGGAGCTTGAGCACATGAAAAACCGTCCCATGATACTGATTGGTGGGTGATGGTTTTTCTCCTCTTTCCTTGTTATGTCGCATCAGTCTGGATTTTGGGGTTCTTGCATATACATGGGCGTGGCATAATTGGCGCATACATTCAGATGTCTTTGCGAAGTATATGGACAGGTTAGCTAAGTAGTAAGTCTAGATCCTCCAGCCACAAATCAACATCTTACCCAGGCTCACCTTCGGCGGCAGCATGTTGGATCACGGTCGACCGGCTGCCCGCCCGTTGTCAGGTTCCCTTCGACCTGGGACAGCGTGGTGATTCCCTACCATTCCGCTATCCCCCAGCCTCGCCTCTTCTCAACCACGTGCTGGCGTAGCCACAACAGCCAGGATGAGGATAGCAGCCCAAGACTAACGCATGTCTCCGCGTCGGGCGCTGCTCACATGGTTTCCATCACGGATAAGACGCCAACAAAACGCGTCGCGAAGGCAAAGTGCACGGTGCGGTTCTCCGTCGCCTCGGCCCTCCGCCTCATCCGCGAGAACCAGATCAAGAAGGGTGACGTGCTCGGTGCGGCGCGGATTGCTGGCATAATGGCGGCGAAGCGCACGCCAGACCTCATCCCTCTGTGTCACCCCATCTCGCTCACACACGTCGAGGTCGAACTGGTTCTGCTGGACGAAAGAAATGAGATCGAAATCACAACGACGGTGTCGTGCGACGGCAAGACAGGTGTCGAGATGGAGGCCCTAACGGCAGCGTCGGCCGCTGCGTTGACAGTCTATGACATGTGCAAGGCTGTTGATAAGAAGATGGTTATTGAGCGCTTGAGAGTTGTGCTAAAAGAGGGAGGTAAGAGTGGGACTTGGGTTGAAGAGGAGACCGGGTAATGGGATCTCCACTTCTCCTTGTCCCGCTGCCTCGAGCAACTCCTGGTATGACTTGCAGATTTCTTGTATGGTTGAGCAGATACTCATCTGAGGTTTGGAGCTGAACGATTTGAGTGCTTAACCCCGTCCATGCCTTATCATGTCAATTCCTGTATTCGTGGCAAAGGCGAATCAATGGCTGCCCTCTTTCCAGCCACTTCTTCCCTTGCCACAACGAGATGGATGAAGTTCGAAAGCTGCCTGTTCATTTCCATAAAACTGTGGTGTAGACGCTTCGCGCGCACACTATCACGTTAAGGGCAGCTCCAACGAGGCTAGGCCGACCGCTGTTTGCCATGACGTAACAAAATCCAGGGGTATGCGCAGTCGGAGGCAGCGCCGATGGCAAGCGCTCGTTCTGAAGCACCTGAAGCGCAGAGCACCTGTGCCTATGCTTTCCGAGATTCGTGGTTACAGTTGCCTCTGACAAGATGGAAAAAGAAACAATAACGGATCAAATAGAAAGAAACGGCAGCTTTGTTAGGAACGGCCGAGTAGGCCATTCGCAGCACAACGGCTTTCCATCTTGAGGCCGGCGAGGCCGGATCGGTCATTGGATCGGAATGAGGGGTGACCCTGACCCGTCTTTTTCTATGTGTATAAGGAATCCGACCGAAACCTTTCCGAGAATCGGTCAAAACTCAAAGGCCCGCGGGCGAGTTCCCCACAGGAACGAAAGGAACCAGAACCCCGCCATTCCACTTCAGTCCTTTCAAACAGCGAAACACCAATCAGCAGCCGGCGATAACCTTTTCTTCCCTTCAACCAATCGCACCCACGACAGTGACGCAGCAGTGCTATCGACCGGTGGGACCCAACCAAAGCAGTGAAACCTCTTGGCAAGCACAGACACCTCCCAAACGGCTCAAAGTGTAAAGTCGGAACGAGATTCTACCGTCAGGTTATGATACAGCTTTTCAACTTTGAAGATGTCGAAGGTAAAAATTCTGTGTTACTGCTGTACTCCGCAGTGTTGCGTAGAGTATGCAAGTCATAAGCAACCCAGTCGCGGAGCAAATCAGATCCCTTTCTGAGAACGAGAGAACGCCATCATCTCATCCAAGGGGTACGTTCGTAACTCAGCTGCTCAGGTAGCTGCCTGAGTGTAAACATGACGAAGCATGTGGCAATTGAGGTTGAACTAGTGTAGCTGCGCAGATCCGATCGCTCACCTTCCCTTCCTAAAGATGCAAAGACTTTGCCACCGCGTCGACCTTATATGGAGATATGGTATCGTATAGTGCAAAAGGACCTCAATTCTCGGTCAGTCGAGCGGAGATGATCCGCAACCAAAGAAGAAAAAAGGGCCGGAGTCTGGCCAGCGGCTTTGGCGGCATGTCAACTCAATCTGCCATGCCTTGGTGGTTGAGCATGGTACCATCGTAAGTAGGGAAGTTAACCAGGTTAGGAAGTGAACCACGGCCAATGAGAGCGGGTTCTGACTTTGTCAAGGCTTGCCATTGGCTGGCGCCATGTTGGGCCTGGTTAACTTCTGAACCTGGTTAACTTCCCTACTTACGATGGTATGGAAAGTACGGTACACAGTGCAGCGGAAACGGTATGAAGGTATCAGCATAACGCTACATCTACCTTAAATAGATATTGAGTTTTCGGGGTTCTGCCACGACCCCTCTCAAACTTCGTCTACTGTGGTGGTATGGGTAAGTTAAATTTCCCTGCCCTGTAAATACATACAGGTTTCGCCAGCCTGGGCTGGGCGTGGCACGGACCAAGTACCTGACAGGGTGATTTAACTTATGCCTCACACCACAGGAAGTGTGCCGACATACAGAATACCAGCGCTGTTCAGATATGCCAACTCTATATGAATATCTTCGCACGGTTGAGTTCATGCGCAAGGTGCTACAGAGACATGAGGCACTAACGCTATATAACAAAGAAGGCCCGCTCCCTCCCATCCCATATGTTCCCGAGGGCCTGCACAGCTGTCACTCTGTGCAACTTACACGATTCCCGACCTAGCAGGTGTGCCTGAGATATCACGATCTCAGGTCCGCCCGAATATCATTGCATATCATTACCCTACTCCTCACAAGTCGAAGACGAACGTTGTCCACCGACCACATTCGGGATGCGCATTCGAATCCAAACACTGGTGTATCGTCCGGCTATTAATTGTATCGGCAGTCGTGACGAGAGCATCTGCTCGCTTGTCAAAGCAAGTAGTGATCCGTTCCGGTAGCTGGGTACTATGCCGCGTTTCATGGGCTCTGGCTAGTTGCAGATTCCGATTGGCATCAAGACACATCTCACATAACCAAGCAGCACGAGTTCTGCTTCTTGGCAGACTTGTAGAACATCTTGCTCTGGGCGCTGAGATCCGAGCTCTTTGCGACAAGGTCATCTAGCTTCTCGCCACGTTGCAGAACCTGTCAGGTGTCAGCACAGTGCCCGCTCCAAGGAAGGAGAGACCGGAAATCTGGAGAGACAGAGCATACGCTATCGATAGCCTTGTGGAGGATGATCTTGGTCTCATCTAGTTCTTGTTGGATCCGGCTGATGCTGCTAGCCTGGTTGGCATCTTGATAATTGTTCAGGTAATCCTGTAGGGCCGGGAACGAAACATCGCCATCCTTTGTGGCGGCCTTGATGGTGGCAAGTGGAACCTCGGACAAGAACTGGTCCATAAGCTTCGAGAGGACACTGTGTGCGGCAATGTGGGGGTAGTCCTTGGTGATAACCACTCCGGCAACGCCTTCAGAGCGGGCATAGCAGTGGACAACGTAATCTAGCTAGTGAGTGAGCAAATGCATCGGCAGTTTTGAAGCCTAGACGTACCCTGCTCCTCAACACTTTGTCTCTGCCCGGCTGAAGTGCGCTCGGCCACCGTCTTGCTGATCATGGTCATGAAGTTTCCATATTCATTCCTCGTAAATCTAGAGAAGTCGCTGAGCTCGTGTGCGGCGCATAGCTGTACTGCAGGTTTCTTCGTGTTGTCGAGAACCTGAGATGCCGTTAGACAAACCTTGAAAAGGGGGGAAGAGTGGGGAGACATACGCCGACATAGTAGAGCTTCATGTTGCCGACGGAGGTGGGATACCGACGCGAGGAAGCTAAGGTTTCCCAGTGCTACAGCCCAGGTATGCAAATAGTAGCAAGGTAACTCGCTAGCAGCGGATGGGCGCTGTACTGATCTTCGTCGGCGACGACTTCGGCGACGTCCAAGGGGTGTGAGGGGCTTGCGGTTTCGATGGCGCTGACCCGAGTTGGTCGTGAGCCGCGATACTGTTGGGGAATCGCTAAACCAAGGACAATTAGTGAAGGCGCCGGAGAAAGGACTGATGAGAATGTAGATCGTGGTTGGCAGATGTCGTTGTAACTCGGGATAGCTGCCTGCGTCTGCGATGAGGTTGCTGTCGCCAGTCAGACCGCTGTTCAGGTTCCAGGCTCCACTGCCCGTCACAGGGTCATCGGCCAAAGGTTTACCCTTTGCCGGGAACGGCCTAGGCCCGGTAGTAGCTCCCTCGTTAGTTGCAACTACCCCCTAAAATACAAGAATGCGTTACTACCAAAGTCGTATCCATGCGTGGTTGCCACAGTGTTTCCTTCACTTCCGAACTTTGAGTGACCTGAATCGCCCCCTTCCTGGTTGTCCTTTTGATCTCATGGTGAAGCAACCTAAAACTACCGCCTTGGCCCATCTAAAAAGGTTACGAGTTAGCTGATACCAGCTGATATGAGAAACTTTGGCTGAAGCAATTAGCGCCTAAACCCACGGATTCGTTGATTTCGTGATTGGAAGCTACACTATGCTGAAGTAGTTCCAAGGCTGTCGATCGTCGAGGGACTCGGCGTCGAGAAGCAGCCGGCGAAGCGGAAGGCAGAAGAGCAGTTGCCGTTCAGGGCACTGACAAGGACCAGGTGGCTTCGAGCCGACAAGCCTTCCTTTTCCACTGCTCCCTTCCTCGAGCCTGGGTCCACCGCTATTCTAGCCAGACCAAGAGGTCAACTTCGGGTCCAGAAATAAACGAGCCCTTTCTGTCCTCTCCCCCCTCCGCCGATTCGCTCTTTCTGCCCAAGAGTTCCCATTCATCAATCGGTGTGGTTTGTCCCTTGTCAAAAGAGAACACCTTCCTGTCACTGGCGTTCTTCTTCACCTCACTTTCCCCAACTGTGCTTTCTTTCAGCCACAAGATCGAGCTCGTCCAATCTCTTCCACTGGATAACCGTTTGATAATCCCCATCTGTAGATCCAGGCAGCGTGTACCTATTCACACGCGTCCCACTCGTGCTACACAGCCCAACTGCGATTGAGGTCGCCGACTTACCTTTTCGCTGCTGTCTCGCCTTTCCCCAGGTTGTTCGACTTTTCTTATACAGCAGTCGAGAAGGATTCGTGCGCAAGTTTGAATTCTTGACGGTTGGGCGAGAGGTTGCCAAGCACAACTACCTTATCTCGCCGCTGGTGCGCTTTTGACCCCCACTGCCCATCTGACCCTCTGCACCACACTGGCGGTATTGCATGCGCCGTCGACGTGCAAGATCCGGCACGCGCGACCACACTCCTCCACCATGGCCACCGACTTCATAATGCCCCGGCTTCCCGGCCAGCAACCACAACAGGCCTTCTACCCGCATCAGCAGCAACAGCACCAGCAATATCGCCCTCAGCAGAGTGTTCCGTTTCAGCCGCCCCCAATCTCGACCGGCTTACCCCCATCCAGCCAATTCAATTCTCCAGTGTCGCCGCTTAGCACGCCGGGTAACGCCTCATCAACCTCCACTAAAAACTACATTTCGCGCCAAATTCGTCCCCTGTATGTCCCGGCCGTGCTGCGCCCGACCGAGTTTCCATCCAAAGCCCCTCCGCCCCGATCGAACTCCCAAGATGAGGACGAGACGAGCGAGGAGAGTTTGCGACACAATAACAGCTTCATGAGCCTAGGTGGACTGGGCGGGTTGAGCGCATTCGGTCGGTTGAACAGGAGGTCTACGGCCGACAGGGCCAAATCCGTCGACGGCAGCTGGAATCTCGACCTATTCCCCAAGCCGACTGGTGCACCCACTCGGAAACACTGGAAGGTATGCCACGCGTTCCGGATCGCTATCGCAGCGCTTCTGCAGCCTGATGCCAGTCATGCTAACACGTCCCGTTACTACAGCCCGACGAGCAATCCACGGTGTGCGATCACGCGACATGCAAGAGATACTTCAGCTACTTCACCCGCCGGCACCATTGCCGTAAATGTGGCAACATCTTCTGCGACATGCACAGCGCATTCGAGATACCCCTCGATCAAGACGCGAACTACAATCCCCGGGGCGTGCCCAGCCGTGCGTGCGCTCACTGCTACTCGCAGTTCAAAGAATGGCGCAGCAGGGCAAACAGTCGGGCTTCGAGCGATGGCTCTGCCGATACCAACCGCCTTGACACCCCTACTACCCCGGTTGAGGCCTCTTCTGCCGTCTCCGGCCTCGGCGGGCCCCTGCACATGCCTGACGTGGCCCACAGCGTCCCGAGAGACTGGAACTGGAGCACTTTCTGAAATGTGCCACCGCCACGAAGCTGGTGGCAAAGCACGCTTCCAATCAGCGTTGCTCTTGCCTTTGTTCTTTGTTGTGGAACAGGCTTCCCGACATCCACTTTAATGAGACATGCCCCCTGAAATCGCGAGGAGCGATGAAGGCGGCAACGATATGGTTGACGTTACACGGATGAAGAGAGGAAGAAAGTTAGGGAAGACGGGAATTAGAGGGACTCCGGATACAGACATAGATTTTGGGACTGGGTGGCGAGTCGGGTCTGGGAGATATTACCGGGTTAGATTCCTTCCTCGGGAGACTGGCATATGTGCCCGGATTTCTGATCCCATTTTCCACATTTCTCTTCTTTTCCGGGATATTCGATGAGATGCAAGAAGAGAATGAAGGGATAGGGATGGATATACCCTGATGGTCGGTGGAGATGGGAATGGTCGTGTCCCCGTGGAAGCGTCTTCATTGTTAGCTCGCCGACCTTTCCATATCGCAGCGGGCTAGCTTGGGGAGAGCTGTCTATGGGCTACCGTTCCCGATCCTGGACCTTGTTTCGTTTCGCCCAGGTATGCATCTGCTGCTTCGCATCGTATCAGGCAGCATTGTTCATGCGCAAGGCGTTTTGTTTGCAAAGGCGTTTTCGGCTTATGTCCTTGAAGGTATACATGGTTGATTTTTTCCCCTCCCACTCCCTGTTTTCACAAGGCCGAGAAGAGATAAGTGAGATAATGTGCGGATGAGGGAAGATGAAAGACGAGGATCAAGTGATCAGCGAAGTACAAGGTCAACCTCCGTGGCAGTGACGTTTGGGTAATGATGTATGTACTGTACATGGGGGTGAAGGAGGCAGTACCCTCAGTCTAACCCCTGGGGATGGCACAATAGGAGTTGTTCAACATGAGGACCTGCACAGCATCCATTCTGTGTTCACTATCTGGGACGAGTAGCAGGGTATTAGCATATATCAGATGATAGTGGTAATGGACGTCGAGTTGCGTGACGGATTGTGTTGATCTTGCTGTTTTGCTAGTACCAGTAGTGTATGTTGAACGCTGGTGATAAATAGGGGTTGCCAATCATATGTTATCAAGGTATGTAATAGTACTAAGCCACTCAAATGATGCAGCACTTTTGACGTCATATAAGCACTCGCTGGTCGTGATCGTTCTTCTACTAGTTCGTCCTTTTATCTTGTGATTATGGTTATTTCCATTCAATGTGATCTCTATGAAATTGGTTATCAGAGCTACGCGGTTAGAGACCTCTAGAGTACTACTGAGAGTTTCAAGCTATCAGCAGGTGGTGATGCAGAATCCCTCCTTTGACCTAAATAAATTCATTTCATCCGTCGCTGTCTGGTTCCCTTTCTAGCCTTGGAACACCATCTTCTAGTAAACAGGTATTTTGTGCAATACAGGCAATGTATCTTGTATAAAAAGCTCACCGCACAACGCCTTGATTGCGCCCCAACAAGATGCACCAACCGACCAATCTCAGGTGATAAGAACACCTGTATGTGTAAAATGCTTCTGCCCATGCTGTACAGGCAACGTCTCATGCCCTGACACCTAAGAACATAGTGCTCTTGGTGCGGCACCACGTCTCACCGTTACCGTCCCATTCATCAACTCATTTACGATTCATGACTGGAGGCATTTGACGTGCCGCTGAATGTCCTCCCATCTGATGTGTCCCTCAACAACAAACCCGCGACTCCCCTTCCGCCTTGATCTGCTGGCGATCCTTCGCGACGCTGCATTCGGGTTTGAATTCCGTTTACTTGTGGCAAAATCGCCCAGCCCATCATGTCCCCAAGGCCTGAGCCAAGCTGTTCCCTGGGAATAGCGCTGATCTATTTCCTGCTCCGTAACACACGGCTGTTGGGAGCCAGCTGGCTTTTGGATGTGCTGGTCTCAACCACAACCGCCTCTTCATTGTTCTCGCCATAAACCTCGCGCTCGATATTCTTTGCAGCCTCCCAGCCGGCCTTTTCGGCCATCTGGACATTGCTGAGGCGGCGTGCCGCCGCACTGTTGACGCCAGTTTCCCCAGATCGCTTGCTAGCAGCGTTGCTGCGGCGGATGTAGCTCTCAATGAAGAAGGAGACGAAGAGGTACGTCAGAGGTGCGAGATATAAAACATTAAGCCAAATAGCGAATGTCTCGCCGCTAGAGGTGATACAGGGCATGGTCCGGCGTGCATAGGTGCCCTTAACACCCCCGAGGACACCAGCAGTCGCAGCAGCCACAGAGCCGTTTGCCACGGCGGAAGCGGAAGCGGAAGCGGAAGCTTCAGTCTGGGAGCCAGAAATGACAGGGATCGTATAGCTGATGAAGGAGTGAACCATGGCACACGATGCACCGACGAGGAACTGCGTGATTTGCATCGATGTCAAGGTGCGCTTGAAAAACATGGGCACGCGGATGTTGAAGGCTGTCACAGTGTAGTATGTGTACTGTTATACTTGGTCAGCGAACTCGCTCCTTCTCGCTTGTAGCGCGGCCATGCGACAGGGGAAACTCACCATGATAGCGTGAATGAACGAGTTGAAGAAGACAAATATCCAGATGGGCACCGACATGTAGCGCATGCCGGCCCACATGCACATCATGGCCCCGGCGTGATGGTAGGTCTGAAGGGTAGAGCTGAGTTTGCCCTTGGCGAGTATGATGAGCGTGTCGAATACCTCATAGAACTTGCTGAGGTAGAAGAGCCAGCCGTAGAATGCCAGGCCCTCATTCCAGATGCGTCCGGCTGCGAACCGGCTTGGTGAGCCGTCCTCGCCCAGGGCCGGCTCGAGGGCATACGACTGCCATGAGTTGGTCTCCTCATTGAAGAAGACGGCGTTGCCCAACCCGCCCGGTCCGTTCACTTGGCACGCCGAGTCAAGGAAGCCAGCGATGCCATGAGGTCCAAGAGGGCTGACCATGGTACGCCGCAGCGCGCCCAGCATTCCCCACCATGTCCAAGCGGAATAGGCGGCCAGAAAGACATTGTGAGCAATAACAAACCATCGGAAAGCCAAAGTCCGGCTGATAGCCCAGGGCTTCTTGCCCGTCGACTTGTTGTAGGCGTTGAGGGCTTTGGCGGTCACAGCATAGACGGCAGCGATCGTGATTGGGACCCTGGGATCGAGGAAGGCGTGATAGATATGATCCGGGATATCAATCGGTGGTGCAAAGGGTGTGCTGCCGGCGGCAGGCGGTGGAATGAACCCTGCATTTGAGTTCGGCGGGAACCGAAAGAGAGACGACGAAGGCAGCGACACGACAAGCGATTCGAAGGCCATTTTTGCGTCAATGACTGTCCTTCTGGCCTGACCAACGCAACTTGGGAGTTATCAAAAAGGTTTTCCGGGGAAAGGGTGGCGTGGTGGAGGGATTCTGCTTTTGTTCACCAAGTTCCCAACGCTTTTCTCGGCTTCCCGCCAATCTGCACGTCACTGTGGGCAGGGGCAAGGGTTGGTGGACACCATCGACAAGCGGCGGGAAGGAAGGGCACGTTGAACGAGAAACCCGATGTTATAAATCCGATATTTCCAATCACACAGTATAGTCCCTATTTCAGTCTCCCTTCAGAAGAGAAAGGGGAGGTGGAAGGGAATGGATCAATAGAAGCTTGGGAATGATGGCAAAATATGAAAAATTGAGTCCGGATTCTGAATGTTTACCGAATGTCCACCCTCCCTTTTCTCCTTCCATTGGAATGCTTTTATTCCCTCGGCGTCCCTTGCTGGCATGGCATCCACATTGGCAAGGGCCTGGCATTCCCGTGAAACAATCAATCAGAGCGTACATACATCCATCGTGGGTCTTCGAAGCGTCGCGAACGGTAATGCGACAAGTGAACAGAAATCGAAGGGTGGCACGCAAGTCTCCCTATCTGGAAGGAACCTCAACCGCGAATTGCTGGGGTTCAGGCCTTCAGGGCGGTGGCTCAGTTGGCCAGATGTCGGGTTGGCATCGTCATGTGTGGTCGACATTGACGTTACTTTCCCAACAAGACGGAAAGCACTTCGCGATGATGGCGAAAGAATACGTACATGGAGAACCGGTATAAGGTAGACGGTAGCCAGGTCGGATGAACGGGTTCACTGATCTGCTTTTCCTCCTTCGAGATTGGACGAATGACGTACAGTACCTGCATCGTTCCGAGCGTTTGGTCAACTTTGGTGCCCCTTTGACAATGCCATACGTATGTACAATACTTGTCCCAAAGGATAGCGAAGTTACTCCACGGGCCCAAGCTACCAAATAAACCTAGCTAACCGACGTGGGAATATCTACTAACCGACCGGCAACAACGCGCATGATATGTGAAAGACCAGATTCTGAGCACGTCTTGGCTATCACATGCTTCTCAAATTCCGCAAATTCATGTCAAATGTTCGCATGCTGCCTTGCGATCCCAAGGTGGGATCCATCCAAGGGATTTAGCTGCCGAGGTTGCGATGTCATCCGGTGCAATATCGGCTCCTATTCGCCAATTTCTATTCAACAAAAAAAATCCGAGGGTGATCCACTCCCCAACAACCGCTTTTTCAAGAAACACCCACCCGCTGCCCCGCGATTGGCATGCATTCCGAGAGGTAACGGTCTTGGCATTGTGAAGTATTCCTCACTCCTTTTGTTGCTGACTGCGATCACCAGGCAAACTTTTCCCCGTCCCAGAGAGCGAAACTTGGCTCAGATCATCGTTCAAAGATAGAGTCCGGTCACCAGAAGCATACATAGTCTTATACATCTACCGGTGCTTCTTCCGCTGAAAGGCAAAGGGTCGGCTTACTCGCTGTTTGAAGCGACTGTTTGAGTCTCGTGAGTCTGCATGGGTAAGCAGCTCTGGACCGCAGATTTGCGCTGATTGGTTGACTCCCTGGGTATTGATCGAAAACGGTAGGTGATGGTCTGTGCTCACTTACACGCAGCTTGAGGCCCGCCTCGTGCGTCGTAGAAGAGGTGCCTTGAAAAGTTTATCGAGCATGACGATGGCCATGAACAGTCCCCAGGAATTTTCGAGTGTCCCAGCGTCCATCGACTGCAAATAGCATGATGAGAATGAGAGAATCAAAGGCAGGCGTGTCAGACGCCATGCTAGTCGTTAGGTAGGTTGACCTGCCAGGGAATTACTGACTAAGGTACGGATGTAGGGGGCAAGCTTGCCAAAAGTTAAAACAACCAGCCTCCATTTTGATCAATTGGCATAGATTATCCCAATAGTTTGTAGGTCGTAAAAACAGAATATCAGGTATAAGTTGGTATTGTATGTGCTTGTCCAGCCGTTCTTGTTAGCCTTGTCTCAGCCATGTCCGCTGAATGGATACGAGCATAACATTGTTGTTGGCTTAGGCCCTAGCTATGGAGTTGAGTGACCATCGACAGTGGTCTATACCTAAGTGGCGGTAGAGAAGCCACCTCAGATTGGGACGAGGGGACTTACGAATGGTCAATAGAGATTAAGGACAACGAGATGACAACAGCGGTGATGAAACCAACGCATCGTCCGAGTCTTCGCCGGGAGCTTCTGGATTGGTTGTGGCTGGCGTGTTTCGGGAAATAGTGACTGGCTCTATCGGCAAAGTCTTTGAGCATCCCGGCACGATATTTGTTTACAAAGTTCCCGTGTCTGGACAACCGGAAAAGCTTTGGAACAACTACGAGAAGCATATGAGGGTTTACAAGAGCTTTGACTCGGTTCCATATGTCGCTGATCAAGTTGAGATCCCTCGCTGCTTCTGGTATGCGAATCCGAGCACTGAGTCTTTCTGGGGTGAAAATCTCGAGAGATTTCTGGACTTTCCGCATTTCCCTCGACTTCCTCGCCACGTTAGGGCGAATTCACCAATCGCAGCTCATGGAAACCCTGGTTAATCCTGCTCTCCACGCTCTCCCTTCGCCATAGTGCCTCAGGAATGTCGCCACTCGAGAAGCAGGCGCTGTTTGCTTCGTCACAGTCCCCGCCAGTGTCGTCTTAAGGACAACGAGGATAACAATAGTGGCGATGATAATGACGATGATGAGAATGCTAAGGGTGAGGGTAATAGCGCTATCGCGAACGAAAAGCCCAAATTACAGCGCTCGAGGTGAGCTACTAACTTCTCATTCAGGGCGATCATGGGTGGCACTCATCATGACGGTGTCACTACACTCCTCGCATCTGATGCTGGCGACAAGATCAAAGACGCAATTGAAGCCATTGCGGGCGTTACCACTCAACTTCAGGAAAGACTCCAGGAAACCGACAGGAACTACCGAGCGTTGCGCGAGGAACAGACACGCTCCCTGAGTCTAGAGTCTTTCTCCCCATCGCACATGCGGGCCAGAATCTGGGTCGACCCAAGCTGACTTCATGATCCTTTGTGGTGACCCGATGGCTGAGGGCTTCTGCACGCTTCAAGAAAGCTTCGAGAGGTTCGCCAGACTTGCGGCCGAAAGCCAGGATCTCTCGCATGACCGTCGCGCTCAGGGTGGAAGAGGTTTCTGGGAAGCGCTTCAGAATAGCCTTCTGAATGGCATCATAATCATCTTTGTTGCCTTTGAATTCGTTATCCCACCAAGCACGTGCTGCCAGTTTGAGGCCTTGCCGAGATTTGGCACATGAAATCTCTGCAGCAATGTCGACAGGGCCCTTGGTAAAGTGGACATTGACCCGAATGTCCTTGATATAGTCATGACAACCTGCGGATCAACACAGGCGCCGACAACACCTCCCACTCACTGAAGACCGAACTCAACCGCCTTAAACGCCTCATCGACGACGTGGATAGAAAGACAAAGGCACGACTGGAAGGACACAGGGCCCATATGGGCTCATTCGCGGATTACATGGAAACACGAACGGCATCAGTCGCGCAATACCTGGCCGGAATTTGCAGGAAGCCCGACGATGAACGGCCGAGGAAGAGACGCAGGGAGGATACGGAGACAGACCCGGAAGCTGAGGAGGAACGCCTGGAGAATGTGGAAAACCTGATCGACCCTCCCTTGATAACCCGCTCAACGCACTTCCTCTGCGTATGCATGGTTGCCGACTCACGTCTCCTCATTGGGAGTCCGACACAAGTTTCCAGAGTTACCTCTAGGTAGAGTCTAGACTAGGCGTCGTAGCCTGCTTGAGCTGGAGCTGGCCCCTGGGTCGATATTTCTCTCAGCCTTGTGGATCCGCAGAACTCCGGCCGAACTCCGCATCTCCTCACGCATCCCTACGGTAGTTAGCTCCAGCCTCCCGGAGCCATCCGTATGCGCCTCACTCCCCAGCTCGGCCGAACCCGCAATATCAGAACCGGACTGGACTGGATACGTTTTGGGCGAAAACCCGCAGGGGTGGTGTCGAACTCTGCCAGGATGCGTTGTGGTCATCATCGCAACCCTGCCAGTTGTGGATGATGGCAGAGAGGTATTCGAGCCGTATGTCCCACATTTTGTAGAGCTAAGTTGATCTGAAGCCAACTAGAAACCACTGTAGTCCGCAGTTGGGCGAACAAAACGGATATTGCTGAGATATTCGCATTTTCTGCTTTTCCGCTTGATGTGGCCGTTGAATTGCAGCCGGCATGGGAAGACGTTGCTAAAGTACCAATGTCTAGCCGGCGTCGGAGCCAAAAGTCAAACATGCAGAGTCAAATTACACAGGGCAATCATGTCACGGCAGCGGCAGCGACAGGGCTGCTGAGTCAAACAGGGATGCCCCACCATACCCCGCGTGTCACTTCTTTACCCAGCAAGTGCCTCAACCGTCGCAACAGAATTTTCCCCGCCGACCCCGACCGGATTGCGAATTGGAATCGTTTCCTTGCCATTATTGGCATTCTTCGAACATGGCAACTATCATTTTGGGTTCGCAATGGGGTATGTGCCACTTTGGGGTGGAATTGTCTCGAGAGGTGGACTGCTAATCCGCGATTCGGCGACCAGGCGACGAGGGCAAGGGAAAGCTGAGTGATATTCTTTGCCAACAGGCGCGCGTTTGCGCCCGCGCCGCCGGCGGTCATAACGCGGGCCACTCTGTCGTGTAAGCCCGCAGACATAGGGAATATTGAGGTTATGATACTAATTGACGACATCTGCAGTGCCAATGGCGTTTCCTACGAGTAGGAGCCCTGTCCGATCTCCCTACCCGCCGATTCGGCGATTGACTCACGCTTCTCACCAGTTTCCACCTCCTGCCGTCAGGCCTCGTTAATCCGGACTGCATCAACTTGATCGGCTCCGGTGTCGTCTTCAACGTTCAAGCCTTTTTCAAGGAACTGGCGGCCCTCGAGGAGAAGGGGCTAAAACACGCCCGCAAGAACCTCCTGGTCAGCGACCGCGCTCAGGTCAACCTAGAACTGCACGCCCGTGTCGATGGTCTGGAGGAAAAGGAGCTCGCGGGCAACAAGATTGGCACAACCGGCAGGGGTATTGGCCCCTCGTATTCGAACAAGGCGGCCAGGAATGGGATCCGCGTCCACGAGATATTCGACCAGGAGCATTTCGAGGCGAAATTGCGGAAGTTGGCTGCCGGTTACAAGAAGCGCTTTGGTGAACTGCTAGAGTACGATGTCGAGGAGGAGATTGCACGCTTCCGCGAGTACCGCGAGAGGCTACCGGAATTTGTTGTCGACGCCGTCAGCTACATGCACTCTGCACAAGAGCGCGGTTACAATATTTTGATCGAGGGTGCGAATGCCTTGATGCTGGACATTGACTATGGTACGGCTGCCCTTGTCGTGAGGTTAGAGAAATAACTGACAGTAAACCATGCAGGCACATACCCCTTCGTCACAAGCAGCAATACCGGACTGGGCGGCGTCATCACCGGACTGGCAATCAACCCCAGGAAAATCAAGTAGGTCTCGCAGATGGGCATATACACAAAGCTACCGGCTAACAATTATTGTCTGTGCAGGGAAATTATTGGGTAGGTTCCCTTGCTATCTGTCCTGTATAAGTGCGTCGGCATCGCTAATCTAGTCTTCAGAGTTGCGAAGGCCTACACGGTATGTGTATCTTCTCCCTCGCCTGAACTTACAGTCTGCGACTGGGCGCCACTGACTGGAACCAGACAAGGGTAGGCGAGGGCATCTTCAAGACAGAGGACGTTGGCGAAGATGGCCAGAAACTGCAGCAGATCGGTCGCGAATGGGGTGTATCTACCGGCAGGAAACGTAGGTGCGGATGGCTTGACCTCGTGGTGCTTAAGTACTCGGCATCGGTCAACTACTACACGGCTTGGAACCTGACGAGTAAGTTGAATCATCAGTTAGCCCCTTTCTGTTCTGATGAGATACTGAAAATGATTAGAGCTTGACGTCCTCGACACCTTCCCCATCATCAAGGTTGCCGTCGCATACAAAGACCCTCAGACGGGGCAGGAGCTTGACTACTTCCCTGCAGATCTTGGATACCTCGAGAAGTGCGAAGTCGTCTACAAGGAATTTGAGGGGTGGCAAAAGGCCACCACAGCGGTGAAGAAATTTGTAAGTCGACAGCGACAGTCGGGGACTATGGCCCTCGCTAATGCCCTATAGGAGGACCTGCCATCGCAAGCACAAGTTTATGTCAGGTTCATTGAGGAGTACACGGGCGTGCCCGTGAAGTGGATTGGCACAGGCCGTAAGAAACCCAGCTCGTTGTCTTCCAGCCCTTTCTGGCAATCATGGGTGTCGAGATCGACGATACTGACATGGAGTGCTGCAGCATCGCGGGATGACATGATCTATCTATGAACATGCTGCCCTCTTCCTAGAATAGTGATAAATCAGGGGGTTGTAGCTGTTTCTACGGCAAGCAGCTCGACTACTGGCGTTTCGTGGGGTTTGCCTACGGCTTGCGGGATCGGCTCGCAAATCCCTTCACATCTAGCCCAATCCCTCGACATCGCAGGGCAAATGTTTGCTCCAGCATTCCGCCAGCTAGCGATGACCGGCGTGATCGAGGATTGGCATTTCGGCCGCCAAACGATATGCTATCTACGATAGATTTGTTCTCGGGGCTGCGTGGGGTCCCGGAGGATCTGGAAAGAACTTAGAACGGCCTTCGACTATGAGCGAAACATAAACATCATAGATTTACCGTCTAATCTAAATGTGCATTTTCAAACGACGCAACCAAGCCGATAGGAGGAGAAATGGCAGACTTCATCAACCTTCCAGAGGTTTGTATCTTTCACGCTCACCCTAACCCTTCCGACATAGCTTGCCCACATTCACCACAATGATCTGTCAGCTGGCAACAGGTGACTTCGTCTTCGATCTGTTGCCTTTGTTTACTCCATCCTCAGCTCAAAATTTTCCACCCAGCTTGATCTTTTTAAAAGTGCATCAGAGTCAGACATCTTCCTAGGCTTCATCACAGCAGTGGTCAACTATCCAACCATGCGCCTAAGCTCCGCTTACGGCGGCTTGCGGACGACATAAGCAGTCGTCTGCATATTCCTTTCAATTGCTGCGGTACGGATACGGTTTGTTCTCATGCTCGTATGCTCGTTTTCAACTCTTGGATCTTGGACCCAAGGATGAAGGAAGGCTGCTGTAAACCTTTCTCCCAGCCTTCGTACCGCATATCAGAGCCCTTCCATTGGTTATACCTATTCCCATATCTATGCCAGCATGTCTTGCTGTCTCCTGCCTGATTCGTTCAGCCATCACTCCGCCGCGGCTGTTCTTGAGCCAGGATGCGCCCGACTCTTCACGGGTCGGAGCGTATACAGACAAGAGCAAGGGATACTTCTACGGAGTATTCCTGCAATGTTTTTTGAGTACGGGACCTCCTTTCTTGTTCTTTCAATGGAGGCTCTCGTAATTTACCGGTTGCAACATCTCTTCTTTCTTTCTCATCTCCATGTCAAGCGTCATGAGGCGTGGCAGTTTTTAGGTATCTCTCCGAAGAGCAACTCCCGACGGGAGTCATAAGAACGATCCTCTTTTCTTTTTCCGCAAGGACTTCCAAGCAGCCCATGTATGTATATACAATGACCATAAACCAAGGCACCAAGAACGCCGGTTCCCATGCAGACAGATTTTGAACACCCTTAGAAAACGACCAACCCAACCGCCATAAACACAAGCAGCGCCACGGTCCTTAACCCGGGCGGAGGTCCATCCATCAACCTCGACTCCGGTCTGACCCTGACAGCAGCACCAATCCCAGCAGCAGCCGAAGACGACGAGGCAGCCCGCTGGCCCGACGTGTCGCGGCCCGTGGCGACGATACCATTAACCCGATCGGCCGTGTCGATGGACGGACCCCGGTCGTAGAAATCCACCAGCACAAACACGGGCTTGACCCCCCACTGGGCGGCACAGGTCTGGGCGTGCAGGCCCAGGGCGCCCGTTTCGGACGTCGACGGGCTGTTGGTGGTGTCAATGTTGCCGACGTTGGGGATCAGGATGTCGGCCGTGACGGCCGTGTAGGCGAAGTGGTTGAGCAGAGGAAGCAGGCCGGCGCGCACGGCCGACGTCGCTGAACCCGCCGACGAAGGCCGGTCGAGGGCGCAGCCGAACCCGCTGAGGGAGGTTACGTTGAAAGGTGTCTCGAACACGTGCGAGAACTCGGGGAGGAGGTAGGGGTATTGTGTGGCTGTGGTGTCGATAGAGGCGATGAAGGTCACCAGCCGCGTGCCGGCCACGATCATTTCCTGCAGCGTCGGCCAGCCGGAACCGGACGGGACGAAGCCGTAGGCGGAGATGCCTGAGGCTTCAAAGGCGGCGCCGAACGAAGCGGCCGGCTGGCTATCTGCGTTGACCAGCAGGAGGGTGACGACGTCGTTTGGGTGCGTGTCAAGCCAGTATTTGATCTTGGAGAGCCAGGTCTCGAGGGTCCCGGCGTCGAGCAGCTCGCACAGGGTGTGGCAGAGACGGAGGGTGCCGTTGGAGAGGTGCACCTGAGCTTGAAGCAGGCGAAGACCCGCCGACAGGGCGACGGTGGCGTTGTAGAATTGGTTCCCGGCCAAGCTGTTGCCTGTGCTGGCGTCACGGAGGAAGGCGCTGTTATGGGCACCCATGTGGGTGATGTTGCTGTATGCGCGGGAACATAACGCTGGCGAATTGTTGCAGGCCACTGTGGCTGTTGAGGTGCTCGAGGGTAGCGGAGTAGCTATTGTTGTTGTTCCAGGGGTAGCAGCCTGTGGACTTGGAAGCACGGCTGGTGTTAGTGTCAAGAGGGCTATGAAAACGTGCAGGAGTGATGGGGCCATGATAGTAGATCATAGGAGTGGTGCTGCCGGAGTGCCTAGTGCCAGGAGGGAGGAGGCGAATGCAACGGCCCGTACAGATCGAGCGTGCGGTTCCCGGGTACTTAGGTAATGAAGTCAAACCGGGGAAGAAAGGAAAGAAAAGAAACATGGAAGTTTAGAGCCATGGCAACGACGACGGACTGCACAGCTGGATATACTAGCGTGGCACGAGGTAGACAAGTACCGGTGCTCCAGAGGTGCATCCGCGCGGTAATTCCCGTCCATGTACGTGGCTAGGATCTGCAAGCGCAGCTACACCAGCCCTCTGTAGAGCGGCTAGCAGAGCTCTTTCCCCGGCTGGGATTCAAAGGCAGGATGAAGGCGTCTCAGAGTTGGGCCCGCTTGGGTTGCTCGGGTCCAGGGTTCGTACTCGGCAGCTGCGCCTCAACCACTGACGACGCACATCGGCTGTTTCGGGACACGACATGCATGCGCTTGCTCCTTTGTGTGGTTGCTGGCTGTCCGGTGGCTGCGGTTCGGCCGAGATCTTTTGCATTTCCCGGGGCACCGAATACCGACCCGACACCCCCGACTTGGGATGAAGAGGGTTGGATGAACGAAGAACGACGTGCACGTAGGACAAAATGGGATACAGCTCTGTTCATTTGATGCAGTACATACATCCGGGCGGGTGCTCAAAACTTAATTTGAATTGAGAATCTTGATTCCTCTCTAATCACAAATCATATCTTCCCAACGTTTGATGGACACGGGGAACAAACTGGCAGAATAAGAAGTGCTGCTCGCCTCCAGGGGCCGAGACGCGCCTGCAGTCCAGCAAGGCTGAAGTCTTAACCCCTGGCCCCTGGCCCCACGGCTTTCCCTTATCCGGCTTAGTGGCCTGCGATCCACTGCCGGTAACGTTAACGGCCGTTTCAAAGCCGGACCCTGATCCTGAGAAGTACCTTCGTACCGGGAGGACAAGACTATAGCTACGGATACATAAGGTAGGTACCTACTCTAGGTACCTGTATGGACGCCTATTGTTGAAAGCAAGCAGCGGCTGGTATAAGAAGATCAAGGAGATTGAAGAAAATTTAGTGTCAACCAGAAGTGGAGGTCAAATGTGGCACTACCCGTTGGCCCGAGGTTCTTCCATTAAGGAGCCACTGTTAAGACAGTTGGCTACAAAATCCAGGGACGGGACAAAATTAGGGACACATCAGGATTTGGTGCA